AGAATCGTTTTGTTGTTAGAAAATATTAAACTAAAGAATTATTTATTCTGTTAAAAAAAATGATAAATTTTATTTCTGCTTTACTTCTTATTTCCTTTTTTACTTTCATCTTTAACTTAATAATATAAATTACCGATATTCCAAAAGAGAATAAATGTTAATCGATCTTTACTTATAGCATCATCTAATGCGTTTTCATTCAAACGCTTTAATTGATGCCAATTTAACTGCTCGTCAAATGACCGTCGTTCCAGTATTAGTGGTTCGATAAGATTAAGTTCTAATGGTGAGCGTAAAATTGGGTTTTTAAACTTCGTCACTTTTGATTTATGCTGTTTCTCAACTAATTCCTATAAATAATAAACTTTTGTTAAAAAAAAAAAAAAAAAATCATCAAAAAATTTTCTCATTTTGCAAGCATTTCTAAACTTTAAAATCAACCTCATCTGATAATCGACGTATGAATCCAACTTCTTTATCAGCTTCTTTACTACAGTATACTGTTAAATCATGTGTACTGTATTGAGAAAGCACACTGCAATTATTACGCATTTGTTTAAAGAAAAACATAATTGAATTACGTTACGTATAACTCACGTATTTAGAGCTAAGTAATATTTTTTTCAATGAGCAAAATTTTGTGTAACGCAAAATCACGTGAAATTTTTTTCTAAAATTGATCAGTATGATATATCCGAACAATATTAGAGTTAAAGTTATCATTTAGATGTAAATTATTTGAAAAAAAAAAGGTTAAAAAGTAATAAAGGCAATTTTCGTATTAGTAAGATCAAATAACAGCTAAAATGCAAATTGATTAAAGAAATTTATAGTGCCATTTTTAACTAAAGTTTATAAAGTTGCAATAAGTATTTAAAATTTCAATTAACAAATATTATATATGTATATAAAATTTTAACACACTAAATACAAAGTCTTATTTTTTCTTTTTATTTAGTAAATTTTAATTGAAGAAAAAAAATTTTTTTAAAAAAAAAAAACAAACTTTAAAAGTGACGCTTCAATAATTGCTTTATTATGGTTAAGTCTTGCTGCAATTTCATATATTATATCTCCGTTTTTTCTGAAATTCAAATATTCTATCAGAATAATATGAATATTAAAAAAAGAAAGTGTTTGAAATTGATCAAGTGTAATTTTCAATTTCTTCAAAATTATGTTTCTTTAATTTTTGTCAAAAAAAAAAAAAAAAAATATTCGACATAATCATAAATTATGTATCTTTATTTTGTATTAATGTTCAAAATTAACAAAAATCTTCATATCGGACATAATAAACATGAAAGCAATAGTAACTGAAGTAAAATAAATGACTGATTTAAAAGAATTATAAAGTTTAAACGATGAATTACTTTTAATTACTTCAATACTTTGTGGAAAATGTTTGACAAATTAGAATAATAGAAAGTTTCCTCAGCAAGGAAGTAAAACAAAAACAAAAAAGTCAATAATTACGGATCATTGATAATTAGCCAATGGAATGATTCTTGTAACGAGTATTGCAAACATTTCAATTGTTCGTCTTCTCCACAATTAATCTAATGAAAAAGCTTTTACAACGAAAATAAAAACTGAAAGTGTTTAACTGCTTTAAATTATTTAACAATTTCTCTTAATTTTTTCAATCATTTAAGTTTTCCAATGTTATCTACCAATTTGCACTAAAAATAATGCTATTTGTTCTTGGTATTAATTGAAATGATGTAATTAAATTAAATTAATTCCAATAATTAAATTAAATTAACATTAAACCAGATAAGAAATTTCTTCCTTTTTTTCTTTTTGCTTATATTAAATGATTAGTTTGCAAAATACGTTTACTTTTTTTCTTTTTTTGTTTGTTTGTTTTTATTTGTTTTATTGATAATAGAATAATTTTATACAAATCTATAAACAAATTTAGTGAATATTTAAGTGAAATTTTAAAATTTCTATAATTTAATCAAAAAGTTTAATTTAATCGAAAAGCATAATTTAAGCCGAAAGAATTTCCAGATTTCTTTTGTTTTTTCTTTTTTTTTTTAAAAAAAATCAAACCTTTTCAATAATTAAATTAACTCGTATTTCTTGTTTCAGCCGTCGGGTAATTTCATCAAGTACGATAAGCATATCATTACTGAAAAATTCGTCCGATTCTAGACAGGGATCACTTTCCATTCATATTTCTTAATGTACTAACCTGATTTACAGTTATACATATAAATACAGCTTATCCGGGTTTCCGATGGTACCAAACCGGGAGCCTTAGCGAATTCTGTTGCTTCATTTTGATCACTAAATCTTCCAATTTTTTTTCTCGGACATTCAGCTCTAGAAATTTAATAAATATATATTTGTTTACATCTTATTTACATTTATTGAATGTATAAATACTTACAGTAATAAAATATTATAATAATTTTTACATGAATAATCAGTATTGCTACTTGAATTATTTGAGTATTTAATAAAACTTCAATTTTTCATATGTAACATTTTATTATATTGAAAAATTACATTATGCAAAATATTATACTTTAGAACAATCGCTCAAAAAACTTTGACTATTAATGAAAGTAAAAATGTCGATTTACTCAAAAATTATATGCGTAATATTACAATTAATTGAGAATTATTTGGCAAAAAATTATTTGATTAAAATTGATTTCATTTTATTTCTTTTTCCATTGATTTATTTTTCTTCATCAAAAAATTATTATTCATTATTATAATTTTTTTTTTAATAAATTATTTATTATGTTGATAATTTATTTAAAAAACTATTCATTATTGTTACGATTAATTTATAATAAAAAAAAGTTTGAAATTGATTAATATAAAATGACACTTTCAAAGATCATGGAAAAAGTTGAAAAAAAAAAAAATAATTGAAGTGTTGTGATCAAAAGGGTGCTAGATCCCATATCAAAATTCCATTTTAGGCCAAGATATTCAAAACTTACTATGTCAAATTTTGTCACCAAATCCAAAACACTCTCCTGACGCCTTAAATCAAAGCATTGAAGTTTATCTAAGATACTTCATTATGTCGGATTTTGATATCGAATCTTAAATCAATGTGTTAAGGTATATTTCATCTAGATGTCTACACCTGATTTGATCATGAAATGTAGATATCTTAGTTGAAGTATCGAGGATTCATCTTCATAGATCGAAAACTTCAAAAAGATATTTGACTGAAAACATAAGATGGTTTGAGAGAGAAGAGAACATAAAAGGAAGTAAGAAAAAAGCAGAAGGAAGACGAATGGTATTATTAATGAATTATTACATTTCCACTTCTTGCACATTTCCTATCAGATAGTCCGCATGGCAATTTTTATTTCCTATTAAATATTTTGGATAACAATTTTAGCATCAATTCGGAATGTCCAATTATTGAAGTTTCATCTTAGTCTTATTCAATTACATCTTCAACTAGAATTAAAAAATTAATAAAGAGGTAGGTATCTTTAACTTGTTCATCTTTTACATGTATTACTACCAAATAAATATTATTCAACTTTTAGCATTATTGAAAATTTCTAAATTAAAAAAAAAAATTCGTAAAGACAACAAACTTCAAACAAAAAAAAGTAAAATGTCAGACTTTCATTATTAAAATTTTAAAAATCCATGATTTAAAAAAAAGAAAAAAGAATACAGGAAAAAAGGAAGAGAGAAAGAAATTCAACTTACTTTACAACTGTTTCGATAAATAAGATGAAAAATGATAAGTAAGAGAGATACATCATCACTTGCATTACAAATGTCATTCAACCAAGGACGCTTCTCGGTTCACCCAAATTTGGAAATAATGAATAGCACATAAATATTTGAACGAACTGCAATGTCATTTCAATTCACCGTCGTAACAGTTCATGTCAATTCCATTATCATCCAATTTAAATTTAATTTCGATTCAGTAAGAAATAATCTTAGAGAAACGAAAATATTATAATCCATTAAAACTAATAAATATATTTTGCTTCCTTAACATATCATACAATACTTGCTTACTCAATAATAGCAATAAACAATCTTTACTTAGTGATAGCAATAACCAGTAACATAATTATTTCATACGAATACAATCGCCGCCGCCGCCTATTTACTCAATAACATATTTAATTAGCAAACAGCGTGCAATGATAAATTAACTGTAGCAATGATAACCATATGAGATAAGGTATAATAATGTATCAGTGTGATCACACTCAGTGTTCTTGCGATAAATGCATTTCCTTGTTTGTGCTACTACTTCAAATAATTTGACATTTAGAGAAAATGATTTAAGCTATGGATGTGTATGGAAATTGTCGCAGAATTTGAAACTGATATAGTTTCAAAAACCATTACAAATCGAGTCGTTTTAAAATTTCATGGATTTCTACATAAAATTAGGAATTATTGCAAAGCCTAAATAATTGTTCCTGATTCAAGAATATTTCTAATTCAGGAATTCCAGAGAATACAGGTAAAGCAATTTTTTGATTTTTTTTTCTTTTCAGGAACAAAACAAGATTCATAGTCAGGGATACTAATGGCAAATGCTATTGAAGCAATTTAAGTTGTTTGAGAAACTGAAGCTTCGTATGCTTGTGACGAGTAATGTATGGAATTCGCTGAAACGATCATCATTTAACATTTCTGTTCTAGGACATGCCTCATGCTCATCACAATAACTAGAGGAAATAATCGGATATGAATGAAACAATTTCAGCAATGAGACAACAGTGTGCTTCGTGAATTACAGCTCCTTCTTTATTAATGTAATTCGAATATAACTGCTGATTAACTCAGCTTTAATTCAACCAATATTATGTGATATTATGCTGGATTTGATGAGCGGAAATAGAATTTGAAAAATCCGGAAGTTAATATCTTCAGTAATCTCAGGATTCTTAAATGGTACTGAAAACGAAATATATCACGAGTTTTATCGCATTTAATAAAACATTAGCAACGACATTACAACAAATAATCAAAAAGAATTCAAATCAATCGGATCTCCTATTGCGACGCCTACCACCTCTACCACCTGCTTTATATCCTTTCTTCTGGTTCATCTGCTTTTGACGACGATTATCTTTCTTCAACCGAGCATCCACTACCTTGAACGAAAAACTTAACTGTTCAACTATTTCGTTCATTCTGCCGAAATAACAAACGATAAAAGTACAAAAATCATTAAGTATGAGTTAATCAATAGGAAAGTCTACATTAAATTCCTAAGACACCCATTTATTCTTCCGTTCTACTGGAAGTTACCAGCCGATAAATTTTGATGAAAACTTGTTATTTATAAAGATAACTCTTTTGTTATAATCTTACAGTAGATCATTAACCTTCAGCAATGACTTACTTTATATGGCCCTTTTGGCCTAGATAAACTTCCTCTTTTGCCCTTCGTCATTACTGCATAGGTTATCTTTTTCTTTTCCTTTATTGATGAGGCTGTCTTGCGGTATAACCTTCAAATTATAGGTTTAAATTCTAGTTGTTGACCTAATTTCTACAAAAAAAAAAAATAACTATCAGCGCTGTCATGAAAAGTGGTTTCCTGATAATGAGAAATGGAAAGCACCTCAAATGAAATAATATACGAGTTGAGCTTACTTGCGAATCTCTCGGATTTTTTCTGCTTGCTCCATATTTTCACTTTCAATGATACCTTCTGCTCTTTTCTTTGCTAGCTGTAATTTCCGATCCCGTCGTTTTTTCTTGCGTGCTTTTGCTTCAGCAACTTTTTTGATTGTCCGTGTGTTAATATCTCGCATACGATTTTTATAGAAATCCACTCGATCCTAAAGTTGACGTTTTAAAAAATGCATGAGTCATGATGATCCGACTCTCACGATTTCGATTTCGGAACAACTGCTAGAAGCACAAAATTCGCCCTGCATAAAAAATTTACTTTTGAAACCGGAAGTTCCTTTTTGAAGTGCTTTTTTTCGTCTTCTACAAACCAATCAGGAAGTCCTTCATCATTGTTTGTATACCTTAAAATTCTTAGTTATAAGTAAAACACATATTTTGGAACAGAATGTTAAAACAAAGGCACCATAAACTCACGTGATAGTCTGAACTTAAACTGCTACAAAACACGTGATGGGATACATCAAATTTGTGAAACGCTACAGGACAGTTTTTCATTTTTCCGGGATTTCACGAAATCCAAATTAACAACAGGCCGTAAGCCACAAACTTATCATAACAGCTAGATAAAACTATCAAGTAATTTCGTAGCCAAACAGTGATAATTCAAAACGGTCAAATTTAAAACATGTCTGCCAAAGCCACCTGTTCCATCCCCAATCTTCCAGATCTCGCCTTGTTTTTGATGAGTATATTAGTTGTTCTCCAAGTGCAAGTAGCTCAGGCGATAGTTTTTTGGCTTTTCCTAAAAAAGTTTACTTGATATAAAAGTGACTTTGGTCTAATTTTGATCAAGAATTAGAAAGATTTCCACAAATATCAAACCTGGCTTTTCTTTCTGCGGTATATCAGATGAGGAAGTTTTCGTATCAATTTTGTCTATATCATGATACTCCTCGTCGCTTTCATCATCATCCATGAAAACAGAAGTTGTTCCTGCATCTATTCCTGCGCCGTTACTAAGTTTTTGGCTATCTGCATTATTTCCTCTATCTGACCATGCGTCGGCAATTGACTTCTGACCATCTCTTTCATCCTTCTTCTTCTTATCTATAAACTATTAAGTAACATGTTACAACGTAACACCGTGCTAAACGTTAAAAAAAATAAACGAGACTGGAAAATTATAAAGCTTCTTCTGAATAATCAAACTGGATAAAAACTGACTGAAAGAACTTTGTGAAGTGTTATTAAATTTTTTCATGAAATTCTCAATAGCTTTTAGAGCACCTTCTTCATCATCTACCAGTTCAGCAACTTGATGCTGAAATAGATATTAAACAATAACTGATTAAGGTTAAACAATTATATTTTAATATAACTGTGAAATAAAATTTATTTATAAAGTTAACATATATTCGCGATATATATTTTATTGCATGTTCATTCCTATAATTTTCTAGAGAAAACGAAGATTTGAAAAAGAAAAATTAACCAAAAATTTTCAATTCCTTTGTTTTACACTACATAAAAAGTATTTCGTTAAACATATACAAAAATCAACCCGGCCAAACCATTCTGCTTTTTGAGCTTCAGTTTTCTCTGCTTTCGACATACTTGGATCCTGCTCGTGATGAAATTCTTCCGCATCATCATCTATGCTAAAAGATGAGTTACGTTTAAAAACCTTTGTTAAAATCAAAACAGCAACCAACTGAGATCCAACTAAGATGGAAATCACCCACTTACCTACTACATCATTCGAGTCATTTCAAAAGCAATAAGTCGAAATAAAAACTAGCTCTTTTAGTAAACAAACTAAGTTTCAAAATGATACTTTTCGATATGGATTAAATAAGAAAAAACCACAATAGGAGAAAAACTTTTCGTACCCATAATCATCGTTATCATCATCACTACTACAGCCTTCATCGTTATCACTCTCATTCTCGTTCTTACTGTTACTTAACTCTGAATCTGCACACCGTTTATTCTTAGCTATCGCAAGTTTCTTTAACGAGAAGAGTTCCTGTTCATCGGGTATTTCGTACGTATCTCCTTCCACTAGCATTTTCAGTTTTTTTCTTTTTTCGAGATTAGCTTTATCTTTCAGCAATTTTCGTTTCTTTTTCTTCAGTGCTGCCTGTAAAAACTTTTCACACAGTAAGAAAATAATTAAAAAGAATTCAAAAAAAGAATGCATTACCAAAGAAAATAAAATACCTTTTCTTCTGCTTTTGCCATTGACAACTGTTGTTCGATTTCTGCCATCCTTTCATCTCTGAAATCACAGGAAACCTTCACAAATGCCGATAAAGATATTTGGTTTTAAAAGCAATGCTTTAACTTACTCAGGATTGACCGCCATTACATCATCTTTTGTTGGATTTTCAGTTTCATTCCCTTCTTCATTTATTTTCGTGATAATATTACGTCTCCATTTCAGTATCAATCGTAACTCTCTCGGGCCGCATACCTTAATATCTTCCAAACAACACTTCACTTCATCAGTTGTTGATTCGTTATTTAACCATCTTTCATCATCTAGAGCAATCTGAAACCGATAATTTGGAATTTAAAAGAGAAGTGGAAAAAAATTAAAAAAGAGAAATAAAGTGCAGATGTCTGAAACACAACTAAGAAATTTATTTTATATTTCCTCTTTTTTCTTATTTTGTTAAAGAACAAAAAAATATTACGCTAATAAATTCTGCAATATAAAATCATTCTTATAAGTTTATTCAAGGGAAGACTGGATTCTATGGAAAGAATCAGACAAAAAAATCTTCCCGTACTAACATTACTTTAGAAAACTGACTTACTTTGTATGCAGAAGCCAATAATTCTAGATAATTGTTACTATGAATAAAATCTGTGGCATTTATTGTTTTATGGAGTGAAACAGATTCATTTTCATAGCCAGTTGCTGGTACTTTCTTCAGCTTTGCGCGTGGTTGCAACATTAATTGACTGGAGAAAGAAATGTAGAAAAGGAAATTTAATTTGATGGATTAAATCAAAAAATCAGATTGAATTAAGAATGCAACTTATCGAAAGCCTGTGGAGGATTTTACTTACGGATTTGAGATGACTGACTGCTGTGTCGATTCAGCGAATACCTTTTTGGGATCTAAGAGATCGGGGTCAAGTTTTTCCGGTTTTAAATACTTCTCACAGACTACAAAAATCTCCGCAGATTCTAGACGTGAAGCTGCTGGTTTCCAAACGTGTACCTATAAAAGAACACTTGCTATTACAACCACTGGAAACTGTTGCTAAACTAATCATATTATATAAAGATCTAGAAAATATTCGTAATGTTCGCAAGCAATTTAACATATTTCAAATCCTATTGAAATTGAAATTGTTTACTTGTTTGAACAGCTTCTCAAATACTGATATCAGATGACAATAATCACTTGAACGGAAGATTTTCGTCACAAAAATACCATTTTTTGTTAATATTTGCGTAGCAAGTCTTAAAGCTGATAGCGTTAAACAATTTTGCTGGAATGCATCCTGAACCCAATTACGTCCTACGTTAGGTGCACCATCATGCAGCACACAATCAGCCTGCAAAATACAAAATCAGCCAGCCATTTCATACTCAAATACCAGGGTACACAGCAGAAAAATCGAAACCTTGGAAAATAATACCACTATGTTTTAAATACCCTCTTTGCCGAATAATTTGATATTGTCAATAACACTATCAAGTAAAATACTGCAGAGAGTGTAATATACTATTTTCGCCATGCAATATTTTAAAATTTGTGATTAAACATAAAAACACACTTCCCAGCCATGCAGCTCTTTTCGAACCATCTGCCTAGTTTTTTCAGTGGTTATATCACCTTGTAAAGTTACACATTTGTTGATCGGCTTAATAGGTACTAAATCCACTCCTGAAAACGTTTATTTTGCTAAAAAAACCGACAAAAAGGTGCAATAAATTGTGTTAATTTTATAATAATTTAATAACACAGAGTCACCACCCCTATCTTATGTACGGTGGAAGTTATACCTATGCAAATAGATGAAACAGGCATATTTTGTATGGCCACTTGAAGCCATCCACCTGGTGCTGCGCATAGATCAACAACTGCTCTGGATTTTTGCAAAAATTCGAATCGCTTATTAAGTTGCAGCAATTTGAATGCAGCACGAGATCGATATCCTGAAATACATAAATATGCAGACCCAACTCTCTTCTGCTTTCATCCCTTTATATATAATTGTTCAACCGTTCACATCACCACTTTAATCAACTGATGGATTACTCGGTAGTTACTATTACATATCTTTCTGAATATATGTATTATGTACAAGATTAAGAATTTAAATTTTACAGAAATGTCTGGAGGAATAAATTGAATTAGACAAAACCTGCTTCCTTTGCGAGATGATAGTATTTGTCTCGGCGCTGCTTACCAATTTTCGTCTTTTTACCCATTTTCTTTCAATTTCGTTGCTGTGCGAAACTTGAATTTCTGGAAAACACTCCGAAGAATTAGAAAACTGTATTAATTAAATCGTTCGCAAACAATAGAGAATGAAATAATGACATGGACGTATGTGTAACAATCTTTCGCCAACAAGCTATCAGTTAAAACATTTAATATTTGACTGGAAATTAGCAAGTTCATTATAGGATGGTAAATTGAAATTGCTATATTGTATATGATATGAACGAGCTTAACTTTTTCCTTCGCTGTTTCTCATTACTAGAGACAATCCTAACAATGAAACGAAATTTCCAACTACAAGAAAAAAGTACGCCAGGAAAAAGGCCGTAGAATCATTTAGGCAAATCATCTATAACACCTCTTACAGCTAGCCTTATCAGTCTCTGATAATCTGATAAGACTTATCAGTCTTACAGCTAGTCTTAGCTGTCTTTCATTTCTAAACACATATATTTATTTCTGATAATTAAATTTAGAGTTATGAAGTTGTTAAACTACTAATAAAACATACAATTCCGTAGTCCTAATAATTTCTTATACTTTTAATATTATTGTTGCCAGTAATTAAACAGTGACTTCAAAAAGCTCACGTAAAGATTTATTTCATTCATTTTGAAGCTATCTCCGGAATGCCAAAAGAATAATCTATTACTCCTTAAACTGGAGCTCTGTAATCTTAAAGTGATCTCTGACCACCAATCAGTATAACTCACTTCTACGCTCACTTGTCCATGAAGCAAAGATGTGATATCCGGCTCATATCCGGAAAACCTCTGACCCCACCGTAACAGTCATACCATGCATTTCGTGTGAAATTTCATCATCCCATCGGCGTGGATGAAATTTCCCGCAGGTTTAGAAGATGAATAGCCAGAAATCGATGCGGCGGATTTGTTTTTTAACTTATGAAGTGATAGTATATTGAATTTTTTCATTTCCGTTTAATTCCAGTAAGTATATCTCTGTAGACATATTTTCGGATTATCATTCTGTGCATGGAATATTTATATGAAGGATTCATTATTTATATTTAATTAGTTATGTCAAATTTTTAGATTTATTATGTCATTATGCTGTTGTGAAAAATTGACATATATATGGCGAAATATATATGATCATATATGTTGTAATTTTTTTACATTATTAAAGTCACTGTTTAATTATTTTGACAGGGAAATTTGCATTCATTTACTAATACTTTCCTTTTTTTGTTGATTATATCGAATACAGTATATAATTTCTGGTTGTGCTTACTTTAGAAGTTAGATAAGATTCATTGATGTGTTTTCTTTTTTCACATGACATATATATATGTGTTAGCTTGAATATATTGCTATAATTTCATAGCAACCATAATTTTTCATGTTTTCCGCCAGTTGAACAATTTTTGCATAGGAAATTTTATTACACTAATGTTTTAACTTTTTTTATCAACATTTACTATTTGTTTATAATAATTCATAATTTGTAGGAATATTCAATTGGTGAAAGTTGCTGTAGAGATCAAAGGTGGCATTGATAATAAACGGTTGTATTTTTCTCTTTTTTATAGGAAACGTTGGATATTGCTAGTAAACAACCATTCATCTGTTATGTTGGGATGAAAATGGAAATAATTCAAAATGCGCTTTGACGATATTATTATTCCGAAGGTTAATCATCTTTCTCTTTCTCCTTGTATTTCTTCTCCCTCCTTCTAATAGAATATTAGAAAAGATGCGAAAAAGAGAAATGAAGAAAAAGAGAAGTGGTGAAATTCAATAATTTAAGAAATATAAGCTACGGGAAAGCATATCAGTGATTAATAAAATTCATCGCTTAGAAATAACTTTAAGGTTATTAAATAGTCCTCATGAAGTTAATATAAAATTGTACCTGGTATTATTCCGATTTTTTTTCACTCATTTCAAATATTCGATTCCTATAAATGAAAGGCGAAAAAAAAATAACGAATGGCAGATTAAAAGGAAGGCAGGGTGATAGAAATAAACGAAATAATAAGGAAATTGATGTAAGAGTGGAAAGATCAATGTTTGCAAGTGTTGGAAAACAGGAGATAATTAGGAAAAAATATTTGTATTTATGGGTTATTAGTACATTTTTCTTTTTGTTATGTATTGTTTTTTACAAGCAAGTCAAAATTCGGACTATTTGTAAGTTTATTTTCAGTTAAGTGTAGCAAATAGTTCAATTTGTATAGAAGAAGTTTTAATAGAAACGCTTTAAATATTTGAGGGGAAATGAGAGTGAAAATGCAAATATTATGTGAGACACTTTGGAACAATTTCTTAATCGATTTACACAGATGTTTTCTTTTCCAATTGCTAGAGTAAAAGAAACTATGGTATTAATATATGAAGCAGTTTAGTGTTTGTAGAAATTTCGATGTTGTTAGTTTGTTATTTCTTTAATTTGTTTTAAATACTTATAAAAATTATCTGCTGCTCTAACAAACATTATATCGTGAAGGATAATTTATTCGTTTTCATTATTTACACAATTTTTGCATCGTTTATATTTTTTGCATTTGAATTGCTTTCCCTTAAAGTTTTCAAAAATATTGTGGTTTAAGTAATTTTGCTAACAGTGCACTATTTTTGATTCATTTTTTTCGCGACGACAGACATTAAAAGCTTTACTTTTGACGACACACTCTTTTTCTTTTTAACGATTTTTTTTTTTTTTTTTTTCCAAATAATTTCAGTAAGGCATGACTTATGCCATAGAATTTCAGGTTTTAGAAAGCTTTATTTAACATTATAGATTGGAAAATATATCTTTAAATGTATACATCAAACATATCGTTGGTGTATTTTTTCGCATTTTATTTATATAAGCACAATTCAATACTCATAATATGTTAGTTGGATGACATTGCGAGAGAAATTTATTTATGTTTTGTTGTCTTTTGTGAAATCAGTTCTAAAATGACTGATTGATTCAAATCATCGATAGATAGTGTGATGAAGCAACGTGATGAGTAATCCTTTAATGGAAATGTGCAATGATATCACAGCTAAATAAATTGTAAGATTTACTTTTAGAAATGATAACAACAGATTAGGTTTTGTGAATTTAATTTAAACGATGAATGAAACAATGGTTTTGCGCGAAATTTAGCTAGGTTTGTTTTAATATGGCTAGAAATTTTCACCATATACTGGAAATTAAATTAATTTTTTTTCTTTTTAAGAATGCCTTCAAGGTTTTAGTTTTCTAAACTGCGAGATTTAGTTCAAATTCTAGACATTGTGGCAATTATAGTTGGATTTGTACTTTAATTATTATATAGCTAAGTAGGATTTCTATGAAAATTCTCATTGACTCTATATTGCTATATTTTATATGGTTGATTTGCCCATCAGAACGGTTGATTGAATTTATGTTTTGCGTCATAAATTTTCTTAGTTTTTATGATTCGATATAATTCCACAGTGGGAAATATGGAAATTTTGCACAAAAAGATATTGAAATTCCAAAGGAATACAACAAAATAGGAATGAATGAATTATATATTTCTAATTGATTGAATTTTTGTCATAAATATAATCCACTCAATTGCTAGACTTTAAATTTGAATTTCCTCTTTCATTCAGTCTTATAGCTAATGAAAGACTAGGAAGTTTAACATATAAGAGATGGCATAATTCGATTATTGGACCTATTTATTAGATGTGGGAAATGAAGTGGACTCGAGAGGGGATGAGAAGAAAAAAGAATAAAACAGTTTGCTTAGGTCTGTTGTTGATGCTATTGAGTTTGTTTCTTTAAATAGAGCTCTTATCTTGATAGAGAAGAATTTCTCTTAATCGAGAATTTTTTTTTGGAAGAGAAGTTCTTGACAAAAATTATTTAAAATCTTTTCTTTCTCTTTTTTGGTCCAACCCTTAAAAAATTATTGACAGTTTTCGACTTCTCAAAGGCTTTTTCTTTTTGAATTTTTAGTATCTGTTAAAGCAATTTTTTTTTTCTAAGGATTTTGAAAAATTTTTTCTTTTGCGATAAAATCACGGAAAAATCACATTACATACTTTTCCCATAAAAAATATTTATTGGAATTTATTTATTAAAGATTTTTTTTTTTTAATTTTTCAATTTGGAATATGCTTTATGCGGAATTTTTCTCCATCGTCACTTCATACATAGTCTATTCTCACCGGTTTTCTGAGCCATCCACCGCATTAACGTATCTATAACTGTTTCGATCTAATGTTGGTTGTTTATTTTTTGGGAAATTATCATAACTTTCTAGTTTTCTTGATTTATTTGTAATGCTGATTATTTCTTTTCTTAAGATAATAAAAAATTATATCGCTTTATTAAGTCATTCTTTTTTACCCAAGATTGCTTCCAGTTAACTTTTAAATATTTAAAAAAAATTTTTCCAGGATTTTTTCATTTTTTTTTTCGGATTTTCAATCATATTTTGGATTTCTTTGTATTTGACTTACGTAAATTTTTCCTTTGTGCATAATTGAATTTTAAAGTTTAAAGCTTCAAGTTTTTCTTAAATTTATGTTAGGAGCATCTTTTACTGATTTAATGCTTATTTTTGGTTATTTAGGGATGGGATTTTTGTATAATGGCAACTAAAAGCTATGTCCTTTTTATAATGAAATGATGTCAACATTTGTTGGAAAATAAAAACTACTTATTTTTAGCTTAGCCTAGAATGAGTAGTTATTTAGCAAGAGCAGTTCTTTACTTCTGAAATTTTGCTTTCCTTTTTTTTCTAAATATTATATTTATCAACAAATAATTGTAAATTTTCGACAAATTTTTTTGTATAAAAATTCATCCAGTAGTTGATAATATCAGGTAAATTGCAAATGAGCTTACCGATGGTATCTTCGCCAACGGATGAATTTGAAATTGCTCGATTGCTATTGATTGATGGATTCAAACGTTTGTATGAAACGATAATGGGCCATGAGTCGTTACGTGATGACGATTTGATACTATACTGTGGATTGTTACAAACGGTGTGCGGTTTTATAAGATGTTTCTGAAAGTTTAATTTGTCAAAGATTTTTTTGCTATTCCTCTGAGGATAGAGCAAAGTTTGTTGAAGAATATATATGTATAATGAGCAAAGTTTTTCTTTTTTTTTTTATTTTATAAAACGAATTAAATTGGATACTTTTTAGGAAAAAGAAGAAGCATAGACAATTTTTTACCGAACTAAGTCTCGTTTGAAAATCCTAAAATTAAATATTTTATTATCGATATGTGTTACCGTACTTGGGTTCAATTTTTGATGCTCATTCCCTTCTCATTTTTATTTTATTATTTTTTTATTAATTTATATGTGTGTCTTTATTTTTTGTTTCCAAAAATTTTCCCTTTGTTTAAATTTTTTTTGGAAAAAGATATGAATTAAATGAAGATTAGAAAATGTAGGTGCATGTTTTAAAATGAGTGAAACATGTTGTTTGAAGTGTGGAATGCAGGTAGCTTACATCTTATAGTGTATTTCTGCTGGTTTTGTATAATTTAATTTAATGAGCAATCACTATCTGAAAAGCTTTTAAGAGGAAAAAGAGAAAACATCCATTATTCCAGATATGTTTTTTACAGTTTTTTGTCAAGTACCAAAGTCTTATTATTATTCAAAACAAAACGAGAAGCATTTCAGTCATTGAACTAGTTAATTCATTCATTTTATTATGTATCTTTTTTCCACATTTAAAAAAACCTTTCTTAATATTAATCTTTGTTTGGCCACGTAACATTAGATGAGAAATGTAAAGATGGAATGATAAAACCTATAATATATAGATAGAAAGGGCTGAAAACGAAGCTTAATACGTTTTTCATGAAGGTAATTTCAGGTAAACAAAGTACAGTTGATTGATCGATTAGGGTCGGAGCCGAATATTGTCGGTTCGATACATGTAACCACTTCACATGTTATTTTTAAAGCTGAAGATAGTGCGAAAGAAATATGGGTTTGTCTTATATTTATTTCTTAATTTTTTTGATTTAATTCTATGAAGTTAGATTATTTTCATTTTTCGAAGACTCCTTAATTTACTTTTATGGAGTATTTTTTTTTTCAAATTATTAAAGGACTTTATTTAGTGTATTTAGTGCATCCTAAGTAACTAGCGTTGGAATTAAGCATTGTTCAAGTATCATTAGTCATTATTATGTAATAAAGTAGCACTTAAAATAAGCGAGAATTTAGCAGACATGAATTACGTATGAGAACATGAAAAAGAAAAATCAATACAACTTTCAAAACTTTTTTCAAATGAGTGGAAAAGATAACTGATATAGATTGCGACTGATTTGATTGATTATTGATAATCTCACTTATGACTAGTGACTAGACCAACCAGATAGTGAATGAATATTCTTTTTTTGCTTGCTAAAATTATGTTGAATGGGTCACAAATTGGAATAAAAAGGATAGTTTAATCTTATTTTGCAGGTTCCAAACGGATTAATCGGAACAGTGGAGAAAGGAATGCTTTCAGTATTAGGAACACCGCTAACAGTGAAATGTAAACATTTTCTAACCTTAACTTTTTTAATAACACGTGACAAAGAATGCCAAGATCTCGTGGAAACATTGAACAAATGCGGCAAACCTGGTTTGTTTGTTTTATTGAAATTAAAGTGAAATAATGTTTTATGAATGTAATAAATTGTAGTAATAGATGAAGTGGTGAGTAAATGATAAATTTAATACAGATCTCAATCTTCTGGAGGAACTTTGTCGCATTAGTAGTACTATTAGTAGCATCATTAAAAGGTATTGACAAGTATGTGAACGAAAGCCAATTCTTGCATTGATTTTAGTAAATATAACGGATGTATTTGCATTTGAAAACAAAGAACGAAACGATGATATTCGTTTGAATGCGGAAAAACGCGGCTGGGATCGATTTGATTGGGCTGTTGAATTTGCCCGTCAGGGAATTGGTACAGCGGATGATCGAAAATGGAAAATTACCGATTTTAATACGGGATATAAGGTTTTAATTATTTTTTGTCATTTATATATTTTTTCTTAAATTATTTAAAACAATTAATAACGGAAACTGAATCAGGTGAAAGTAATGCATTTTTCATCACAAATAAATGATGTTAGCTCGAAACAGAAAAAAATGTAAGCTAAGAGACTAGTTATTTAGATTTTTCGGATACCAGATTATTAGTAACCTGAAATTGAACAATAATAGTTAAAATTTTCAACTAATACTTTTAACTTTCAAAAAATAAAAATTTTTAGGATTATTTAACTAAACACTTCTATTTTTCTGTATTTTGTGAGAACTTTTTCCAGAAAATACTTCCAGATAATCTATGGCATTGCATGGTATTTTATGTTATTCATGTAGTTACAAGCTTTTTCAGTACTGTGATACTTATCCGGAATGTTTGTGTGTCCCATCCGCAACAACCACTCAAACCCTGATAGGATCATGCAAGTTTCGTAGCCGTGCACGCCTGCCTGTTCTTACATATTTTCACCGGCCAAATGCAGCTAGCATCTCGAGGCTTGTTCATTTTCCGTTTTGCATAGTTTCTTGTTTCATAACACTTCACAAATTTATTTTTCTATTGATATTTCTCTTTTTCTATGGCTTACTTGTTACAATTAGAAAAAAAATTCAAATCAAGCCATCCAATTTTTGAGGCTATTTACTTAGTTTCAATTAGTACTTGAAGCAATTGTTTTTATAGGACAAAATATTGGAAAGGATAAATGCGAGTTGTAAAATATACATTTGGAAAATGGAATAAATATGGCATGCAACAATAGCTTGAATTTTGCTACAAACATATTTGTTTTTTTAGATGTGCTCAACCCTTAACGGGTTTTAGCGCACGTTGCGTTGAAGACGAAATGCTGATGGATGCAATAGCAAAGACGAATCCTTCCAGTTCAACGCTTTATTTAATTGATACACGACCAAAGGTGCGTTTTTCTACTTTTATCTTTAATTTCATGTACTTTACTAATAGGCGCTTTTTTCTTTTTCTTTTCATTTTTTTTTTTTTTTTTTTGTATTTACTATCGGTTCATTACGATAGAGAAAGAAAGAATAAGAGAATTTAAGATTAAAGTATTTAGGCACATGTTAAGATTAAAAGACATTAAAAGGATTTCCTTATAGTGTGGTAATCGCATTTTTTGCTCTTTTTCAAAATTAGTTCTCTTTCCCAGTTAACAGGCTTTTTTGGATATTTGCTATTGAAAAAATGAATTTTTTTTTGTTCAGATGAATGCTATGGTTAATAAAATGCAAGGTAAAGGATTTGAAAATGTTCGGAATTATACAAATTTACGATTTCATTTCTTCGATATTGACAATATACACATTATGAGATCGAGTCTAAGCAAATTATTAGAAGGTGAATTTTTGTCGAATTTAAAAATTCCCTTCATGAAGATGTAAGATTCAAACAACTATTGTTGATGTCTGATCGGTTATTGATAAAAACCTTAAAAATAGGGAACATGGATCAGTTAGCTATGAAATTGATTTCGACAAATAGATTTAATGAAGAAGGGATAAGAAACAGAAATAGAGTCTTATCAGACTAGTTAGTTAAGAAGACGGGGAGGCGGAAGAGGAAGAGAGATAGTATAAGACAAGATATAATAAATAGATAAGCAAATGTATATTTATTAATATACATTATGTTAATTGCATGATCTGATTGTTGTTCACTGAAGTGATTCGTTAACAATATTAAACTGATCGATGTTTGATTATTGCAGCGTGTCATCGATCAAAAACGGTTTCGGATTATTATAAACAGTTGGAAGCATCCAGTTGGTTAAAACATGTCCTTGCCCTGTTGGAATGTGGCAATTTTTTGGCCATTTCAATAGCACGTGGAATTTCATGCGTTGTACACTGTTCTGATGGTTGGGATCGTACGGCGCAATCGGTCAGCATTGCCCAAATCTTACTGGATCCGTTTTTTCGGACTATAAAAGGTTTCCAGGTGTGTCGCAATAAGCTTGTTTTATAAAATCAAAATGTAATGTCATGCGTTACTGTATTCTTATAAAAATATTTTGGTTGATTGGGATTAAATTAAATCAAATTAAACGCAGATTAAATTTATTAAACCTTATAATCGAATTGCAAATATTGTGAAATTCACTGGTCGGTAAGGAAAATCTATTCAATATTCAAACTGATTTTATAAAATTATGGTGCTTTAGTTGTAGCATGATTACATTTTGGAATCTGTCACATATTATAATCCGCCGAAAGTGATTAAGGGTGTATTTTTTGCAGTGCTTACAATCTGATTGTTCGTTTAAATTTCACAGTGCTTAAGCTATGATGTAATTGCAGTTTAATAGTGGAGAACTAAAATGATGTTCTTTTGGATCTTACTGTGCGTTTAACAGGAAGTATCTGTTGCAGATATTGATCGAGAAGGATTGGCTTGGTTTTGGTCATAAATTTGACGATCGATGTGGCCATATTGGTGCTTTCAATGACGAAGCAGCTCGAGAGGTAATGTAAGACAGAACTGCAAGAAAAGAAATGTCCTTATGACAGTAAATGTGACAAATTTTACAAATCTTTAGTAGGATATTTTGGTTATTTCACATTTGCTATAGTTTTAGACATAGAAATATCTTAACTATTAAACGTTTTAGATTTCAGTAGCACTTATATTCTACTTGACGTTTAACTCAGATATCTTATTTATTTGGATATCATATTTTTTGGAATTTAAGAAAAGATGATATTTTCGCTGTAAACAATTGCTAGATATGTTATTACATGCAGAAAGAGAATTTCTTGGCTGCCATTATTACTTGTCATACATTGCTTAGGTATCGCCTATTTTCACTCAGTTTCTGGACGCGACATTTCAAATCATGCGACAGTATCCATGTGCTTTCGAATTCAACGAACGTTATTTAATCCATATGCACGAGCATGCCTACTCTTGTCAGTTTGGTACATTTCTTGGGAATTGTGACAAAGACCGAAAGGTATGCTTAGACACCAAAAAGCGATCCAGTATATTTTATTAGAAATTTGTTTTTACTCTGTTAATTTAGGATCTCAATCTAGCAAAAAGAACACAGTCTTTATGGGCATTTCTGGATGACCGTCATGACGATTATATCAATCCGTTATATGAAGTTAGTTTGTTTCTGCTTCTGATTTTATTCCATTCAAATATCTTGAATAAAATATGGGAATTTTAATTATTGTATATGATGAAAGTTTCTAAAAAACTACGGTAATTTGCGAGACTTTTTATGAAAGCTGATAATTTTTCAAAAATTTATTGGGTTTTAGAGTGGTTTTCATAAAGTATATTATTGCATTTTACAAAATTTTACCTTTTCTGAATAATATGATGAAAGTGCAACTAGTACAATTGATAGGACTGAAAAGTTCACGTTGAAAACTGCACGCAGTGTGATCTTTTTTTTTTACAGATGAATAAGTATGGTTTTTTGGGAAAAATAAACTTACATCCATCAGCGTTAGTTATCTGGACAGCTATGTACAATCGTTTCGATACCGGACTTTTGCCACGGGAAAATACAAATGATGTAGCACTATCAACAATGGAACATGTTGGCATCTTGGAGGCACATTTGGCTTCACTTCAATCGGTATATATTTTTCCTTTTTTTTACGAATTTGTTTGGTCAAATATTGATATCATTAATGATCAAACTTAAAGAAGCAGTCGATGATAAGTTTTTCCAGCTAATTTTGAAAGAATTATGGAAAGTACTTTCACTAGCATTTTTGGTTTCTAACCAAATTTTTAACTTTTTCTTATGAGGAATATTTTACAGAGATTGGCAGAATTGAAACTTTTAGTGGGAAAACAAACACCGGGAAGTGAAGTGATGAGTGATAGTGGCCATTCTAGTTCTATTTCTAACACTATTACACCTGAAGCTTCTAAAATTCCAGGTCCTTTAAAATAAAAGTTTTTCATTTTCTTTCTTTTTAACAGATTAATATGCTGATAAAAAACAATTTAAGTTAATAAAAATTTGGTATCTTATTTGTGTTATCTTGTGGTGCTTGCTTTTGCGGTTATCTTTGAGGGTTTTTTGCAGAGCGGATTTCAGACGTCACTTCATTAACTCATAATTACACAATGGATGAAAAATGGAAGAAGAATTCCTGGGATGGAGGGCAAAATATCCAGGAAAGTGGCATATACGATGCACTATTCCCATATAGTGTTCGTTTTTGTATTATTTGTTTTTCATAGTAGCAACTTTTTGGCTTTTTCAAAAGGGAGGTAGTGTTTTTATCGGTAGAATATACAGGCAAAGTTATACACTTAAGCTCAAATTATAATTTCTTATTGCTTGAATATTGTAATGAAGGGTATATTTTGGATAGGTCTAAAATGTCATCAGTTATTTGCAAAACAAAATGGTATTTAATATTATACACTGTTATATCAAATTATGCGTTTTATTTGATTTATCTTTTCTCCTGAAACTATTTATATTCACTTTAGTAGGCGATTTTAATATCTAAAAAAATATTTTAGGTAATCATTAGGTGATCATAATGAGATAAGTCATTCCTTAAGGAATGAAATGATTTGTTGATGTTATTCGATCGCAGGTTTTTGGTCTTCATCCATTTACTAGAATACATCGCTGCTTCTACTGTTATCATTTGTGTGGTGAGAATTTATGGTTGCTTCTCTGAAACTGATATTTCAGGACAATAATAGTCCATTGCCTGCTTTACGCTGGCAATCAATTCGTTCGGCAGATGAATGCTCAAATATTGATTGCAGTGCGGAATTTGTCACGCGTGGTGAGCGTCGTCTACACTGTTATAGGTGCGGTAAAATTCATTGTCGTCGTTGCATGATGCTTACATCAGATGGTGTTGAGCGTGTTTGCATTGCATGTTCGGAATTGGTTCAGCAAAACAATTCATAATAATAATAAGTTGCTGTTAATATAGTTTTGATTAATTTTTCGAAAATTGTTTTTTTGGTAGAATAAATTCATTCTTTTTCTTTTGTTCTTCGTAACTTTTGTTATAGTTTTAAATTTATTTGAGATAAACTTGGTTGAGTAATTGAGTAGTGAAATTGACATGAATAATTTATTTTGAAAACTGCTAAAAGAATCCATTTTATCTTTTCAACCAATCCCACATTATTAGTAGTAATACTGTTTAATTATTAATTGTTTGAATCTTTTTAACTAATCTAGTAAACCGTATCATTTGTCGGATTTATTTCTAAGATGCACCTAGATGTTCTTCTTCCTTCGCATTCAAATTTCGAATTTTACATATGATCAAATATTTAAAACATTAACTATTTATTGGTATTGTTTTCATGATTTTCGTATTTTCTATAACTCAACGATAAGTGATATTTTGTCTTCTCATAGCTCCTTTGGTTGTGTTGTAATCTTATCATCCTGTGTTAGTGTTTCTGCGTTGTATTTCATTGATCCTTGTTAATTCTTTTTTTTTGACTGATTTTTTCTACGCGGCTAGGTGCAACAGATTCACATGATGAATGTGATCATGTATTTAAAATTATCAAATGTTGACTGGAAATGTGAACATTTATGAAATTATGATACTTTGGGACTTCACAGATTTATTCGTTATATATTTCACTTCTGCTTCTTACTAATATACTTCCCATATATACTTCGTTAATTTTTCTTTAGATTGTTAGGTTTGGGCAGATGCAAAAATTTTTAATTTTCAATTAAGGGCTTAGCTTGCCTTTAAATATCAATAATTAAACATGTTTAGAAAAGGTAAAATCTAAGCAATTTTAACTTTAAAATATGAAAACTAAAAAACAGAAGCAACCACTGATTTGTAACATTTATTGTCTGCACTTTTGGTTTTACTTCAACTTTTATTTTGATTATTTACAGCTGAAAAGGGCAGATGTATTATTGATTTGACATTTGGTCCTTGTTTTTTAATTTAATCACTGCTATAAATCTTTATGTAGTGTCGTAATAACGATAAGTAAGGTGTTCTACATTTTTGTATTATTTGATACCTTAACAGTTATCAGTGTTAGCAAGTTTGTATTTCTCTTATTAATCGTTGTTTTCATTTCATTGAAAACAAAGTAAGATAAGGGCAAATTTTCAATGAACAGTTCAGTAAATAAAATTTAACAGTGTTGATTGAATGTATTTGTACTCCTATCTCTTTATGCATGCATATCTGATTGCTTAATAGATTATTTATTTTTGTTAAATTCTTTTTCTGTTTCAGTTAAATGTTTATTGTTAGTGATTTAAGGATTTTCATGCTTTTGTCAATGTTTTAGTTGTTTTTTTTTTCTTTTTTTTTAAAAAAGCATTATGTTTTTACATGTGTTTTACAAATGATCACGTTAAGATAGCGTGCACACTGAGTTGGTAAGTGGAGTAAGTGATTGTGAGAGATGTCATTACGTGTCCTGGTTTATGGTCTTTTTCAAATGAGATCGAAATGAGGTTTGGAATAGATTAATTAGGTTCTAACTAAGATAGTAGCATTCTTTTAGATATTCGATGATATTCAAAGGAATTGGCATAATCTAAGAATGTTTGATCGAAACAATCATACTAGGATGTAAAAATGAATTTGAAAATTCATCTATGAAATAAATGACAAAATATTACCAATGATAAATCAATATAATTTGCAAAATAATTTGAATTGTCATAGACATTATATTATGGTGGAATTAAAATACTTGTGACTTCGATATTCAAATTTGTACATTTGGAACTTAAGCATGTTAAACAATAAGCTTAAACCATTAAATATTCAAAAATGTTGTAAATCTGTATGTTTTTATTAATTTCTAGCAATAAAATATTTCATACCCCACCCAGCTTTATTTCAATAAATAATAAATTTGAAAATACCCATTTGCAATATTCAAAAACTAATTTAAAACAACTACTTATGTTATCAATTGCAATTTTAATGAATAAAGGTGGACGTCCGGTTGCATATGTGCTTGCTATTATAAAATTTTTGAACAAAAAGTCGAAAAGTTTCATATGCGATGGAAGATGTAATGTTCGTTAATTTTTACCTGTTCTATATCTCTTTCTTATTTTTGATTCAGAATTTCTTTAAAAATTTCTGATTTTTAAATTTTTTTTGTTTTAATAATTGCGTGATAATAATTTCGATCTAATAAAGTAGTTTAATCATCCTTTATTTTTGTAATAATGTTGATGTAAATATTGTAATAATAATAATTTGCGCAGTTTTTCCACAGTAAATCATACAGTACCACCGGCAACAATAGGCCACAATTCTTTTCACCATACGGTACCCGTACAGTACCAATCACATAATCCACCGTAATTTTTTTACAGTAAATCATATAATACCAAGAACAATGATAAATCGACAAATGAAAGCACAGCTGACATTGATAATGATGAAAATCATGCGAGTAATTTAATGAACTGTATAGTACCATCGACTAGTGTTAACCAACGGATGCGTCGTATTGAAGAAATTTTAGATTCAATACCGTACTTCTTTGGTAGTATGCTTGATGATAATAATTTGCAACGACGCTTACTTGTTGAATTAGGTTAAATATTTTTTTCTTCGTTTTTTTTTTTTTTTTTTTTTTTTTAATGAAATTATTTTTAAGCTACGGAAAAAAGTGCAAGATTGATATTTAATTGGATAATAAATGGATTAATTTTTTTTCTGTTCAAAATAAATCAAAAAATATTAACCAGATATTAATATTGGATATTAATAAGATATTGATGAAGTAGCAATACGAAACCATATTTTCTTGCAAACTTATCTTTATAAGTTATTTTGAAATTTCTATCCTACACTATAACATTTAATAACAGGTGATTGCCTTTTAATATCATGTCCAAAATTAAACGAAAAAATAAATCCGGAATCTAATTGGTACTTGGTTGTATTAGAAGCAAATGAAATTGTTGAAAAAGTTAGGGTAAGTTCATGATTCCTTTTGCTTTTTAATATTCTTCCGAATTTTCCAATTTGAATATGTTTTTCAAGTATTTGATTGAATTTTAACATTTAATAAAGTTTTGCTCGGAAAAACAGCAAATTTAATTTGTAATTGATCACGAGGTGATTGTATTTAGGTAGCATATCGTGATAAAACTTTTAAAATTTGGAGTGATAAGAACACTACAATACATCAGTATATCGAAATGCGATCTTTGAAAACAATTGAACGACCGTGGAATATTATTCCAGAACAGGTTTTAAAATTTTCAGAAACTTTTTACATCTCAAACTTTGGATATAATACAGCAATGACAACCTGGCAAGAAGTTAATTTCACTATATGCTTAACGATTGATTGATATGAAATGGTCAAAAAGTTTTATAATAAGAATTGTTCATTTTAGATTAAAAAATATCAACGTAAAAAATAATGAAGAAAAATCTAAGTAAAATTAAAATATATATACGAAAAAAGGGTGAAAAAGGTTTAATTGTCAAACATTTTAAAAGTTGATTAATTTTTTTTTTCCTAAACACAACTGTTATAGTTAACCAAAAAGATGCCCAATATTCTTCATCATGCATACCCAATTAATGATGTAATTTTCCCATTGGGCAAATTTTTACAAAAAACATTAAACATTGATCATAAACATTGGATACCGGTGATCGAAATGAGTGTAAGCAATTGTAGCACTGATGAATTGAAATGTTTGATTGTTGAAGCAAGAAAACGACGACGATTTGGATCAATGTGTGCCATTAACGATTTATTATTTTTCATTTTAATAATACCATTTTTTTATTTAAATTTTTGTATAATGATAGTTTTATGAATTAATTTTCCAAAAAACTTTAGTTCATTGCTTTTTTTATTCAGATAAAATAAATAAAATGAAACATGCAAAAAATTTCAAATAGCTTATTTTAAACGTTTTTTTTTTTTTTTTTTTTCACCACACTTTACACGTTATCCTAAAATACTTTAAAAAAAGGATATTGAAAATCCATTTCAACAATATTTTTAAATTTAAAGTCCAAATTTTATGCCATTATATTAAGAATGGTTCCAATTATGAAAGACTGCAATTTCTCTGAATTGTTTAGTTATAAGTTATTGTATGTTAAGAAGAATTTGGCGACTCTGGGGCATATGTCAGTATTCGCCTGAAAGTGTGTCATTAGTTCTTGAAGATATTACTTATGGTTCGCTTGCTGACTTTATTCGAACAAGTCCTAGAGCACAAGATCAGGTAATGTAAGAGTTAATTTTTATAGAAAAAAAAGAACAGAAAGATTGCATAGGCTAAATTGTTTAAACTAACAGAAAAAATAAGCCATAAACTTGGCTATGGCCAGAACGAAAACAGTTGTCGCATGCTTATTTTTTATACGTAAATGATTTATAAATTAAATGAAATTATGATGATAAATACTCCATTATTATTTATTCGTAATTACTAATTGTTAAGAATAAACGATTTAATTAAGTATTATATTATCTGAAATTGAATTAGTTTATTACGGATGTTGTTGTAAAAAAGACTGAATGAATTTTATAAATTAAATTAAAATTTTATACAGTTTTGACGGTAATGCTACCAAATGTTAATGTTATTATCTAGCATGCTGAAAAAATTTTTGACTTATATGAAAGTAACTTATTTTATTTTCAATGCAACATGATTTGAATTATTTTATTCATTTTTCCTATGCACACATAATTAATTGACTCTTTACAAAACTTTTTATGACTACAGGACATAAAACAATATTAGCATAAAATTAATTAACTACAAACGTTATTAAACTATAATTAGGAGTTTTAACTTTTTTATTTATATAAATTTACTGTGCAAGTAACAAATAGCTGACAAAATTTTATCATTTATTGTTTCAGCGATACAAATTTTTTACGTAAATAGTAAATTGTTTTCAAATTTTTTATCGCTTACTTTTTTAGCAATGTAAATTTGCTATGCAAATAGTAGATGGCCTTCGAAATCTTGAAAAATATGGTTTTATACATTGTCGTTTATCAATTGATGTTTGTTTACTTACTTATAATTACAATGTTAAAATTGCAATTTATGGATTAACCCCAGGTGAATTATATCCAACGTACGTTGATGTTAACGATATTGATCAGTGCAGGTTAATTTAAAGTTGAAATTTAATATTAGATGAATATTCCATTTTTTTGAGCTTTGTTTTTCTTTTTGGTAATGAAAACTTCAATGTATACACTGTTCAATAAACATTTGCTTAACAGTAAATCCGAAAAAAAGAAACAGAAAAATGAAATTCAATTTTCAAAAATTTTTATTTGTTTTCTCTACTACTATTATTATTATGCTTTTTTCTTTAAAAAAAAAATCGTAAAAGAAATTTTATCGATATTTTCTCATTTATGTAAAATGAAATGTTTAAGTCAAGTCAAACAAAGTGTACATCATCGCATTTACAGCAAATTTGTAAAGAATTTTGTTAAAGCAAAGATTGAAAAGGACTAATTGTTTTCAGATGGTTACCGCCCGAATGTTTACCAAATTCAGACATTACACCGATGCCATATAATACGTCAGGAATGATTTATTCCTACGGGATCATACTTTGGTCAATGTTTCATGGCGGTGCATTACCGTTTGAAGATGAACCTGCGGAAAATATTCGAAGTCGTCGATATCGTATACAAAATCCATTGTATATTGAACCGGAATTAGTTCCAAATGAAATTCGTAATGTTAGTTAGTCTATTTAAATAATTTATAGTGAGCAATTAATTAGTTATGTAAAAAAATAAGTAAAAAAAAAAAAAAAAGAATGGTACATTTCAGTAACATAAATCAATGATTAATTGATTATATTTATGTCATATTATCCGGTTTAAAATTTAATTAAAAATTTTTTTCAGTTTTTTTTCAAATTTTTTTTTCAAAATTTTTTTTTCAAATTTTTAAAAGTTAAAAAATTTTTGACCATCTAAATTTTTGTCAAAAAAGATCAAAATATTAAAAATTTCCTACCAAATCTGTTGAACATTTTCTTCCTATAAAACATTTTTTATCTAAGATTTAATGGGAATCTGCAAGACATTATTATCAGTTGCAATTAACATTCCTGAACTGAAAAATTATGTATGAACAAACCGAATTTTTTAAAGATTTTAAAGTTTTTTGAAAATCAAATATTTTGTTGAAAAACTTAAATGATGAAATTTTGAACTCGAAGATTTCATTCCTTCGCTATAAAATATGCTGAAAACATTGCAAATTTTATCCCAACATTTTGATTTATTTGATTAAAATAAATTTGTTGTGCATAAGCATTATCATTATTATCATTATTATCTATAGGGCTTTCATATAATTGCAATTTCAGGTGATTTTATCATGTTGCAGTGAAGACATTACTATTCGTGGTCGTTTAAAGACTATCAAAATATACCTTCGAAATTATTCTCCCTCGGCAGCATAAATTCTTCATTATTTCTTATCAGTCTCTGCATATCATATCACTAACTAATTTCTCAAATAAATTATTGATAAAATTTTGTTGTACATTTCATTAAGGATGATTTAGATTTTCCAAATTATTGCTATTATCTTTATATTAGCTGAGAAATTTTGAAAAAATCAAATTCAGTTGATAAAATTTTAATTTATTTCCTAAATTTTAAATATGCAGCAATTATGCTTTTTGAAAATCAGGTCATTAATATGGAATCTTCACTCTATAACATCAATTGCTATAAATAAATAAATTATTGTCAACACCAATATTTGAAACAATTCACACATCATTTTTAAACATTTTAGAAATTCAATTTCAAATGAATTTTTAAGCTGAAAACAAGTGCAGCTGTTTCGTAGAGTATTACTGTTATATTGAACTTTGACCTTTGTAACTCTCTTTGCTAATCAGCTGTTGCTCACTCCTTCAGATTACATTTGCTCAAAAACTATGCGCTAGTTTGCTTCTGCTCTCGGTTACTACTTCCAGCAATCGAAACACACCTTGTCCGAATTTTATCCGATGACCTTTTATACAGCGACATATCCATCTGTTTTTCTCTTATATTATTTCTCTCCGCTTTACGCATTTCTTCTCTCAATTATCATTGATTTCGAAAATTTTAAACAACTAAATAAAACTTTTAAATTTTGACTAATTTCTGTTTTAAATTGTTATCTCTTTTTCCTTTCATTTTTTTAAATCACTTCTTCCATCCTTTTAATAGAATCTTTTATTTTGAGGTATATTCCATTTGTATTTTCGAATAATTATTGCTGCTGATATTTTTCTATGTTTACTAAACTGAAAATTATTGCAATATTATTATTTATTGGAAATGGAAATGCATTACTGCTCCACGATCCAGTAACTCATATTAAATTACCAAAACAAACAAAGGTACAAAATTTATTTATTTAGTTTATTTTCTTTTTTTTTTTTTTTGCTTTTATGTTATCTATGACAAAAGTGAAGAAAAATGAAAAATTACTTTCCTTTCTTCATTCAAAAATTGACGGAAGTTTCTGGTTGATTTTTTTGATTAAATAAATAAATGAAATATATTTTAGTGATATAAATCAATTTATCTTATCAAATCATAATCATATCACCTGAAACGAATCAAATTCTAAAATTTAAACTTTTCTCATCTTTTTAACTTTTTTTCTTTTTTGAAGGAAAAAATTAAGAAGTTTTGATATTTTCTGTTAAAAACTCCTCTCTCATCTTTATTGTTCAAATAATTTTTATTCATTAGTTTAAAAAAATTCTAAACTCTTTTTTTGATTTTTTCCATTTATTTAGAATATAGGTTCTATTAACTGTGTAAAATATTTTCTTTTCCAAATTGAAAAAATAAAAATATAGGAACATCGATTTTTTTCATATATATATATATATATATAAAATATTTCAAAAGTTTTTTTCTTTTGCTTTTAAATAATTGATTAGATTTTTTCAGGAAAATAAAAATTGTCAATGGTCAGAAGAATGGTTGGAAAATGTTCCTATTGATCATTTTTCATTTCATGATAATCGAGTTTTCCGTTTGCGGTCTCTTTTACTTTTCATTATTTTTTTTTTCCTAAATTTAACAGAATTTTTTCTAATTTATAGGATCAAAACCGAAGATAAAAGTTTTTTTTTTACTTGCCGGAATTTAGAAAAGTTATGTTAAATTAGGTAAATTTTAGGAAGAATTTTAAATCAAATTTTAATATCATTGTTCTCATCATTCTATATTGATTGCAATTCTGAATTTTTAGTTATTTAATAAGCACAGAACACTTTGTTTCTAATGGACCAATTTTTTTCTATACTGGCAATGAAGGAAACGTCGAACTGTTTGCGCAAAATACAGTAAGTTTGAAATTTTCAAGTAAACTATGAAATTTATTTCGAGCCACTCTAGGTTAATATTTCTAAATCGATTAATTGATTATTGGTAGTAATTGTATCGAATGATTTTAATTCATTTGGTTCCTCCTGTGAAATTAAGTGATTAATAAAGTTTAATATTTCATCTATCTGTTATTCCAATATTTAGACTAAGTGTCCAGCTGTTAAGCTTCCATTTTTTTAATTTTACTACTTATTGAAATTTCATTTTTCCAGTATTTCTACTCATTAATTATTTCTTTTTTGACCATTTACTTGTTTTTTCTTTTCATTCCATTTTCAAATTTTATCATATCTGTATCAATTCAATCACTTATTAAAAAAAAAAAATTCAGTGCTGCAAGCAGCTCCTTCATTCACTGTTCATTTCGTTTCATACATATTAATTCTTTCAACAAATATTTTAATTGTCTCAGCATTTATTGATCGGATCAAAGTTTGATTTCTAATTTATTGTTCAATTTTTTTTATAAAATGTTAAGCGATTAACTTGTTTGTCAGAAACTTCTGCAAGATTATCTTCTCCTTTTTTTTTATAAATTTATTTTATTAATTTATTGAACAAAGCAAAATTGACAAACAAAAAAAGGCAATAATGTAATACAAACTTTGATTAATTCCTACTTTCAGTATTTTTAGGGTTTGATGTGGGATTTAGCACCGGAATTTAATGCAGCCATTATATTCGCCGAACATCGATTTTATGGGAAATCACAACCGTTCGGCAACGAAAGTTATGCAACAATCCGGAATCTTGGTTATTTATCATCTGAACAAGCATTAGGTGATTTCGCCCTTCTCATATACCATCTTAAAAATAAGGTATAGTTGAAATAAAGTGATTTCGCTTATATTAATAAAGATTTTGAAATTGGTTTTATTAAAGGAGACAGGCATTTATTGTAATTGCCTTTGAATAATGAAATGGAGCACTCACCTAAGTGATAACAGATAAATCTGAAGCAACGATAAAATATAGTTTAATTGCTTTCATTCCTAATCATCTCTAATAATTTTTGACACATTTAGTGCTTTGGTTTTCACAAATTTTGCTACACTAATCAATTTTGTTGTCAAACATAATGAATTATGTAATGGGCAACCAACTGATGTATGGGTAAGAAATAAATGTAAGCAAGTAATAAATGTGGGCAAGTAATAAATGTGGGCAATGTGAGCAGTTAGTAAATATGAATAAACTTAAATGTGGGACAAATATACGTAGACAATGCACAAACGAATTAAGTGAGCCAGTAGTGTATGTGAGCAACAAATGTACGTGGGCAAGTGATGTGTGTGGGCAACAATTACACGTGGGTGGGTAATATGTATATACAATAAATGTTTTTTTGCACATTGATATTAGTTGTGAAATTTGTGTAAGTTATATATTTTAAATAATTTCTAGAAGCTTAAAGTTTAAAATATTGTACAATTGCATTTTTCCTTTATTTACATTCTTAAATTCAATTTGTTTGCTGAATTTACAATAATTATTGCAATTAATTCAGCGTCTTTTGGTTGCTCAAAATTCATCTGTCATAGCATTTGGTGGGTCGTATGGTGGTATGCTTGCTGCATGGATGCGTATCAAATATCCACATTTAGTAGAAGGGTCTTTTATTATCATTTTTTTTTTAATTTATTCAACTATTTCTTAAATTTCTTGTGACTTTCCTCTTTCTAGATTCTTGTTCTGCAAGTTTTTTTTTTTTTTTTTTTTTTTTTTTTACAAATTTTGAGATTTCAGTTAGTAATATTATTATTTTTTTCTTGTAAGGAAGGCAATGTTTTACTCAATAGTCGAAAAATCGAAAAGCAGAAAAACAGTAATACTTTCCAGGTCTATAGCATCAAGTGCTCCGGTTTTCTGGTTTATTGATATGTCAAGCTCTGTGCCGCAAGATGCGTACAATCGTATTGTTAAGCGATCTTTCCTTAGTTCCGGTTGTATAGAGAAAAATATCCTTGATGGATGGATTGCACTTAAAAATTTGTCCTTGACTAGTCAGTCTAATTTGTTTCAGTAGTCGATATCAACTTAAATTATTCCTACATCCATATTTATCATAATATATGCTTACAATTCATGCTTATCTGGATATTTCTTAAATCATGCTCGTTATTTTTCTCCCAAATATTAATTTCTTTTAAGAATTAATTTTTATTAATTGCTACATGACCTGATATTGAAGCTTTTTTTTTTTTTTTTTTTTTTGCTAATTCATTCATTTGTTGTTTCTTTAGCAACTGGTCGAGCTTATCTAAATGGCTTGTTTCATTTGGACAAAAAGTCACACTTGAAAATAAGCACTGATTGGATAATGCTTAAAGAATATCTCGAAGATATATTTGAATCCATGGCGATGGTTAACTATCCATATCCAACTAACTATCTAGCTGAACTTCCAGGATGGCCTGTTAAAGTTAGTTTTTGTTTCGGCTTTTGCATTTACAGACAAGACTGTGTATTTTATGCTAACTTATTATATGCCCTTTTAAAATATTTAGAGGGCTTCAATTTGCAATCTGTTTTTTATTAAAATTAATGTGGTTTGGTAGCAAAAGATTCAAATTTAAGTACTGACAATTAGTAATAGCTGAAAATTATTATTCTTCTGCAAGATGCAAATCGTTATTATTGAATGAATAATATTTTTTCAAAAATCATTAAAAATTATAACTTTATAATTATCCAATCAACCGATACATATATAATACTTAAATCGTCTTTTTTTTTTGCTCAAAGTAGATCCTTATTGTTAATCCTCTCCAATTTTCTTTTCATTTTACGCTGTATACAATTATTTTTCATAAAAAATTCCCAAGTGTCTCAAACATTACATGCAACTTTACTGTGATATTTGTAGGTTGCATGTCAATTTTTCAACAGCAATAAATCAAAAAATGATGAAGAGTTGGCACAAAGTATGTATGGAATAATGAATCTCTATTATAATTATACAGGTCAAAAAAAAACATTTTGCATTAAACCAGATGTGTGCAATGATTCCGCATATGGAGCACTTGGTGATCCATTTGGTTGGCCATGGCAGGTATGAGAAAAATTATTACATTTTTATTCTTAAAAGTTTTAATTGAAATTTGGATAGAGAGAATTTAAAAGAGAAAAAAATTTGGTAGGAAGAAAAGTGAAGAAAAAATGCAAAATTCAAAATAGATAAAAAAACGATGAAAAAATTGTGTTACACATAACAATGCTTCACACAGTAATATAAACACAGATTATGAACAGTTAATTGGCATTATTTTAAGCACTTAAAATTATAATACCAGTTAATTAACTAAAATAATTTAAGTCTTGTACTGAAATGGTAATGCAGCAATGTTCCAGTGGTCCACCTAATGATTTCTTTATTAAGAATTGCCCATTTAGTCTTAAAGGTAGATACATTTTGATTCTTGATTTAATTCAGAATTCTTTAAATATCTACTTCCACGATTAGTTTAATTTATAAATCAGAAATTAAATTATTAATTTCCGCACAGCATTAATTTTCAATTTTTAGTGCTCTCCAATTTATGTAAAACTAATAAAAACTTCAGTTTTTTCAGAAAATTGCAATAATTAATGATCTGAAAAACAATATACGTAATGATTTTGTTTACCAATCAAATTTCAAGGAATTTAGGTCAAGAATTATACTGCATCAATACATTTGGAAAACTTGGATATACAAAAGCTTTAATGCGGCCACATTGGAGTATTTTAAATTATGGTAATCGATATCCAACCGCCACGAATATTGTATTCAGGTTACTTATTACTTTTATAATGATGTTACAATTAATCTGAAATTTTCAGTTTTTTTCTTCAGGAATTTGATGCTTATTCTAAATGACAGTAGTTAAAAATTTTTGATTTAAAATAAAATTTTTAAAATTGATGAAAACTTCTTGATTAATTCAATCTGTTGCTTTTTCTTAACAAGATAAATAAAATCAAGGTGAGAATTCATGAGTAGCTTTTTAAGCATTATAATCACTTTATCCATTTTTATTTTTTATCCATTTTGTTAATTGCAAATTTTGTAATGAGCTGCAAAAAAAAATTGTAGTAACGGTTATTTGGATCCATGGTCTGCTGGTGGTTGGTCATTGAAATCACGAGTGATGGGATCATTGATTAGCATTATCATTAAGGTCAATTTCCTTTATATTATTTCACCTAATTAATTATTTATTTCTGTAATGGGCATCTGTTTTATACATTGGGAAATTATTTTTTTTTAATTTACAAAAGAAAAGTCAACGAAACATTTAATTTACAAAGGTAAATATAGCAATGCTATTGAAGATGTTAGATAATAAAAAGGAATAAGTAAACAAATAAACAATTATATAATTCAACTTAATATGACAAGGAAGAGAAAAAATATATATTTTAAGGATGGCGCACATCATTACGATCTTCGCGGCAAACATCAATTGGATACGAATTCGGTGAAAGATGCAAGACGTTTGGAAAAATTTTATATCAAATATTGGTTGAAAGAAGCAAAATTGAAACAACAGAAAAAAAATTATTAAATTTCTATTTAAATTACTTGTTTTTTCGAAATAAAAGAGTTTTCTTTTATCTTATTGGCAAGCATTAGCAATGATAAATAGCGAAAAGACAAATTTAATTATCTGAATTGAAATAGTTCAATGCTCGAAAATAAAAAGTTTCCGTCTTTATGGCAGATAAATTTTCTAGCAATTTAATAAAGGCCAGGAACAAATTTTCTAATTGAATTTAAAAAAATTTATTCGAAAAAGAAAAATTCTGCAGAAAAATGCATATATACTTGGTGCTCTGTACCTGTTCTTTTACAATTTGTTTTCTTCTGTACTCGGAATTTTTTCCGGTTTCATTAATTTTTATCGATAGTTTTCGATAGTATTATCGATAGTTTTTTGCAAAAAATAAGCGGTTTAATGGTAAGTTAAAAGTAATAATAGATTTCCACTTCATACAAAAATATATGTCCAAATTCTTATGAATGATAAAATCAGAAGTAAAAGACCATTTAATTCAATCGTTACCTGAATTTTCATTTAATTTTATATGGTATTTCTGGTACTGTAATCAGAATTGGAATTACATTAAATATTCAATTGCTTACTTAATAGTAGTATTGCATCATAATTAATATTATATCTAATTATTAGTTTGATATGATGTAGCATTTTATGTGCATTACAATTGGAATTATAACATTGAATGCTTTCTGCATTATTTTCAAATGGGAAACGAAAAGAACATATGAATATAATTTCAGAATTGCTATAAAATTTTTAAAAAGTGATAGAAGTGGAAATTAATATATTTGATAAAATTTTAATAAATAAAATATTTGGAATTATTTTTATTTGTGCATTCAAGAGACGGAAGAAAAAGTTTCAGAGCAAAATTACTTTGTTAAAAAAAAAAATTGTCAAAGCCTTCACTTGAAAACAACGCTTAAAAAATTTTAAAACAAATTTTAAGCACATTTTTTTAAATGCCATTTATGCGTGCCTTTAATCTGAGCTATTGCAGCAGAAATAGTTAATAATAGTCAGATAGAATCAAGGAAAATTTCTTTATTTCCTGATTTTTATTTAAATTGTTTATTTTATGTTTTACTTCTTTCCTTATATTTTTTTCTTTGTCATAGCGATGAGTTTATTACAAATTGATTTTTTTTTTTTTTTTTTTGTTATTATTTTCATGGCTTTTTTATCCCTAGCATTAAACAATTGTTTTATTGAAATCATTTTTTTTGTTCAAAAAACAAAACTAATGTCAAATAATTTCGTGTTTGTTTGCCAAATTTTTTCAATAGTGAAGAAGTAATTATTATCAATAAAGCATTCTTTAGCTTCATAAACTAATAAAGATTGCTTTTGCTTTATCATTATAATCTTTTTTCTTCTGCTATTTCAAAGCATTATATAATTTATATGCTCCGCAATTCATTGCACATAAGCAAACATATAAAAATTTTAATGTACGTTTTCTACCTTATCATTGACTGAAAATTTTTTTAACTTTTTTTTAGTTAAAAAAAATTTTTTTAATAATATAAAACAAGGTAATTTTAGGATAATTTTAGGATTAATAAATCGTGGTAAGAATGAATTGTATCGAAATTTTATGGCTAATTAACATAATTAATCAAATTTTTAAGGTGAAATTAATTGAGTCATACTTGATGCATATCTATTTTGAGGCATACTTAATTCGCTAAAATTAAATTATCCCTATAAAGACATGTATTCAAAAATTTTGGTTATACACGGATAATATTTTGTTTTAGGATTATATTAATAAAACTATAAGTTTTTCTTAATTTTATTTACTGATAAATGAGAGGTAAAGGCTGAATTTTGCATTTGTATATAAAAATGTTGAAAAATTATTCATCCGATATTTATCAACGTTGAAAATTTTGATATCAATTAATTTTTCAGGGAAATAGTTATTTTTTCAACATTATCTAACCATGTTGCTAGTATTACTGGAAATATTATTAGCAGGAAGAATGGTTACTAGTGATAATGTTAGAAAAATTGGTATGTTTCCTCCAACTATGAATTCAATTTCTCCAATTATCACTCGAAATTCATCGGATAATTTGTGGATGACAACAAAACTAAATGCTATAATGGAATCAATGAATTATGAGTGGAATGTTAAGTGGTATCAGTCAATGCCAATTGATCATTTCACTTATCGAAACAATGAATTTTTTAGTCTTAAGTAGGCAGTATTTTTGTTCATGTATACTAAAACTGAGAAGTGAAAAGTTTGAAGTTTCGACCTTTAAAAATTAAGAAAGTGTAACAAAGAACATGTTGTAAGTTGTTTATAATCAGAATTTGTAATTAGTTATTCAGGAAGTTTTGATTTCTTACAATTATTCATTGCTGTTTTTGAAAAAAAAACCGCAAATTCCTTGATTTTTTTAGGTATCTAGCAAATTATTCGTATTTTCTATGTGATGGACCGCTATTTTTCTACGCTGGCAATGAGGGAGATATTGAAGCATTTGCGCAAAATACTGTAACTTAGTCTTTTTTTAAAGCCTGTACTAATTAATTAATTAATTAGTTAGTTAGTTAATATTTTATGTCTACGCTCTTGAATGTATCAAGGAATTTATCATCAATGCTTAAATTTACAACTGATTAAAATTCACAGGGTATTATATGGGATTTAGCGCCAAGATTTCATGCTGCTATCGTATTCGCAGAACATCGATACTACGGTAATTCGAAACCTTATGGAAAGCGAAGTTATATGGTACTGTAATGTACATGTATGATGTTAATAATTATATTTTAATAATTTTGTAATAATCTCTCACTTTACGAAGTTATTTGTAGTTTAGATGCCTTGTGGACATTTGATTATAATAATTACAATATGTCACATTATTCTGAATACGGTATCCGAAATTACGTGATTTCGTTTTTCCAAAGTACAGTACTGCAAAAAACAAAATCGAAATAATATATATCACAAATTATTAACTTTTGTAATTGATTACTACAAATTTCAGGATGTTTTACGACTGGGATATTTGAATGATATCCAAGTATTGGCTGATTTTGCACAATTGATTACGTTTTTAAAAACTGATCAAGAGGAACTTGGCTTTTGCCCTCCGGGTACCGAAATACCGGTTATCGTATTTGGTGGTTCATATGGTGGGATGCTTGCCGCATGGCTCCGCATGAAATATCCACATATTGTGGATGGGTATTACAACTTTTTTTTTTAATTAATCATCATATCTTCCGTCATTCCTTTCATCCTTTATTTTGGTTTGTTACAAAAATTCAAATTTAAAAAAAAAAAAAGTCGAATTAGATAGAATAGTCAACGATATTTAATGGGATAAATTCTAAGAGACTTATTAATATTTTCTCTTGTTTATTAGCAAAAAAGAGTTTTAAAAAAGAAAACGCAGATTTTATGAGACAGGGATAAATTTAGATTGTGTGAATAATGTAATAACTAATTATGTAACTAAAGAATGTAACCAGAAGATAATTTTAGAAGGATTCGTTGCAATTCAGAAATTTGATAATTTTCTCTAATGCCGATGAAACTTTACGTATTTATTACCATAATCTTTCTGAAGACATTTAGTACCTTATAAAAATTTTAAAAAGCTGATAAAATTAAATTCTAACAATGGTCCTGCTTCGATAAGAAGTTTGGAAATATTTTAGAGCCTGGGCATCATCAGCACCACTAAGAAATTTTTATGGAACAGGGATAAATCCAGAGAGTGTGAGTAATGTAACAACAACTAATTATGTAACTAACGGATGTGACTGGAAGGTATTTTCAGAAGGATTCGTTGCAATTCAGAAACTATCAAAAACAGGTCACTTAATTGTTTTTAATTAATTAACAAATGCAATCTGTATATAAACATTTGTCGAAGACAGACGATGTTCTTTATGTCTTATATAGTATTTTCCATTCTTATATAGTGCTCTTTGAATGTATTTGTCATTTATTGTGCGGTTTTTTATAAAAATTTACAAATAATTCATTAAGAATCGTGAAAAAAAGTTCTCATGTAGAAATAATGAAAATAAAAACATAAATTAGATTCTAATATAAATTGGAAATTTGTCCAAAAAAACAACTCAAAATAATCATACGATACTCGGGAAATGTTGGAATTGATCTCATTCAAATTAATAGAAATTCCTGTTGCGATTAATTTAACTATTCTAGTGAAAGCTTATTTATGATATTTATAATGTACCAAACAATCCATCATTTTATATCATTCAATAAACAAAAATTTCATAGTAAAAAATTTTGTATGCAATAAATATTAATTCATAAATGAAATTTTTTTTTTTTGAAATCATGTCTACTATCACCTGAAGCTTACATATTTTATGCCATTGACCTCTTCAGTACAATAAAAAAATGGATTATTATTCCAAGATGTCTTTTTGTTATAGAAGAAGGTCGAATGAAATTGAATCAAATATTCCGCTCAAAACCAGGCTTTGAAATGAAAAACTCTGATGATTTCACAAGTCTCTATTCTTACATTTATTCCGCTGTTTTTTACATGGCTGTGATCGACTATCCGTATCCGACTAATTTCCTTACACCTTTACCTGGATTCCCGGTTAAGGTACAATAGTAAATTGCTTTGATCCACTAAATTAATATCATCTGACTAAATGTTACATCGTTTAACTAGCTCAGCTTATACATGATGACATTTATATGTATAATAAATACTTATTAGTTTAAATTTAATCTGAAAAAAAATTTCAAATTACTTCAATTGATTTATTTTAGTAATTTATTATTCTATATTATTGCAGTAATTTATTTTATTTATCCTAGCATGAAATAATTTCTGGATGCTAATGCTATCTTTAATTTGAAATTTATTGTTTTATTTCAACACAAATTATCAATTCGCAATAATTGGAAATCTTTTTCTTTGTTTTGAAGTCTTTACTTTCCTTTTAGTATGCTTGCCAATATGCTACGAAAGCTGGAATAAATGATGAAGAATTAGCAGAACAGTTATACAACGTCATCAATGTTTACTACAACTATACAGGACAGCTTACTGATCACTGTTTTACAAGCAATTGTACAATATTATCACCTTTTCAAAATAATGATGAAGTTATCGCTTGGAACTGGCAGGTAAGTTTGACAATAGCAGTAAGCTTGATAACTTCTCTGAGACACTATATATACATTTATAATTTGAAATCTTCACATGTACATCTTTATTTGACAAACAGTAAAAGTTTTATATTGAGATCAAAGAGTAAATAATTAAAATTAAATAAAGTAAACTGAAATATTCTCCATGTAATTTATCTTATTCATTTTTTCAGTGCTGTACATCGATGACAATGCAAAATTGTGATCGAAGTGGAGAAAATGATTTTTTTTTGAACACTTGTGATAATCCTGATGGTTTAATTAATATCAGTATTAAATATTGTACGGAATTATTCAAAGATATTGGTTATAGCAGTAATTTCTATAAACTTCATGATACAATGATACGTTATGGAATGATATATAATGCTACGAGTAATACTATATTTTCGTAAGTTTATTGTGCATATTCTCTATCTTTATAAATAAATTAATGCACAATATTGTTTGTATATTGCATGTAATTTTAAGTAATATTCATCATTAAATTTTATTATTCAGAAACGGTAACTTAGATCCATGGTCTGCTAGCGGTGTTTATGAAAATTCACCTGGTATTACGAATGCTATGAGAAATGGTGTTTATATTTTTTATATGTCAGATGCAGCACACCATCTTGATTTACGTACACCTAACACGTGTGATCCACCATCTGTGACATATGAACGATTCCAGGTTTTTTTTTTTTTTCCATTATAACAGTAATAACAACAATAATTATTATTATTACTATAGTAACAATTAATAATAATAATAATAATAATAATAATAATAATAATAATAATAATAGTAATAAGAATTAATAACAATAATATTCCAAAAGAGTCTAATAAAATATTTTATTGTTCCATCCCTTTCTTCTAATAAAAATTGTTCAATATTTTTTATAATTGATCCAAATATGAGAATTAACGAATTGTTGTGGTGGATGAAATATTATATTGAAAATTTATTGTTTTATAAATACTCGAAAAGAGTCCGAAGAAAATTCGAGCAAAGGTCAAATGAATTGCAGGTTACAAATATAATAAAATGCTGGGTTTATAAGAACTGTACAGAATTACCAACATCAAATCCATTACCAGATAATACTGGTTGGCATGCGCCAGACAACTGTCAATTTATCAAACACGGCTATCCGTGGGGATATATGGAACCAAAGGTATATTCCTACCCTATATTCACTCATTAATTTGCATATAGTAGTTTAGCTTAATTTAGCTCTCCTTTCCCACCCCTCCCCCCTCTAATCTGTTTTTTAGGACTTCTCTTGAATGTTTTCACTCAGAAATTAAAATTTGGTTCGAAAAAATTTTTTTAAAAAAATGTCGTATTAAAATAAAAAGTACAAATACGATGGCTCATAGGTTGTGAGACCTTTTTCTAATTTGGTATGTTAAAAATATTTTATTGAGTGATTTTTTCCTATAAAAATCACATTTCGTGCCTAGTTGTAGAAGCGACTTTAAACTAAGATATTAATGATTTTTCTCAACTAATGTTGCGAATTTTTTTAGAAAAGCTGGAAAATAATAAGTTCTGCCTTATTTACCTTAATGGCGACAATATCTGCTATCTTCACTAGTTATCTTATTTCTTGAAAAAAATCTCTTTTATTATTAATATCAAAAGTACTTTTTTATGCTTATTTAAATTTTAGTGCCAAGATTTTCTTGTATTTCTTCTTAATTTCAAATTTTAGTTGTCAACAAAGATCGTATCTGTTATTTATTTAAATTATGCAATATCAATATTAATTATTTTTCAAAAGAGATGAATTGAGCACCCCTTTCAAACCTTTTTGTGCCTTACTATGGCAGTGTTTTGCTGCAAGAAATATTTTAAACATATTTGAAGTCATACGAATGTATGTATTTTCAATGTGGTGATTTTAAGAAAAAATTTTATTTACATACCATTATTGCAAATACAATAAACCTTAATAAATATGCTTTTTTTTTGTTTCTGAAAGAACAAAAAGCACCAAAATGGAGAGGTATCAATTCGAAAAATAAGACAAAACAATCGAAGAAACATTTTGATCAAAGAATTTTTAAGTTTGAAATTAAATACCATCTCAGTTAATTTCTGTTATTTTTTTTATATATTTTCTTTTTCTCCATAAAATATACAGCATAATTTTCAGTCAAAAGAAAAACATTTCAAATCGTAGAAAAAATCAGCCAAATTTAGAAAGGTTAAATTTTTCTCATCAAATTTAGATTTTTAACCTTCCAATACTAAAGCTAAAAAGAAACTGTTGAACTTTGTCAGTGATGGCCTCGAAACTATCAAACATTTTTTTTTCCTTTACTTTGAGATAGTGGATCAAAACATATTCAATAATCTATCCTGCCGACGGAGAACAAATCCTTGTAGTGATGAAATAATAGTTGGTAGTGGTGAAAAAATAATTAGAATTAACCTCTCTACAAGGATAACATCAGTACCTAATTTCTTACAGCAAATAAGAAATGCATTCAGAAATATTTCCGAAACAAAACCTTTAATTATTGTAAATAATGGTCACCCTATATTCACACCACTAGTCATTTATCGTTTCCATACATAAAATGCTGAAAAACTTACACCTTTTTGTCGACACATGCTTTTTTCCGCGTGGCAGCTATTTTCAATTCGTCAGTCCATCACATTTTTTTAATTTCAAAAATCCGACCTGAAAATCCATAAAAATTCTAGTTGGACGTAAAGCTAGTGATGGAGCAGAATTAATGAACAATTTAAATACAAAAACTGTTTAAATCTAGGCAATGACTAATAATGAATTCAAATAAAAATATTCGATTTATTTGGTAGTACACTTATAAATAATATCAACAACATACGTAAAACTGGCCAACACTTCGTCCAGTTGGAGGTAAAGCTAGTGATGATTCAAGAAGCATTTCGGTTAATTTCACACAACATGTTAATGGTATGTCTAGTATACCCACACTGGCATCTTCACCGTTCGCACGTGGATCCGTTTTGGCCGATTCAGCATCAAATATCTTAGATTTTATGATGAAAAACGACTGATAAAAAATAAATTGAAAAATACAAGACGTAAAATATCAAATCTTAAAACAATTATTTTACTTTAGTGCAGTTGCTAAATTGACACTCTAACAAATGTCTTCACTTTAAACATTATAAATGAAAATAGAGATTAAAAGCAGCTTGGGGAAATGAAGTAATTAATTTCCATTTGCAACAATTGAGATCAAGTATTTAAACTAATTCTAAATCATACCTTATAAAGCATTTTTAGCGCTGGAAATGAGTAAACCAATCTATCATTTCCTTCAGTTTCAGATTCGACTAGTTCACCTTGTGATATCACAACATATGAATCTAATAACCATACCTTCAAATCAGAATAAATTTATAAAAAAAAAAAGGAACAGAATCTCTTCACCAATATTACAAAGATGACAGCAAGAATCCGTCTACCAGTAAATACGGTCGTTTGTCGTAAGAGCGAAGGACAAGTTTTCCTGATGTCTGTAATTCACATTGGTAAAGCAACGTCCAGGCGAAGAAATGCTCTAGCGTGCCAAATCTGTTTATGAAATTTAATTTAATAACAAACTCTTTACCAACTTGCAAAAAAATAAGAAACAAAAAGATATTTCTAGAAGATTTTATTATCACTTAATTAATAATGATAACGCCTTTAGTAAGATGGTTAGAACAGAGATGCCATCTGCTATACTAAATCTCTCGAACGTAGGTTGAATCATCCTATCATATCTAATCATGGAATCATTCGTTACCAGTATCCAAACATTCCATCTATAATTACAGTATTAAAAATTAACTGACCTAGTATTTATGTAAGCTTTCCTGTTATCAGTAACTAGTAGATTGCACATTACATGATGAAACTGTACAATTTCAGCATTTCCTGAAAGAAGTTCTGACGTTATAAAATCTTAATAGCTAAAAAACTTATTTAAAATAGTTGAAAGGTAACAACGATCAAGAACCAAGCCAAACAGAACATATAAACGAGATTTCTGTGCTGTAATGATTGCACAAAACTTGGCAACTTACAAGAAATTCACTGGATGGACAAACTAGTACAGGCCACTGAGATTAAAAATACTTAGAAAATACTAAGTAAAAAAGCACAGAAGAAAAATGAAAATTATAGCTGAAGTAGATTTACTGCATAAATTCACATGAACTGTTTCAAGTAAAATATATCACGAAGAATATTACATCACTATTTGGATAAAATCGCAAAAACAAACTTTTCAGAATAACTCCAATCTCTACGGAACATTTGGCACAGAGTACAATATTGGACTCATCAATGGTTACTGCATTCGAAATAATCATCTAAAGAAAAACTGTTCTCGAAATCAATTCTTTAGTTCTTTTTCAAAGAAAATTAAAGATGGTGATATAACACAAAGATTACCCATTTTGGAAAAAATTCCAGTAATTAATATGAAGTGATCATGAAAGGGAATGTAATATTACTTCGTTTTAGTTCATTTTTACTGGTTTTTTTTTTCTTATGTGATAATGAATTAAAGATCAAAAAAGAATTTTCGTAGAGATGAGAAGAAACAATAAATTCTTCTGGTACTGAAGTCTCTACCTTTATTGAGAAACTTTATACTAATAGCACAAACCTTCCTTAACACTAGAAAATACGAATCTGATATAACAATTCGTTGTTCATTTGGAAGCCATTGCTTTTGCACATCATCAGCACATATCAAATCTGAACTGTGCGCACCATGATGTCCATGAGAATGTGAAGTAGCACCACCACATGTATCACGACAAAAATACTCCATAGATGGTGAAGTATTCAACCAACCATCTTCCGGTAACGATTGTAATTTCAAATTACTGAAAGAGCTAAATTATATTAAGAACTAATTTATAGTTTTCGGAACAAATAATAAGATAGAGAAAGAAGAAAAGAACAGTAAATGGAAAATAAAGAATAAAAAAGACAGAGATCTGAAAACCAAGTAAAAAAAAATAAACGTACTTGCTAGAATAATTCAATAAAGTAGCCGAACATTCTGCACATTCCGCTTGCACAGGAAGTAACTGAGCATTCTCAATATATTCATCCAAAAGCGTTCCAGATAATACATTAACTGCCAATTGATGAAATGTTTTCGGTACTGAAAATAAATGACAGAAATCAAAACTTGAACAGTATTTTTTCCATATTGCATAGAATTCAAGCACTCGAAATTATCGTGAATTACGGCAATAGCAACGTCTACATGAGAATACTTTACTGTCCGTCAATATTATAGTAAATTTTATAGCTATTGATCAAATATCAAACTAAACTAACATGAATAATTACTAAATATAAGTGAATCATTTTACAGCAATCAATCATTTACTTACTACTTACAGGGATGGAAACCTCGGTAACTTTCACAATTTAAATCATGATTCCAAATGCATCAAAACATTTAGTTATTCTCTTTTAACTTGCCATTTTATATTAATAAATAAAGATTATGTGTTAAGAATAGATTTACCTAATGGATATTCACCAATTGCTACCCGCACTTTACACATAAACAGCCGATGATTATCAGCCCAAGTAAGTGCGCAAACTGAATCTGGATATAAGGTAAGATCACCAAATTTGGCCCAATATGATGGCAACATTTCGCTGGCACCATTTTTCCTTTGCTGGACTATTGAACTCATTTCGATAGAATGTTCACGAAAATGTACCATTTCTTTCCGTTCCACTGTTTCCTGACTGCAAAAGAAAAAAAAAACAGATAATACTTTACTGAAATAATATTATTAAACAATAATCAGAAAAACTACAAAAATAAGTCAACAAAGAAAAAGTACCACTCAAAAAAGCTGAAACAATAAAATAAGAATATCAAACATGAACACCTAAAGAAATATAACAACTCATAAATAAAACTTCCAAACATATCATAATACAACTTTTCCAATCCAAGAAACTTAAACAAAAGAATAGTGCAGATAAAAAAAACTAAAGAAAAATATAACAAAAGGTTAACAAATCAAAATAAAAAATTTTAATGACTTCAAACAGAATAAATTCTTTCGCAATTCGTATTAATTTATCGTAAAATAATCAACAGAATAAAAAGGTACCGGCAAATAACCGTGAAACGGACTATACATATAACCAGTTCCTTCCCCATTTCACATACTATCCATATGTTAAAATTTTTGTTTTTCATATGCTTTTTTCTCTTTTCACACGTCAATTTCACATTGTCAGATATATTGTGAGACTGCAAAATCGGTTATTCCGGAAAATCCCGCATATTGAAATGGATAATACGAAGAAATCAATCTTGCACTCTCCCTACATGGCTGCCTCCTAAAATAACAGAGGAAGGGGTAAAGTAGGGAGTAATAAGTAAACTTTAAAAAAATACGAGAATGAAGAAAAAACAAGAGAAGAAACAGAGAGAATGAAAATTAAGAGAAAGAGATGAGTCTAATAGCATTCGTCAGACATTACGAATAGCAATTTTGAAATTTCATAATTAGAAATTCTAATCGACGGTATTCTAAAATTAGTACTGCATCGTTTTAATCGATAAATAACGGAGAAACAATCAGATGAGAAGAGTGAAACAGGAAGTGACAAGACTCATAATCTAACAAACCTTTCAATTCTATAAAATCAGAAGCAGAATCTAAAAATTGATAAGGTTTCTACTTTCTTCCCCCTATCACTATTATTACTAATAAGTGTATTGTTTGCAAAGTTTAACCAGTTTTATAAACCTAAGTTTTCGAAATATTTAAATATGAGTAGAAACTGTTAAAATTAATAAATCGATCTCTTTTTTTGCTCTGATAACTGAACAAAACTAAAAATGATAAATATCTCTTTAATAATAATCGGTTTTTAAATTACCTTCCTGTACTTTCATTTTGCATTTGTTGATTACTACAGCAGCCTGTTTCACTATTACCCGACGGTGGGCAGTCTACAAAGAGTGAAGCAAACTCGCTTCGCGGCTTCAACTCAATAAAAAATGATCGCGTCCTCCAACTTTTCAATGGCATAGTTTTCTGAAAATGAAAATAAAGATCAAATTTATCTAAACGTGAATTAGTTGTCTTGTAAATATGCGCTTTCTTAATATTATAATAATCATTGATACTTTCACCGTCACATCAGCAATATATGTTAACTTTAATTCACAATTATATGCTGGTCTATATTATGTTAAACAAACCGTGAAATATTGAAATTAATGAAATATATCTCAACATTGTTACGTATTACGTCAACAAGAATATTTTTTTGCAAAAAGTTACGTATTCATTACGTCAACAAGAATATTGCAAAAAGTAAGTTTATTAATCGGAAAGTGTTATGTATATGAAGTAGCACGAAATAGTCCTGAACTTTATTTTGTTTCCGAAAACTTTCTTTCTATTGTTTTGCTTTAAAGAAATAACAAATCAGCACACTAAAAAGTAAAGAAAGCACGCATGCAAGCAGCGCTATCCATTTTAGTGATCCTTCGTTAGTAATTAAAAATGAATAATAATTAAATAAATAAAAAAATGAGTAAAATAAGCTAATAACTTATCAACAAACAATTTAGTTTTATCTATTTGCATATTTGTTAAATGTTAAAAAATATAACGCATGATTTATTCGCTTTTTATCGCTTTCCTTTTTTTGCCAATTTCTTGTCTAATAAATCCTATCACCATCACCGTCATCCTATCACCGTCACCGTCATCCTATTGCCATCACCGTCATCCTATTGCCATCACCGTCATCCTATCACCGTCACCGTCATCCTATCACCGTCATCCTATTGCCATCACCGTCATCCTATCACCGTCACCGTCATCCTATTGCCATCACCGTCATCTTATTACCGTCACCATGCACTGATTTAAGAAAACCAAATAATCGGAAATTTTTCTGTGAAACGTAAAATACTACGTGAAAGATAAAACAGGTCCAAGAAAGCTTTGCATTTGCAATGTTACACAGTGACATTGTTAGTGTAACGAAATATGTGATGGGCGTGGTCAAGAGATGTAGATGTGTGGGAGTGAGATGTGACAGTGCGTGGGAGTAGATCAGTGGGTGGGATGTGTAGGAGTGGACAGTGAATGAGTAGATGTGATGTGAACGAGAGGAATATGAGAGAAGAGATGAATGCTAGAAGTGATCGTAAGGAGAGAGGAAGAGAGAGAGGATTTAGCAAAGAATTATTGATGATGATGGAATTGATTGTTCTACTTTGAGTGAGCTATTTATATATCTTAAATTTAATTTTAATTTTAGTGTGGTAGATTAAATTGAATGAATAACGGAGAAATATTAACTATTACTGATTAATCATGAAATGATTTGAAACTACGGCGAAGTTTGCATTATTAATAAATTATTGCTATTACTACGAATGGATGTCTGTCAGTTATTATTGCTACCTTTTCGCATTCCAAATGTTGTTCACAATTTTGGCTTGGTTTATGGCATTTTGGAGTACGATTAATTTATTGGATTATTTTCTTCGATCACTTCATATACCAGTGTATATGGCATTTGTTGAACGATATGAATTAATTGTTACGCTTTTTCAGGTTAACAGTGTTGTAACTTTTATCAACTCAAATTAATATTTTTAATTTTAGTATCCAAAAAAATTGAAAAATAAAATTGATTAGAAGTTAACAATGATCAAAGTGCTGATTTTGTCACATTAATAATATTTAATTTTTTTTCTGTAATAATTTATTTTTAAGGATGATGATAATGCTGAAATGATTAGATTGGTTGATAACGGAATATTAAAATAATCAAACATGAATTTGTAAACATATCCACTGTCTTGTTATATCAAAAAAACCACTGTATAATATTACACTACATATTGTACAATGTATATTAGGCGTCAGTGAATACTTTTTATATTTGTTAATGTTTTAGTAGGGTTACCATTTCATAGAGATTATGGAAAGAAGTTAGGATTTAAAATATCATGTAATAAGGTTTATTTTTCGGATGGTGAACAGCAGGATTTTGTTGAATTTCACGAAATGTTTGGATAACAAGATACTTAAGTAGTATTGTTTGTTTGGATGTTTAAACAATAAGATTATTTTTTTGTTTCTCAGACAAAGATGGTTTCTTTATCTGATAAAGTTAGTTACCTAAAATATCATATTAGATATGAAACTAGAGATATTATTACATAACAATAAAATTTAGATTACTTTTCAGATTCGTTTTGTTCCTATTCGATCACCATGCACAATACTTAAAACATTTGCACAAAATAATTCACTCTCATGTCTACTTACAATTTGGTTCACCATTGGGATTATTTCGGCTATAATTTGTTTGTTTGGAGTTACCTTATATCTTTCAAGGAGCACTGTGATCGAAATAACTTCGTGGTGGTTCGAATACTTCCATTCATTTGCTTCAGATGTTGTTTATCAATTGGAACCTGCTACATTTAGGAAGGAATTCATCAAAGAAGATGGTTAGCAGTTTCATTTCATTTTAACGTAATTCCTCTCCTCATCTCCAGTTTTTGCTGTGTTTCCTATGAATGTCAGATAAGTTGTGTTTAAGGAATTATTTTTATGAAAACTTATTGACTAGTAGTTATTGTACATATTACTATACAAAACAGTAACTAATTATTCGATATTTTGTTCATATTTGTTTCATTTATAAAGGCAACACAGAAACAATTCCCATGCAGTGTTTCAAGTTAACCTGCTTCTTTCAGATGGTTTGAAGTTTATAATCCCTGGTTGGAACATTCCATGGACACAAGTACCGCTATATGTTGTAGTTTTGTTGGTCGCAGTAGTAGTTCATGAAATGGGACATATGTTAGCAGCACTAAGTATTAATGTTCCGGTTACAAGTATGGGTTTCATCCTTTTCGCCATATATTTTGGTGCTTACGTTGAAATTGATGCTGTGGCAATGCGTGAGTTTTTGCTCTTTGTAAGGTTACTTTGCGTTTTAAAGAAAGTACTTGTTTCTTAATTCATTTATGTTCAATAGTTATAAAATTAAAAAACATAGCAATATATTCATGACGCTGAAAATTTTTTTCCTCATTTTCGAAAGATTTTACCAAATTGTGCAAGTTTCCACTTAAATAAAAATATATTGAGAAAATGAAAGAATATGAAACATTTTCCTAAATATAAGGATTTGAAAAAAAATGACAATGCTTTCATCACTTGAGTATTATTTAAATTTGCACAGGTATGAATCATCACTGTTTCCCTTAGGTCGTTTATCGTCTATACAAAAACTGCGAATCAGTTGCGCGGGAATATGGCATAATTTAGTATTTGCATTATTTGCATGGATACTTCACGAATCTACTTCTTTCATTGTTTCACCATTGTATATGTCTGATGCGGGTGTTTACATTGAAAGTTCGTTGAATTATTAATTTTGTTATGGAAATAAGCAAAATTATTTTTGAATTATTTGAAACTTTAGTTTGATGAAGTCTTCTCGCTGTAAATATTATAGTAACTGTGTGCTTATAGAAAAGGTATGCAATCGCTGCAGTGAACTTCATAATAATGAAATAGTCATAAGCCATATGTGATATCAAATTCTTTTTTTTAAGAAGGTTTATGATGTCAACCAATGAACCATTGTTTTGTTAGAGATTATATATTGTATGAGAAGAAAGTATGTGTTAGTCAATGGTTGGGGTACATTTCATACAGATATTAGTGTGATTAGAAAATTTACTTTATATAGTTACATGGTGAAATTCTCTGGAAATGTTGCTGTGGATTTCAGGTCTTCAAAAGGATTCTCCTATATCAGGACCAGTTGGTTTACACAAAGGCAATGTTATCCAGGCAATAAATGATTGTGATGTAAGCAATATTAATGATTGGAATCGATGTCTGACGACAATAAAATATACTAATTCGGGATTTTGCGTACCAGATGACATAATTGCGGAGAATATGGCAAATGAGGTTTTTTCAGTTATTTGTTATTTTCTATGTCTTATTGGATTTTTGTCATATTATCTTTTTTAATAACTGGTTATCGTTTGGTTTGTCTGCTACTGTGGAGCGAAATTTACCTGTGTTCTCTGAAATTATAATAACTAATGGTTATTAACCATTATGTTATTTGGCTTTGGTGGTTAGTTTGTTCATTTTGAAAGTCAGGAGATATAATTTTCTTCGGTAAAAACACTCTGTAAAGAGCTGCTTTCAGACGACAGTAACAGCGCGAAAATATTAGTCATTTTAGATGCAGTTAGTAGGGAATGAATTGGATTGTTGTCACAACTCAACATGGGGTAATTCAGCTTCGCATATGTGCTTTTACGTGCGTGATTGGATGCATACCATCCGTATGTTTTGATTTTATCTTACATGTCGTATTTATTTGTATTTATAATTATGATGACACTATCGATGAATTGACCATTCACTCATCTTGTCTTGCTGCATATTTTTGTTTTTTCTGTCTACTTTGGAACATTGTCAACAAGATTCTGCGTAATTTTTTTTTTTTTTTCACATCGTCTTCCAATATTTATAAAATTTAGCTAAAAAACGAAGTCATGAATTATTGGAGTATTTCTCTGCGAAAATATGCTCATGTTTATCAGCGAGATATACAGCAGGTTCGTTAAAGATAACTCAATAATCTAATTATTCTTGTAATTTTTGAGAAAATAAATCAGCAAGTTAAATTTTGGAAGATTTGTGATAGAATCCGTGAAAATGAAATCGTCTAAGACTGAAAATTTGCAGATTTACAGTTTTGCAGTTCTACTGAAAATTGCGTGGACACAAATGGAAGATTGAGAACCATTCACTCATCTTGCGTTTTCCCTGCTGTTTTAGGCAATATGTCATTTATGAGAATTTCGATTGGGAATACATCGCGTGTAATTCTCTATGTAGGCTACGCCAGGGAGGTAATTGCTTGAATATGACGTTGCAATAATTTCCGTATTGGAAATTCAGTAGCTGTTCATTTTCAGTAGTATTATCGTTATTTAAGTTGTTCGAAGAGGCATTGATTGAAATATAGCGTAAGACATGTTCTGCACGTGTATTGGTTTCACATCACCTAACATTAAAGAAAGCACCAAATTTTTCCTTTTTTTTTCTAGAGAAATAAGAACAGTGATTACAGTTAATGCAATTTAATCCAAGAAGTTCGCTATTCTCGGGTGCATTCAAGTAAGAGGAGATCAAGTATTAGCATATTCATGAAAAACAGTATATTCTGGGAGTTTTGATATGAAAATATGTTGTAAAAAAAAAGTTTGGATAGTTCAATAGATAATTTTACTTCCGAAGAAACGATTCTTTTTTTACAGTTGGAATTTCATGTACAAGTGAGCAATTACATACCTCGGTTACCAATCATATCAACATTTATACCTTACTTTATTGAGTTAGGGACAAAATATATCTTCACATTTTCCCTCGGTTTGTTTTGTCTTTTATTTTTCGTTTCTTTTCCTATAGTTTGCTGTTTTGAATTTGTGATTTTTTATTGAATTGACAACAAATGTTTAAAATTTTTGAACTCAATATTTTTCGATTTTCATTTTTCTAGCTTTTGCTGTTATCAATGCGACACCTTGCATTTTTCTTGATGGGCAATATATTTTCTCTAATTTTGTGGATTTTATGTTCAGCAAGCTGAGACCGAGGTTTTTTTTTTTTTTTTTAAACTGAAGTTTATTTAAATATAGATTCCGTACTGAAAACAAATGTTGGAAAATTGGAATTTTTTAGAAATTTTTTTTTCGGTTCTTTAGAAAAGAAATATAGGAGTCTTATTTTCTTGTTTTGGGAGACCTTCAAGCTTCTTGCAATATGTTTTCTTGTTAGCGTGCTCTGAAATTAGGGAGAGTACTATCTTCAGTTAAATTTACAGAACTGTAGACTTTTCACTGTTTTTGCCAAAGTTTTCGTGCATTTGTCAGTTAATCGTAAAGTAATGTCAAAATCGAAGGGAAAAAAATATTTTCATTGGCTTGTTTTAGAAGACGACGATTAATAAAACGACTGGTCCTGACATATGGAACGACACTTTTAGCTGTAAATTTCACCCTCGCAATATGGAAGTTATATAAACATATTGTATAGGGTATTTTTATTATCACTGTCATTTGATGTTTTAGACCTTTGAGTTTTCAAATTTAATTTGTTAAATCAGTGAATTGCATTGAATGATAATCGTTTTATATATTCTATGTATTGTTTTTATATACTCTACGGGTTCTTTGTTTTATAAGTTTGGAAATTTGTTAAGTTCGTATTTTTTTTTTTTTTTTTTTTTTATGTATAAAAATTCAATAATTACTTTTAAAACTGATTTTGCGGTTAAATCCGTTTTGGTAGTATTCTCAGATATTTTATAAGTTCACAGCACTCCTTCCTTGATCATGATAACTAAAATACTGGCATATTTAACAGCAAACGTAGGTCATATGGTTTAGTTTCATTAACCGCTTTGAGTTTATACAGGGATCTATATTTACTATCTGTAATGAGATCCCTAAACAGATTAAGTTTTCATTTAATTTTTCCCTTTTATGCCGTCAAAAGTTTATCTAATTATGTGTGTAACGAATAGGACGTTCAGTCTGTTATTCGCTGTTATCGATGGTAAGGAATAATCGACTGTGGAATTTTATTATAAGTGCAGAGTTGTATTTTCGCAAAAAATAGATTTACAAAATGCAAAAATGAGAATAACCTTGATAATTGCAGGGGATTTTTCCTAATTGCAAAATTTTTGGTAATTAAAAAGTTTGCATGAATGAACGATCCCGAAGTGAAGATCCACGATGTTTGGGCGAACAATTTGGAAGAGGTGAGGTTTTCTAAATAATTTTTTTTTTTTTGTTATTTTAGAATGATTGTTTTTGCAAAAAAGTTTAAGTTTTCTTGTGCATAATATGTAAAAATAATTCTTGTAGGAGTTCAAGCGAATACGGGATACAGTCAAAAATTACCCATTTGTTGCAATGGATACGGAATTTCCAGGTGTAGTTGCTACACCTTTAGGACAATTCAAAAGTAAGGAAGATTTCAACTATCAACAGGTAATTTACTAGCAGTTTTTTCACTTAATTTTTCTTTTTGATTGTTTTCGGAACAAATCCTTCTGTATGTATTCATAACTAAGATTCCAGGCGTTTTTTTTTTTTTTTTTTTTTTTTCAGGTTTCCTGCAATGTAAATATGTTAAAATTGATCCAGGTTGGATTTGCTTTGTTGGATAAAGAAGGTAACATGCCACCGACGGGTGATGTATGGCAGTTTAATTTTCAGTTTTCTTTAAATGATGATATGTATTCACAAGACAGCGTCGATTTGTTACGTAATGCTGGCATAGATTTTGGACGACATCAAGTAAGCTTCTGATGTGACAGCCAAGTTAGTAAGATTAGTGTAGGTGAACTGTTTTAAATATGAATGGAAAGAAGACCTAGATTTGTTTGACTTAACATATAGCTTGTTCTTGTTGTTTTCCTTCTTGTATTTTAACATAGGAAAGCATCTCTCTAGTTCTGAACTTTCATATATTCATATATCTGGTGGATTATATGTTTGCAATCTTAGCTGGCACTATGGTGTGTGCTGTATATGATATGAGAGTTTATTTTATTTATAGGTTGAAGGAATACGGATGGCCGATTTTGGTGAACTACTTACGACATCAGGTTTAATTGTTGATGAACATATTACGTGGTTAACGTTCCATAGTGGTTACGACTTTGGATACCTCATGCGTTCTATTCTGCTTTCGGAATTACCCAAGGAAGAATCACAGTTCTTTCAATACCATCGTAAACTTTTCCCGTGCAGTTATGACTTAAAAATGCTATTGAAACATCCAGGCTTAGTGAATGCAAAATTGAGAGGCGGTTTGCAAGAGGTTTGTCCATTACCGAATGACTACTAATTTTCTCTTTGTTTCACTTCATCTTGTTTATAAATTACTATTTCTAAAACAACGACACTTAACTCATCTAGATATAGCATTTCTTGCTTTCACCGAAGCAAACTTGCAATCCCATTACTATGCAGATGGATCGTGTATTTTCTTTCGGTAATAATACCACTCAATTTTGCATGAAATCTACTTGCATTAGTGAGATAAACAGTTTACTTTCCTTTTAGCGACTTTTTTTTTTCTGATTTTAGAGTTTTTTAAACTCTTAAAATGTAAATGATTAAGATCTTGTGAATCATTTCACAATCCTCCTGTGTTTCAGCTCTGTTATACAATTTTCAGCTTGCTGATCAGCTAAAAGTGATTCGGAAAGGACAACAACATCAAGCGGGTTCTGATTCATTACTCACTGCGCAAACATTTTTTAAAATTAAGGAGCGTTTTTTTGAGGATACTTGGGATCAGGTGATTTTTTTCTGCTTAGATGGTAGGTTCAGGATGAAAGCATCTATCATAAATTAATGAAAAGGATAGGAAATGAAGATGATATTAATAGGGAGATTGTAGAATTGAGCGTAAGTTAGACTTAAAAGTGCTGAAATTTGTTTGCAGTATTACCCTTTATACATCACCTATATATAATTAGTGAATTTGGAGAACCGGCAGTATGAAATTGCCCATTTTGATTTCTTCTGTCTGTTGTTCTTGATTATTTATTAGCAATAGTAATTGTCATCACTTCAGGTTGCGCCAACGGTTGAAGGACATCTGTACGGTCTCGGAAATACGCTATCATCAGGTGCACCATTTGTGCAAATGACGGATTCATCATCAACTCCCGAACCACAGCAATCGTCGACACCAGAAGCAACATGATAACTTCTTTTCTTAAATTCTTAAGATAGTAGCTTTAATATTCTTCTCTGAATCAGATCATGATGTTGTTTACAACTGTAAATAATGCGCTGTTTACTTGCGAGATTTAAAAAAGGAAAATTTTCTATATATTTCAAATTGTAATTTCTTTTTTGATCCAGTGGCTATTCAGTGCCAATCCTTAAATGCTATCATTTATCAGTGAAAGTGACTGTTGGTTAATATATGACGGGAAAATGTCGCAATCTAGTAAATGCTCGTATTGTCTCGCTAGTGTAAGCTTTGGACTTCACTGTATATGTGTCATTGTTTGATCCGAAATCCGTATTGAAACATAATATATTTTCTGTTGTTATATGGATCAATATTTTTATTGTTGCCAACTCTTCTAGTGTTTGCGGGTTGGAGATCTTTCAGAAATGCCAATTCATTCCTTGTTAACTCGTGATTATGGAGAATTCACTGGTGGAATTCCTGTATACGAAGTATTACTGACTACAATGAACGCAAAATTTTATGGTCGATTCCTGATAAAGTATTTTGGTTGAATTATGGAGGCCGATAGGGAATTCAATCAAGGATCGTCATACATTAGGCATGAAGGTGGAGAACCCGAGATTTAATCCTTAACTTTGCGAGAGGATTCTTTGACAGTTATAGAATGTCCCGGGAGAGTAACTGACTGTATAAGCCGGAGGCGGCGCAAATTGTCATAAAAACGACGCATCGTAGGGGTGGGTCTGGATTTTGGGGTTGGTAATGTAATGCAGATCTCGCTGGGACGTGTGAGTTGCATTGAGATTCGTTACGTTTGGCATTTTTAGGCCGTTAAAAAAAGTTAGTTTTGGGTTGTATAGCTGCTGAAAGTGTGTTCATTGGAGGATGCCGCCTAAATTCGACCCAAGCGAAATTAAAATTGGTAAGTGTAAAGGGGTACTACACTGTATTAGTTGAATCGAAACTGAACTTTAAGTTAACTCGAGTTGGACTATTTCTTTAATATTAAGTCGAATACTGTTGTAATGATCTAGTTTCGTTTATTGGAATTCTTTTTTGAATCCATGGATTTAAGTGAATGCTTTGGGAAATCAAAGTCCTTACAATATATTTGCGGATATAAATTGTATGGGTGTGCATATATGTTTATATGTAGCTCTTCGAATGTGATGTCATGCTGGAGTTATGTTTGGGGAAGAATTTCTAGACTTGGTCGTTGCAGAATTGAGATTTGGAAATTTTTTTGGAACTAAAATTTAAGTAGAAAATGAATAGCTTACATGTTGCTTGTAGTTTATCTGCGTTGTGTTGGCGGTGAAGTTGGTGCTACATCTGCTTTGGCACCGAAAGTTGGACCACTTGGCTTGGTGAGTTGTTTTCATTCGTTTGTTTTACTGAAGTTAACTGTGTTAGGACTACGACTTTTTGTTCCTTGTATGCTTTGTGACTGCTAGTAACTGGAATAAGGAATGGACTTACACAGGTGTTCTAAAAAGTCCTTGTTTATTTATTAAATCTGAATCAGTAATTTAAGCTTTTTCAATATATTTCGAACTGAAGTTTATTGTTTCCACATTGAGTTTTCTTATACTGTTGTTGTTTGAAATTGGAACATTCTAGTGTCACATATTAAGTTTTCCATATCTGGATTTTTCAGTCACCGAAAAAAATTGGTGATGACATTGCGAAAGCAACACAAGATTGGAAAGGTCTAAAGGTAACATGCAAGTTGACGATCCAGAATCGTGTAGCAAAAATAGATGTAGTACCGAGCGCAGCATCATTACTCATCAAAGAGTTGAAAGAACCTGCACGGGATCGGAAAAAGGTTAAAAACGGTACGCGACAACACGTCATGTTAATATGCAATTGAAAGAGGAAATAGGGAAAGGGAGAGGTAGATACAAACAGAAATCTGCGCGTTATTATCATGGTGGTATATATATATGCCTTTCCATATATCTATAGGCGGAGGGTCGGGTGACCAACGCACGGTCCCCATCCCCCAGTCATTTTCGGCCATTGCAGTTTTTGCGTAAGCTTTGCAACTGAAAAGACTGGTAACCGTTTTTCGGGTCAACAACGAATTCGGTAAGCCCCCAAGTAACATTATCCAATACAAGATGAATGAGTGCGCGTATGTTCGTACAGTGATTATGTGTGGAAGTTGGTGGATGGTTCGGGGGAGGATAAATTTCGGTTTTGGTGTGTTTTTGAAGATGCAGTTCTCGCGTGGAGATCTTCAAGTAGTTTTTCATGGTGGATTTTAAATAAGCAATAGAGGACAACAGCGAGAAACGAAAGTCGGTCTTTAGCTTCTGCTTGTGCACATATATTTATTGGACGAATGAAGTGGTTGAATTTCTTAGGTCTGTATCTGTGAGAAAAGAAATAGGTGGGTTGAGAAAGGGATGTTAGTTCTTTTAAGTTGGGTTTGGTCGTTATATGTTGTGCGTATAATTGGTAAAATGTCAAAATTTCTTTTTTGATTTCTCATTTACTTTTCCAATAACTTTTCTCTTGTTTTGGATAAAATACTTATTTGTAGTGAATGTAGCAAGTCGTGAATAATGTAATTTCAGTCAAACATAATGGTGACCTCACCGTGGAACAAGTTATCAACATTGCACGGCAAATGCGACCGCGTTCAATGGCGAAGAAGTTAGAAGGCACTGTAAAGGAAATACTGGGTACTTGTTTACTGGTGTGATTGTTTGTGTAAAAAGTGGTCAAGGGGACTTCTGTTTTTGAACAATAGATTAAATTTGAACATGTAATGGTTACTGATCTTTGAAAAGTGATCCAGTTTTCATGGACTCGAATTTTTATAGGTACAGCCCAATCAGTTGGTTGCACAGTGAACGGGCAGCATCCGCATGATATAGTTGATGCCATACGTAGTGGCGATATCGTCATTCCAGAGGATTAACTGGCAGATGATTTTGTGTTTCTATTTTTCGTTGTCCTTTTTTTGTGTTGTTTGAAATTGGATTGAGTTTTTCTGAATAAATGTTGGCAATTCTTCATTCCTCGTAGCTATGCATTTAGACTGTATAACTGGCTTAATATGTTGTGTCAAAATATACGATTATGGAATTTTGGAATTTCGAATTGATAGGCTGATATACACAACAGAAATATTGTTTGAAAGGATAAATGCTCGCCCTCTGCAGATTTTCGTAGTATAATAAGTGGGCTCAGTCTTTTTGAGAGACGAGATTTATAAGTGGTAGAGGGGCTAGTTTTTTTTTTGATGAGGGATATTAAACATGGGAGGATTTATATATTCCATTTTGTGTCGGAGTGGAAATCTATTTGTGATTCAAAGTGGCCTTCAATCGGACAGTAATTAATATTTTATTATTTTTTCTGAGAAATGAATCAAACGTTGTCTTGAGTGCTGGGTGGATTAAATTTGGTAAAATTAGAGGAAAAGGATTGGTATATAAATAGAATGAGTCAAAATATTCATATCTACGGTATACCTTTTTCCTTCTATTCTTGATTTAGCATCAAACCAAAAGTTAGTTATTTACATCACTGATAAGAATGATTGTTTGATTTCAGTTTTTGCTTCATATCATTTAGAATTTTGCTCTCCACAGAGGCCTTATATATTTTTAAAATGGAGAGAGTATTCTAAAAAATTTTACAGTTGTTCAAAATTTCCGCTGTAAGCATTTTTTTCCTGATTGGTTGAGTAAATGAAACGAAAAAGTTAGATAAGCAACTAGATTAGTTGGGGAATACTACTTTTTTGTGGGGTTATTTTCTTTCTTTTCTCTTTTTTGTCTTATCTTTTTTTATTTGTAAGAAGCTAGTGATAAGAAATAGGAAAGTGAAAGGAAGGGAAAGAAGTAATGTTAGGAAGAAAAGTAAAGGAAAGAAATTTTTTATTCACGAAATAAATAATTTATTGAATCAGTCATGGGTTTACTGATATAGTTGGATTAACGTAAAAATTTTGAATCGACAAAATTAATCTTCAAATTAAAAAATATTTAGTAACTGTTAGATTCAAGAAACGGATATCTGAATATTCTTAGAAGAAAGAAAATTGAAACGATTAAAGGAGAATTTGTACCATTTTATGATAGGATGTGGTTAGTAAAGTACTTTTAAAATTAATGAAGTTATATCACTATTATTATATTTCATTATCAGTTAAAAACTGACGCAGCATCACAAAAATTTTAAACTTTAAAATAGATCCTTGATCCACTTCGTTCCTTGATCCACTCAATTGAAATACATATAAATAATCATGGATAGGGAGTAATCATTTTGCAAGATTAAAATTCATAATTTTTTCGTCAAACTGAGTTTCGTTGTTTTATGAACAAAAAACAAAAAATTGGTGCTGACGAATAGGAGTGTAAGGGCGAGACATAAAAAGGAAAAGTAATGTTTGAGTGAAAATTTTAATATATATATATATATATATTTGTCGATCTTTCTTTTGTTTGCTTTATAATAGTGATATTAACTCTTTGAAGGTTTTTTCATTGATTCCAAGAATTATTTAAGAAAATTATTATTTATTATTAATCACTATTATTATTATTACTACTGTTGTTGCCATTATCAATACTAAATTAGTACTAATTATTTCAGACTTGTTAAGTTTGTGTACAACTGCGATAGTTTATTGAAAAACATCCAAAATGAACGGAAGAAATGAAGAATATAATGTACAAGAAAACAATGTTCCTGACACCTATAGGTTTCTTCATCTAATTTCCTGCTATAATAACTTTTACTTCTCTGGAAAAAGAACGACATAAGATTGGTTTGTCTTGTACAGTGAAATGTTGCAGATTTTAGAAAATTATAGACGTTTCTTTGATGTTAAAGTTTTTCTTTGATTTTTGGCATTTTAGGGATGAATAATTATATGTGTTATATATATGTTGTTAATAATATTTATTATAAGAAAAATGATGGATGGAATTACAGAGATCGAATATTGAAATGGAATGGATGGGGCTATGCAGATTCTTCTTTTATACTTAAGGATCGTAGTAATGCTATTCTTACGGGTAATAGGTTAGATTTTTTTAATGATTTGATTATTTTCTTTTCTGATATGTTCCGTTAATATTATGGCTATAATTTATGTCGGTGGTATTAGAAGTATTGCAGAAATATCGATTCCTTTTTTTAGTATGAATTGTTTATTTAGGAATATTTAAGCAATTACTTTTATCTTCTAATTGATGCTATTGATTGATATTCAAATATCCATTATGAGATAAAAGGAAAAATTCGTTTTTTTTTTTTTTTTGAAATAAAAAAGTAGTGTATTGTTGACGGTAATATTAGTTTATAATTTAAATGTAGTTTTAAGTGAAGGATAGGTTCAATATCTTCATTGTCATAATCTAATCAGATTAGTGTTTCAGGTATGATTTGTCAGGTCAAGCGTTGCCCTATCTCTTAAAATATATGGAAACAAGACTTGGTGTCCATCCCGATATTCAAACTCCAAGTGTACGTTATGAAGACTTAATCATTCCGGTTTCATTTGATAATCAAGATTTTATCAATTTTTTGCTATCAAACAATATATCCTTTTCTAACAAGTCTAATTATCGACTAGTTCGATCTCATGGACACACAGGTACATTTTTTCATTCTAGCTTTTTTATCCTCATTATCATTCTTGATCCAGTTATCAACAGTTTTGAATTGTCTATCGTGATAATCTGTTAGCACATTGTACTTCGATAATACACCTGACATTGATTCTTCTTATATTAATAGTTTTTGTTTGCTTTATATTTCGATATGTTTTCTCGGTGGTAAAATATAATACAAAATAAAAACCATTTTCAAATTTTGCTGATACTAAAAAAAAAAAAATAATGCTAACATTTCTTTAGATTTTCGATTTCCTTTTTTTTGTAATTTATAATGTTTTATTTATTCAGTACATGATATCGCTAATTTACGAAATGGTACTATTGGACGCATTCCAGATATCATCGTATGGCCTAAAAATGAGGAAGAAGTTCTGACCGTAAGGGATCAGTTATTAATAAAAAGCTTAAAGTTTTAAAATAACATCTTTTCACTTAAACAGCATTGTCAAATTTTCTCACAATATTTTATGATCATATCTGCCTGAAAAGTGCTTGAATGGTACTTAAATATTACGTTGTTGTTTATTAGATTATTGATGGCGCTATGAAATTTAATGTTGTCATAATACCGATTGGTGGTGGAACTTCGGTAACAGGTGCACTGGATTGTCCAGGTGAGGAGGCACGATGCATTTGTTCCTTAGATATGGCACTGATGAATGCAATTATTTATATTGATGATAAGAATCTCCTTTGTCGAGCTCAGGTAATGCTGATTATTTACTGATTTTGCATTGAAGATATTGTGAAAATAGAATTTAGTGTAACTATTTGTTTAAATTTCAAGTGAGTTCATATGTAAAGTTTTGTGATAATGTCAAATCTTTAGTAGTTTTTTTTTTTTTTTTTTTTTTTTTCTTTTGCATCATTTCGTGACAGTTTTTTTTTAGGCTGGCATAATTGGACAACATTTGGAAAAACAACTAAATGAAAGAAATTATACTTGTGGACATGAACCAGATTCTGTGGAATTCAGTACACTTGGCGGATGGGTTTCAACACGAGCATCAGGTACATGTTGCAAAGAAGTTTTCCACATTTTTTAGATATCAGGTTTGTTGTTTTCAGCCCAAATAGCAAATAATTGAAGGGTATCATCATGCTATAGAACTCCTGTTTCTGGCAAAGATTTGAAGATGATAAAAATGAGCATGCCGTTATCTTTTACTAGGATGGCCGTTGAATGTTTTATTTTTGGGCACTTGTTGATTAATATTACTTATGTATACAACAAAATCAATAAATCTTGAATAAAAAGGAAGATAGCTTTTGTTTTTAGGAATGAAAAAAAATAAATATGGCAATATTGAAGACTTGATAGTTCACGTTTCGCTTGCTACTGCGAGAGGAATTATTCGCAGACAGTGTCAAGTTAGTATTTTTTTTAGTTACTCACAGAAAGTGTCAAGTTATCAGTTTTCTGTTATTAATTGTACTGAAATTTGTTTGACAAATAGTGTATGTATTACTGTTTCCTAAAAGTTCTTCCGGTAGGTTCCTCGAGTATCTGGTGGACCGGATTTGCAGCATATAATTCTTGGTTCTGAAGGAATTCTGGGAGTGATAACAGAAGCAACATTGAAAATTTTCCCGAAACCAGAAGTAAAGAAATATGGTTCATTTGTTTTTCCAACATTTGAACATGGTGTAAATTTCTTCCGTGAAGTTGCAAGACAGGTTTGTTTAATTCCTTCGAAATTACTTCCAAAATTAAATATCGTAAACTAAATATAAGAATGAAAAATATTAGAGAAACATTAGATTTAGATTTCTTTGAAGTTTTATAGCAGATCATTCTTGTATTGTAGCGCTGTCAATGTGCATCGTTACGATTGGTTGACAACGAGCAGTTTTTGATGGGACAAGCATTGAAAACTTGCAGTGGCTCATTATTGAAAAGTTTAAAACATGCTCTGGAAAATTTATATGTTACAAAATGGAAAAATTTTAAGGTTAAAATTTTATGGCATTGCAAAATTATTCATTTTATCATTCTTATATTTAATATGTTACACTTTTTCTCAATTATCAAATTTAATAATGTTTCGTGCTAAAACCTTATAGTTGAATTTGAAAAGGAAACATGAAAAAAGATCGGTTGTAGTTAATAAAGAACAAAATTTTTAAAAAAATTCAAAATATAAAACTTTTTTATAAACATATGTCTGGTTATCAGTTAAACATAATAATTTAAAATAGTAAAAGAAAACTACTTTTTGGAGTAATGAATGAGGGACTGCGAAATATACACAGCTATAATGAATTTTTTTTGGTGATTTGTTGTCTTTTCAAACTATGAATAATAATCATTTACATGATTTACTTTCTTATTTAATGTTATATTTGACATGCACTGATCTAATTTCCACATAATTTAATATATTTGTCTTCCCTAGCTTGATGAAATTGTGGCAGCAACATGTGTTTATGAGGGAACCAGAGGAGAAGTTTGCAGTGAAGAGCGGAAACTTACCACTTTAGCAGAAAGTATGAATGGTATTAGTGGCGGTGCTGATAACGGGGAATACGGTTATCGATTAACTTTTGCAATTGCATATCTTAGAGTAAGTTTTCACAATAATTTTTGGGCCATATCAGATTAAAAATTATTATTAAGTTTGTCCTATTAACCTCTTCTTACCCTTAACAAATAGCCTTTTTTTTGTATTTGTCCTATCCTTTCGTTTTTATTGAGTCTATTTACTGTCTTATTTCTTTTATTGTTTAATCGAATTTATTAGATTTGCCGCTACCTAATTGTTTATAGCTTTTTTTAGCTTTTACAGTAGTAAGCTTTATTATGTAACATAGAGAAAAGTTTTTTATCGCGTTTCTTTTTCATTTTAATTTTTATTCAAATTTACTGAAGTATTAGTAGTCCTAATTTGTTTGTCCAATTCCAAACACAATATTTTAAAGGATTTTGGAATGCAATTTTCAATAATGGGTGAATCGTTTGAGACGTCTGTTCCATGGGATAAAGTAATAACTGTGTGTCGAAATGTGAAAGAAGTAATCAGACGGGAAGGAATGGCACGTGGTGTGATACTACCTCCTCTTGCCACTTGTCGGTAATTATTCCGTTCGAAGTTATGATTGGAAACGTTTTGCCACTAGGATAGGTATAAAGTGAGCATAATTAGTTAGGTTGTGAAGTTAAGTAAACTTCTTTACTTTTCCGTTGGACGACATAAACTACTGAAAATGCTACGGATGTTTTCTGATGTAATTTTATTTAGAACCATTTGTTTATCCTTCAAGTTTAAGATAAGTGTCCTTTATTGCATATTATATGCATATATGAAATTTACTTCATATCTTTCTCGCACTGCATTCTGCTTTTTACCTTAAATGTTTCTGTACCATTGATGTTATATAGAGCACAATTATAAAATGAAATTTTGTAAAAATAACAAAGTCACCCTAAAGTTAAAATATGTAGAACAAAGTACAAATATTAAAAGTAAGTGCCACTTTTAGAAAAATTTTTTTTCAGAAAATTTATATTTTAGGAACTAACTGCATAATTTATAATTTAGAAGTACAAAGATTCTTCCAGAGTAACTCAAATTTATGATTCGGGTGCTTGCGTATACTTTTATTATGCATTCAATTACCGTGGCATACTCACTCCCATATCACTATGTGATCGAATTGAGGTATCAAACTTCATTTTTGACATTTTTTTTTTTTTTTTTTTGTCTGATCGGAACAAGAAGATTTAATTTAATATATTTTATTTATTTAAAATATATTTAAAGAAACAATGTAGAAACGATTAAAATTTATGTATAATTTTTGAACGTTGGTTGATTTCAAAATTCTTCCTTACTTTTTTTCCAAAAGATTCACGTTTTTTAGAAAGTAGCTCGCGATGAGATCATTGTTTGTGGTGGAAGTATATCGCATCATCATGGTATTGGTAAATTACGAAAGTATTGGTATCCTGCAAGTGTTAGTGATGCTGGATTATTAGCAGTTAGAGCACTAAAAGAGAAACTTGATCCTAAGGTATCTCATTCTTTCAATATTATTTCAATAATGTTTCAGAGTTCTCAAGAATTTCATTTTCGCCAGTATCTAAATCTGAAAATCCTTTAATTATAGAATATCTTTGGAAGTGGAAATCTAATCGATGTTGAAATAGAAAAAAGCAAACTGTGATTTATTTTGATACTTTTTTCATTGTTGTTTTTTCTAAGTCTATCTTTAATTTTATTGTTAATTTACCTTGCAAGGCTTTCTTATTATATTTATTATTTATTAAGCTACCATCATTATTTTGTTCTGTATCTTCTGCTTCTTAAGATTAGGATCACGAAAAAAGAAAATTAGGATCGGACATTACCAAATCTTCATTAATTGAAAAAGTGGACATAGAAGTGAGGTATGATGGATCCAAAAAATTTTGCATTATTCTATCTACTTCCGAACATTATTTCAGGTATTATTAATTAGCCATAGAAAATGACACTTTTTTGTTCCATATCAAGTAAAAAATCCTGTAATTCCATGTGATTACCTCCATGTAATAAATTTATGTATCTCAATAGAACATTGTCTTAGTATCGCTGCGATGTCCTGGAAAATATATTTCCACTGGAATTATGTGCCTTGTTATTCGTATGAAATTAAGTATTTGGAACTTTTAAGTTATGAAATATATCAATAGGTAATGGCCGCCTAATTATGTTGTTTAATGTTTTAAATTATGGAACAAATTGCGTCAGCAAATATATTTTTCCTTTGTTTAGTGAAAAACTTAATAAAAAAAAATATTGAGGTTTTTCAAGTTAAAATTTAGAAATGTATTGGTATTAATTGTTAATTAAAGCTAAAGAATTCAGTGAAAAAGGATAAGTAACTTTGTACTGTGACGTGTGGGATATCAGAAATTCATTTCCATAGTGAATTCAAGAATTCCTGCTCATGGTTTAAAGGTTTTTCAAGTTAAAACTTAGAAATGTCGTTGGTTAATTATTTGTCCACGAAGGAATTGCGAAAGTATTTTCTGTACAAATATTCGTTTTGAAAGAAATATAATTTTGAATTGAACAACAATAAGTGTTTTCTTTTTGTTTAGCTATACCAGCATATTTCTGTACTTTATCCAAATCGTCTGTTTCATCGAGAAAAGTTTTAAACAGTAAGAAGAAAATTGTTTATTTCTAATAAAATAACCGAATGGTATTATTCTGTTGAATAGCAGATGAAAATTGAAAAGTATAAGTCTTTTATCAATAAAGACCAAGTTTAATACTTTAGTAATTGGTTTAATAAATATGCGACTTTTTAAAAAGAAATTTCCAATTAAAGAATTTTTCAGGTTCTCCCGCTTTATACACTTTAACTTATGCATAATATGCAATGGCATATGTAATTTGATGGAAATTTCGGATCAATAAGAACAAATTGGTTGTCGTTTGTGCAGTGAATAATTTCGTGACATTAATTTTGGAAGCGAAAATTTGCATCAGATTTTCAACACCGATGCCAGTCCTGCCATATCATGTTCCGAAAACTTTGAAACATCTCAATGTCACTTGTAAGTTATATTAGACTCAATAATTCGAATTAAGAAAAAATAATTTAAATGAGGTAGCTTGATTCGAAACTTAAGTCGTAATATTTTTTAAAGCTTGCTATGATTCTATTTTCAAACTTTTCATTTTGGTAAATCTTGCTTTAAGTTGATAATGTTACTCTTGTTTCTCATACTAAAATCTGTCATAATTTGATAGCAATAAATGGATATTTAGATGAGTTTTATAACTATCTCAATAACCAAATTAAATTAATGTTGAATTTAGTGTTTATTAAATTACTAGTATCATCATTATTATATTAGTTAAAATGCTTATAATTCAATAGTAAGGGCGACTAATTCAGTGATTAAATCACTGAATTATTACTGGATTGAAATTAAAATTTATGCTTTTGTTTTATTTCTAAAATCGTTCAGATGAGTTTTGAAATAGCTACTACATTTTGTCCTTTCTAACATTTGTCCATTTATTAATTTTTTTATTAATTTTTATCTTAATAAATGAATAAATGTGATCCTTTTCTTTTGAATAAAACTGGGTATTTATTTAGTAAGAGCTACTTCTTAATCATTAATCAATTATCACTCCTTCTTTAATATAAGCTCAAAATCTTAAGATATTAAATTTAATTTGAATAAAACATCAAATTTTTGAGGTTTATTCATGTATGCAACAAAATTGCAGTATTTGATATCACAATTTCAAAAATTTCCATCCCACCGATTGTACGCGAAATGTCAATGTCAGGGCCTTGAATTTTTTCCTTTTTTTTAAATAACATTTCGTATAAAACTATTTTTTTCTTGTGAATATAAAAGAAAATTGTGGAATGCTATCATTTTGTTCTTGAAAATCAAAAAACAAAACTTTGGGGAGAAAACATTTCAACTCGAAAAGATAAGATAACTCTTGGATTTTTTTTTTTCAGCAGCTTTAACATCGGTACAAGAACTTCTTCCACAGCTAAACGGTAATCTAACGAAAGGTGAATGTGGGCGTATCGGTGTTGTTGGTGGTTCATTAATTTATACCGGAGCACCATATTTTTCAGCTATTACAGCACTAAAAGTGGTATTATATTATATTGTTGGCAAATCTTTACATTATTTATTCATTTCATAACTCATTAATTTACTTTCACAAGACTTATATATTCATATTCATCCTTATTGCTCATTTAATTTAACACCACTTGATTCTTCAATCGTAAATATAGCTCCATTTTTCTTTTATTCTTGTTTAATTTTTTTCCTTCTTTTTGTAAATGTTTTAATGCCTTATTTAATTTTTTTTTCCTTCTTGAACAGAATAATTCTAAATTTATTGAGTAAATTCAGTTAGGACATGGGGAGGAAGTATTTCAAAACCTTAGTGACTCAGTGGATAACATTAAGTTTTTATAACAATTCTCAGTTGTCCATTCCTCTCACATATAATTCATGTCATTTAAATGTTTGATTTTTTACTTCATTTAGTATATAAGGAGAAATAAAGAAATTTAAGAAAGAGAAATAAAGAGAAAATTAAGAAGGAAAATTATTTTAAATGTACTTATTCTACTTCATGTTGTTAAATTTTTTCATTCCACATAAGTATAATCGATTAGAAGTGCAAATTCTAAAGTTGTTTCATTCATTTTTATAGGGATGTGATATGGTACATGTATTTTGTCCTGCTGAAGCAGCAAATGTAATCAAAGGATATAGTCCGGAGTTAATGGTACATCCATCATATGATAAAGATGCAATTACAGAATCACTACATCGTGTTGATGCTTTTATCGTAGGACCGGGTCTTGGAAGAGATGAAAAAACGGTATCAGTCGTGGAATTTGTAATTGAATCAGCTAGGAAAAAAAATATACCTATCATTGTAGATGCGGTATGTTGTTTTTTCGTTAGAGCAGTATTATTATGTTTGTTTGAAATTTATTCTAGTAAAAGTTTAGCTAATAAAAAACTAGCTATTGGAAAATATTGTTTTCACTTCTAATAATGTTAAAATGGTCTCATATGAAACTTATTCGTTTACATAGTAATAAGATAAATAAGGTATGTATGGATGTTAGTAGAATAATATCTGGTCTTGTTTATACTTTCTTAATATAGGCAATAGTTTGTTTTTATAAGAAAACCATTATCTAATTATCAGTAATTTATCTGTGTTTGGCTAATAGCATTTTTTTTGGAATTTTTAAACTGACATTTATCACACAACTGTCTTTAATACTTCCTTTGTTTACTACCTTTGAATTACTCTCATTTTAGTCTTATTTCTATGTTAAACTGTGCATTATGAGTATTACAATCCTTTGTTTTGTTCCCATAACTATCAATTCCGAACTAATTAATGATTAGTTGGATCTTGTCACCATCATCAATTTAATGTCATTAATTTTTCATCAATTTAGGATGGTTTATTTTTCTTAGCCAAGAATTTGAATATTATCAGTGGTTATGAGCAAGCAATACTGACCCCAAACCATTCGGAATTCAATCGTCTCTATCAATCAGCTTTCAAAGTAGACAAAATTGATAGAGCAAAAGTTGAATCCGGTGAAGCAGCATGGGAGCTGGCTAGTCATATCGGTTGTACAATACTACAAAAAGGGCCTCGTGATGTAATTACCAATGGAGAGAAACGTAAGTATAGGTGATAACTAGGTCATTTTCATTTCTGAATTTCTTAATTTAAAATTTGTAGCAGAGTCGTAGCAATTGACTTTTGTCCTTTGTCTTTAAACAGTAGTTGTACTCTGGGTAATAGAGTCTTCATAATTTTAAGTTACTTATAGCAACAAACTTTGCTTAAAGTAAAATCTCTATATTAAAGTTGATACATGTTTGGTCAAAAGTATAGTTATACCGCTGTTACAAGATGTGCTACATCGAATAACTAGGACCGTCTATAATAAAAACTTCATTAAATAAGTTTGAGTATTAAAGTAATCCTATTTCAGTTTATCGAGAAGAATCAGTTGGTTCTCCGAGACGCTGCGGTGGACAAGGGGATTTGCTCAGTGGTGCATTAGCTGTCTTCTCATATTGGGCTATCCGGTGACTTTATTTATTTATTTTTTTTTTTTTTTTTTTTTTTTCAAAGTTACCAAGTGGAGATCTTCTTTCGTAATAAGGAAAAACTAGAGAGATATTAAAGATATCATACGAACTTTCTATTCATCAATAAAAAGCTATTTGATTATGATTCATTGCATTTGTGGAAATAAACTTGCAACATAATCATTTATAACCAACTTCTTTACAGGAAAAATGATTCAGCACCAACGATATCTTCTAGTGTTGCCGCGAGTCAGCTTATTCGTTGGGCTGCCAAAGTATCCTTTGAAAGGAATGGAAGGTCATCTACAGCAAGTGATATGATTGCAGAAATACCAGGACTAATCAGACTTTGTGAACCTTAATCATTCTTATATATTGATGCATTTGATTCAGAATATCATAGACTCTATTTTGCACGTTGCTTTCTAAAATTCAGAATAAAGAGCGCTGAATGTCACCAGATGGATCGTTCGTTTGAATTTTATCAGTTAATGAAATCATATTATCTTGATTTTCTTTAGCAGATTATAGAAAATCGTCCAAATTTCCTCTTTATATGCACTGAATATATTCGATAGTACAACATTGTAGAAAGTACAAATTTTCTACAAAATTGTTATCGAATTATATGTAAGGGTATGTTTTATATATTCTTCAGTTTCGAATCAAATTCGAATTCAGTGCATTCCACTATGTGTGATGTGTAAATCTTGAACCACTGTGTATAAATGTGAGAATTTTTAGAATTTTTAACAATTATTCAATAAAGTTTTAGTTTTTTGTCGAGTTATTTTAATTTTTAGCAAGTATCAAGTAAATTGAAAAATAAACTACTTCCTACCGTTCATCTCTTCCTCTTATTATATATTATATTACTAGATGCTATATAAAGTATGCTTTCAAAATTTATCTTTATAATATTTAATCTTTTAAAGCAATGATTTCAAATATTCATTATTATCCATCGTTTAATATTCATTCTATTGACTTTATATCTATGCACTGTGCACTTTGTTCATGATATTCATGAAGAATTGACCAAAATTCCACAATATCTTTCTAGAAATTGTTCCCAAAAAGTACTTATACTGTTTATCAACTCTCGATTTCAACAGTTAAGAATTGATTGTTATTGTTATTATCATTATTATTAATTGGTATATTATTGTTATTATTACCACTATTTTTATTATTATGGAAAACAAGAAAAAAAGAAACTTATAATCTTGTTAAATCACTAAGCTGCTAGTAATTAAATGATGAGTAATTGAATAAGAAAACTTTAACAAAAAAAATTTACTATATTACTAGCGTACCAGTAAAATTTACATTCATTCCGTTAAAACTTACATCAATTCATTTAACCAGTTATTTCTATTGTTTTACTTATTTATATAAAGTCATACCAAATGAGTCGTTTTAATTTTAGGTAATTGATTGAGTAAAACAATAGTACGACGTGCCTGTCCATCAAATTCTTCAACAGCCTGCTCATAAAGTATAGCATATTTTTCAATTTTTTCCGTTGTATTTGCTATTTTTACTTCATGCTTCATATGATCCATATCTGCACGTGCTCTAAAAATGGATGATCAGGTAATTTCTGCATCATAATATCACTTTTATGAACATTTACAAGCATGGCGATATACGATAGTGATAAATACGACCAGTCTACTGAAGCATTTACAATAATATTGTTTGGATTATTTTACATATTCTCTTCAGCACTTAAAATATAATACTTACGGTCAGTTAGCGTACAATAATTCAAGATTTCAAATTTTAATTCTCTGAAACTCTGCCATGGCAATCACATCAAAATATGATCACACCAATCCATAAATAAAGTCTTTCATGCTTCTTTCAAAACTGTGTTTATTTTCCTGTTCATCTTACTTCATCTTTTTAAAAATAATTCCTCATAACTTTCTAAAACTATATATTTTAATTTTCGGATGATCGCATCGACAAATCACTCCGATTATTTACTTTTCCAATTTTGTTCGTTCATCTGTTAATTCCTTATATTCAACTGCGAAAAATCGTCGTAAATGCCGAATTGCTTTCCGTCCATTTAGCTAGATTAAAGAAGTAAATGACAGCATATGTGGAAATTTTCAAATGATTAAAAAATTCCTTTTTTAGGACTGCGAAATTTATTTTTAATTGTTTTTTCCAGAATTTATCAATTCTTTTTTGAAAATTTTTACAGAAATTCTCAAATTTTCAAGAAAATATTAGCTAAGATTTGTAATTGGAATTTGCTATTAAAATATATTGAGTTTTTTCAAAAATCCTGCAAAATTCTACAAGTTTTTCAATATTAAACTATAAGTAAGGAAAAGGATTGAAATCGAAAGGAAGGAGAAAAGTAATTACATAATGATAATAAGTCTTGATATTAAATAATACGAAAAAAGTAACTGTTATTTTACATGAAGTTTGTGATAGGTTTAAATTAAATTTTTCTACTGGATCGTTTTTGAACTACTGAAATCAATTTTAATAGAGAGATTATGTGTTATGTAGTTACGACAGATTCATCCATTCTAAAATTATTTATTTAAATTGAACAGAGTTTATTTTGTCTAAAACAGCATCTAGAGGAGTGAGAAATTAAAAAAATTTGTCGGATAGTAAAAAAAGAAATATGGGTTAAAGGTTACAAGATTCATTTCGTATTGTAATGGAAGTGATTTTTATAGTGTTTGTTGCAGTGAAACATTTCGCAGAATATCAGTAAAGATCTCTTAGAATGAGCTTGAGATGATATTTCTAAGGTGACAAAGTAATTTCTTACCTGGTTTTCACGTTGTACTTTGGCTAAATTTTGTGTAATAGAGATCAAAGATTGAATAGCTGTTATCTTATCAGGTGGTAAGCAACCGTACAATAAAAAAAATGCATTTGAAAGTTTTTCATATGGATTCTCATTTGGGATGTCAACAATCTGCAATATTAAATTTAACATATTCATATAATAAATCGAATAAATTCGTATCAATAAATAATTTTTACTAGCAATGCAAATAAGTTAATAATTATTTCATTTTAAAACTATACCTAATGTGAACAAACATCTACTATATAAATTTGTTGTTTAATTTTAATCCAAATTTCCATTCCTATATTTTTTCTTTGATCATTGGGGACAAAAAAAAAAGACTTACTTCTCCACTAGCAATGGTACTTCTATTTTGCTGAATGCATGCTTCCAATTTTTCAACAAGTATATCATTACTTTCTTTGTAAGCATCATAATTCTTAGTGAGTGCCAGAAATTCCGGGCTCATTTGAGTTTTTTCTAAGTTACTCTGACGATCAGCAAGTTTTGACCAAAATCGTCGTATACCGCCAATTTCTGAGGGGAGAATTGTTAACCACTCAGAAGTGATTTTTTTGCAAATTATTTTTTCAGTTTTTTACAAATTATTTTACTCAGTTATCCTTTTCTTCTATTCCTTTTTCTCTTTTACAATGTTATTTTTGTTAAATTTTACTATATTTTTGATTGTTCTTATAACTTTTTGAATTTAACTATTGCAAAAAGTTTTTCGTTTTAAATTAAATTTTTTCGTTACAACATTTATCTATTTTGAAGTAGATTAATAAAAGTTGGTGCAAAGATTTCTTGACATTACTCGTATTTTTTTTAGTTTGAAAAATTCAACTTTATCAAGAAAGCAATTATAAGTTTGAAATTTATACGCACATTTGCATAACAATTAATACAAAAAACGTAACAAGGGAAAAAATGCTGTAAAGACAATTTTCAATTAAAAGAAGAAGAAATTTTTTCATATTTTAATTCAGAAATTTATCTAATAAACTATTTCCAAACAGTTTCATTACTGGCAATAATTAAACAATTCATAATCAGTAATTATACAATTATCAGGAGTTTATCAAATTATCACTTCCATTTCCATACATTTCTTAGTATCAAAAAAAGAGAAATGGTAAGTACTGCTAACTTTTCTCGCCCATATCTAACAGATTTTTATTGGAAAATAGCAACAACACTAACACTTAAATTGTTGTAACAATGATTTCATTATCAAATTCTTAATTGCTTTATAGGGAATAATTTATGCGTAGAATTAAAGAAATGAATTAATTGGAAGCAAGTAAATATAAGCTTGCTGGAAATAGTTGAGAAAAGCACACTCGAATTTTTAAAGACTGACATTACTGATTCGTCACTAATTAATTTCACCAGCACTTTTTACAAAAGCTCGTTATTATTATTGCTATTATCTGCTACTACTATTGTTATTATTATCATTATCACTATTTGTTTTATTATCTGTTTTCCTAACAAATCAACGGGGCAGGGAAAGAAAAATAAATGAGAAAGCGCAAAAAGAAGAAACATTTCGATGCGAATTTGAAAATATTACTTTTTAGAAAACATCCATTATTACTGTTGGTTGAATCAAGTTTTGTTGCAAAAATTTATTGTACGACCTTTCCGCTGTGCTCCTTCGTCGTCCTTATTGCATGTAATTTTGCCATTCACCACGGAATGACAAAGTGGAGGGAAATATTTTCTGCTTGATGGAGCAAAATGCAATGAATGAGTTGTTTTAAACATTCTTCAGTCTTCAAAACTTTTTTGTGGCTAGAAAAAAGAGAGAAAACCTTTTCAACAGAAATGTTGTTTCTCATATGGACTTTATTCAGTTTCCCCTTTCTTACATTATCTTAACTGTCATTTTCATTTAGTTTAAAATTACTATACTATCATTTGTTCATCATTTATTACTAATTATTACTTTGTTATTTCCATTTTATTATTATTATTGTTTATCATTTGTTTGTTTTGCTTGCTCTCTAAAATTGTTTCTTAAATTTTTCTTATGTTACTTTTTTAATCTATAATTTTTTTCCCAGTTTGAAAATTTGCCTAAATTTTGATAAAGTTATTTGTGCATTGTAATACATCAGTCAAATACAATCAAGTATTTCTTATGTAAGCTTGAATAGCATAAATAAATGTAATTAACTGGTTAGAAAGAAAAATTTCATTTTATTAATCGAAATATGTTTATGTATAAATATTGTCGTTCTTAAATTGATTTGTAGTGTTGAAATTTTAGTATTGAATACTTTTCATTTGATTTTAAATATTAATTTTCATATTTCAATCAGTTTGCAAAATTGATCTTTTTTCGAATTTGTCTTAATCACCCATCATTTCTTTTTTAATTTCATTTCTGATTACATTTTTTAAAACAGTTTAAAATTTCTGGCTTATTGGAAAATTTTTCATTTCAGAGGTGAAAGAAAATGTGGTAATTTAAATTTTGTGAATTATCACTCGGTTTGAATTTGTTTAAAACGATTTATTGAGTTTGATTTATTTGGAATAGAAAAAAGGAAAAGAAGAACAATGAATAAAAGACAAAATACAAAGAAGTTTTTTCAGAATTAATGAGAAAAAAATTAATAATAATAATAAATGGCTTTAATTAATAAAATGCTGACAAAGAGCAATTAATTAGTGATTTAGAAGAAATGATTTAGTCACGATAATTTGCATATTTTCTATTAACAAATATAATAATTTGTATAATTTAAAATACAAAAACCAAATCAATCAATATTTTACATGCTTTGACATATGAAAAGCCAAACCAGACAAAAATTTTGGATGCTTTTATGAGAATTCGAAATAAAAACTAAATATTTTGTTGTTTTTTTTTTTTTTTTTTTTTTGTTTTTTCATTTGCAGTCATTGTGTAGCAATGAAAAAAGACATAACTTTCGTGAAGTGGTAAAAATTCCGAGTAGCAATAGCAATATTATTTAAGAATGTTTTCGTTTATTCTTCTTTTACGATGAGATTGCAATCAGCGCTTTGGCAGATTTTCCATTGCTGCACTGATAAATTAACTAAATTCAATTTTCTTTCAAAAATGACCTTGCATTTTGTCCCACTTAATTTTGTTTTAATTTCATCTTTCCTTTGCTTCTTCTAACGTTCGGAATTATTGGTAAATTGTTTAAACAAACCTATTTTTTGATGTTCAAATAAAAATTAAGAATTTAGAAAGAAAAAATTTTTCCATTTTTTTAATCTTTGTTGAATAGATGATTAATTAGAAAAAGAAGAAAAAACTGTTTTCATTTTTTTTTTTTCTATCCAGCAAATGGAACAACATATTCTATTAATTTCTTCCTTTAATTCTATTTTTTGCTTTATTATTAATTTAAATCTGATGCGAAATACGTAAGTGTATGCTTTTAGTAAATCCTCAAAAATAAATTACTTCAATTATTGTATCATTTTATCACTATTTAATTTTTTTTCAACTCTTATTGCTATGTTATTATTACCACTATTATTATTGTTATATTATCATTATTGTCATCATCCCCATTAATATCACTGTTCTTACTATTATTACGACTATTGTTGCTATTACTGCTATTCTGATTATTGTAGTTGGAGAGTAATAATAATGACATTTTACTGAAAATTATTTACTGGTGTGACGAATATCCATCTCATGTAATTCTTGGATCTTAATTGTACGTTAATGCACATGTTTATTAGGTCAGAAATGATGACAGAAGAAAAAAAAGGAGAGAAGAGGGGAAGAAAAAAAAGAAGGCAGGAAAAAAATTTTATTAGAAAGTTATATAAATTTAGAAATTCAAAAGATTTTCCTTAAAATCCTTTTTGGTTTTTTCTGCCATTGCTTTACATCAGTTATCTATTGTCACGAATTTCTTTCTAAATAATTTTATTATTATTGTTATTATTATTATTGATTATTATTATTGCAAAAAAAAAAAAAAAAACAAAGAAAAAAGAAACTTGTCATCTTGTCAAATCATTAAATTGCTAGTATTAAGTGGTGAGTAACTGAGTAAGTAAATTTTAATCTCTATTAGTTAGTCTCGAAAATGATTTTGTTCTACCAATAGTTTGGGGCAAATCTAACGAAATGGGTTTGAGCAGCCCATGGGGAGTGTATGTACATATCAACATATACTCGTGATTTTAATTGGCTACAGCGATCATTTTCATTCTGCCACTAGAATACTTTTATTTTTTTTTCTTTTTATTTCCTTCCTATTATTTCAGAAATATGTTCATTTTCAGCTATTCATCGCATCATATCATTTTTGATAGATAAAATATCCATCTCAGCTTTCGTACATTGCCAATATTAAAGATTTAATGGCATAACAATTTGTCACAGATAGTTGGAATCAAACAGTTTCTTAGACTGCCAAATCTTAAATTTATGGGTCATTTGGCTTCATGAAATAGTTCATGAAAACACTAAAGGCAGAATATGCAGGAATAGACGAACAATTATTTCATATTATAGAACAAATCTTAGAACCCTTTAAATGTTTGATAAACTGCAATTAATTATTTATATTTCAACAATGATAATAATAATGACAACGATAATAATAATAATAATAATAATAATAATAATAATAATAATAATAATAATAATAACGATGATGATGGTAGTGATGATGATGACGCTGACGATGATGGTAACAATGCTAGTGGTGGTGACGGTGATGACGACAGTGTTGGTAGGTGATTCGAAAATGTTTACCATCGATTTCAGTTGGTTTTCATTCGTTTATGTGACATTGGTATGAGACTGCACCCATCACCAGCAATTATGCTATGTTCTATGCATGATGAACGCTGGTCATCTTTACTTGACATATCGATATTTGAATCTTGCGATTTCATTTATCCAATTACTAACATAAATTATTTGATTGATTTTAATTGGTTAACTCGGTTTATTGAAGAATTTGTTGTTAAAATTTATATCATTTAATCATTCATCATTTAATAACGTTTGATTTTCTGTTCTGATTTATATTTTGATTGTAAACATTGATAACTTCAAATAATTTGTATAACATGGGAATTTTAGGCCATAAATCATCGGTTAGTACCAGATCATTAATGATAATACCTTAAAATCTGATTGTTAAAATCTGATGTTGCAGTCAACTGTTATAAGATTATTATGATAAGTAATATCATTTTTTATAAATCATCACCAGTATTTCATATTACAATAATAATAACAATAATAGTAATACCATAAGTGATCATTTATATCTTTATGGAATAATTGGACTAATTCTTTCAGCCACCAATCTCCAAATTTAATCATGTATGCTAATCGCATGCATCGGTTACTTAATCTGTTTTGATTAATAACTGTGATACAACTCGCTTATTACAACACGTAGTTTTTACGTAACATTTATTGTAATTGAATATTTATGCATTTGTTTATTGATTTTACTTTTTTCTATCTAATTAAATTTTAAATTAAAAATGGGAGAGGCAAAAGTGTGAAAGTGAATTTATGTTGTTGTTGTTGTACGATATTACCATAGCGGTTATTGTAATATTATAGGTTAGAAAATGAGATATAGAAAGGACAGAATATAACAACCAACATCAACGCATATGTCAATTTGTTGGTTGTTAAAGAGAGAAGTAGGAAGGTTAACAAACGGCGAATGATTTTGGGTTATAGAATTGACAAACTTCATTTCACTTATTCACTTTTAAATTATACATAAACAAACTTTGTTATTTTTAAGTATATTCCCATTTATTGAATATTTTAATATATAATAAATATACGACTTGTTCAACAACATTTTCTATCCTATATTATATATATATGTAATTAATAATCATTGATCGATTATTTATTGTTCCAATTTTGTAATTTCTTTTTTGTCTTTTTAATTTGTTCTTATTTGTGTCTGGATGTAAATATTTTCTATTCTTACATATATCTATTCATATTTATATTTTTTTGTTATATCAAATTTACAAATTTAAGACTATTTTTAGCTGATCTCTTCATTTGATCAAATAGTTAATAATTTGATCGACTATTGATTATTGCAAATCTTGCGAATAATACATGATTAATTACAACAGACAACAACGATTTCACCTAGATTTATATCCCTTTTTCAAGTATTGATTAGATCTGAACTATCTTCTTTTCTGCAAAATTAGAAATTGTGATGAATATTGGATAAATTTTAAGGGTTAAAAGGGATCAGTTTTGATGATTGGTGCGTAAGAAAGGTAGAAGAAGAACAAAAAGTGGAAAAAGAAAGGAAATTTTGAGCAAAATGCATAGTCGTATGTCACGGCTACGACGTTCTCTGTCGCGTGGTTCACTATTTAATGGCTTATCAAAATCACAATTATCATTGGTTGATTTACCAACATTACATCAGCAATCTGTGCTAATTGGAAAATTTTCTGTAAGTTTTTCTTTTCATTCTCCTTTATTTCTAATAAGATTTCAAATTAAATTTAATTGCTCGTCATTTGTTAAAAGCTCAATGCATTTATGAAGGGAGTAGATATGAGGAGAATGGAACATGGAAAAATTGACTTTTCTGAACTTTTTTTAGATTAATTAACAAAGATTTCGAAAATTTCCTTTGTTGTAGTCTTCAGTATTAGAAGAAATATTTTTGTGTTATTCTCGTTACATCTCTCATTTTTCAAAAATTCATAAAAAATTTTAAGCATTTTAACAGCAAGCATTTTGCATTTTTCATTTATTCTATCTTGTTTTGAACGAAAAACTGAAAAATATATTGATAGTTTTGATACATTATTGAAAATGAATTAATGAACTATTTTAGAGATCGGAAATGTCAATAATAATCTCAAAAATTATAGATTTAATTAAGCTATAAAATTTACCAACAGTGAATGATATTTTTGTGATCGAAAACTTTAAATTTGGGTTAAGATGATGATATTGGCATTATAATGGATAACAATGAATTATTGCCAGTATATAGTCAATAATTAATCCAAGAATTGAAAGAAAACCTTCCCTGGGATATACTACATTGGTAATATCCAGTTGGTCAATCCCAGCTAGTAACATAAAACCGGAATTTAATAGTATTTTCAGGAAATTGCAGTATGCCATTGAGAACGATTATAGAAAGAACTAAGCTTTTATTTTGAATATTATGATTGATTATAATTCGAATTTAAAATTTTGTTCTTTTCCTTCTCCTTTTCCGTAAATATAATAATTTACTGATATTATTTAAATCCAAAAAAATGCAATAGCCTTAAATAAACAAAAGATTTAAGCTTTTCGATATTTTTGATTATTAATATTGATACCTGTTATTACCAACTTGTTTGTTCGCTGTTATTATTTATCATTATTATAACTGTTAAATTTTTGAAAATTTTGCTTAATACAGGACAAAAAATGGAAAATGTTAGATTTTAGGATTAGAAATTAATGAATAAAACACAAGTCACTACCAAACGAAATATATTATAAATTGAGAAAAAAAATCAAATATCTAATTTATATATATTAAATATTTTTGAAGGAGATTTTAAAAATTCTTTTTCATGAAAGTTTTCAATTTTTACTTCAATATTTGAAATTAATACGGCAGTTAGTAATATGCAACTTTTAGTAAAAAAATATTTAATATTTCTATTTAAAATTCAATTCATTCATTGAGCCAATTTTTCATCGACGAAAATGATAAAAGTTGGTAAATATCTGATAAAAAACAACGGAAATTAAGTACTCTAATTTTCTTCCTAATATTCTTACCTTATATCATCTCAGCAATATTATGAGTTTGTTACTCTTTCAAAATATTTTATTCAATTATTGAAACTAATTTCGTTACATCCTCCTTTTCATCATTATATTTCAGTGATACTCTATGTAACATTCACTTTCAATCTCAAATCACTTCAGAATCAATAGTTGACAATTTATTTCATTTCCTAGAAACATAAACCAATAATTGCACATTCAATTTGATGATTTGTTAGGGTTTTTTTTTTTTTTTCATTCGGGGAAAAAAGAAAAGAAAACAATATGAATGCATTAAATTTGTTCTTATTGAACATTCTGGAAAATTTTTTAATTAAATCTTTTGAAATTTACATGCATTCTCCTTCCACTTCATATATTGATTACATTTCAGTTCTGATTAGATCATTTTATCAGAAAGGTAAAAGTATAAAAATATGAGTGTATGTATGTGTAAACTGAATAAATTGTAATGTTTAAAATTAAGTTGTTTAAAATCTAATTGATATATGCACATATTGTGTATGTGAGAACTTAAAAAGATTGGAAAGTTATGAAAGCTAATGATAAAGAAATATTTAAATTATCATTTCGGTGATTGAACTACTATTATTTTAAATTAGTGGATGAATTTAGTCGATAAATCAGTTTGTCATCTAAAACTGTTCTATTTAATAATATCATTAAGTTTTGAAACATGTATTTCAGTTTTTTATGCTACTATCAAAGGTAGGTTTTTTCCTCCGTCTGTTTTGTCTTTGTTTTCAATTTTCCATATTAATAAATTTTAAATCTTAATTTTAATTAAGCTTGTATGGAATGTATTTTGTGCACAAAAATGTTTAAAATTATAGCACAGTTCTCCAATGCTTATTAAAAATTATGGCTAATAGAAATAATTAAAAATTAAAAATCTGACAAATATTTACTAATACTTCTAATTTATTGATAATTGTGTCACAAAAAATCGGAAGACAAATTTATTTTTTCTTTAAATTTTGACGTCAAATTTTTTTTTCTTTTTCATTTTTATTTTTTTTCAGTCTGAAGAAATATTTTTAAAAAGTGATTAATACTAATTCGTGTCGAGAAAAACAAAGGAAAAAGCGAAATTTTATTGACTTTCAATAGTTATGCATTGGACGCAGAATTTTCCATAATTTCATTCAGCATTTCAATGATTGGTGAAACTTCAATGAAATTCTTGAAAAAAGAAATCAGTTTGATTCAAAAAGATCAACAACTATTATATTATGTCTTATGTTAGTGATATGCCGGTCATAGCCAGCAGTTCATCAGTGTCTTTGCTTGGGTTTCCACACCATTAATAGTTTAATCATTGAATCGTTGAATTAATCATATCGGTGCGATCCTTTGTGTCAGTCTCGTTTTTATTGGCAAGTTTGGAAACTATAGCTATAGTAGGTTATACATATCGATTACAAACTTTCTGTTTTTATATTTTCCATTTCCAGTGATTAATTACTTTTGATAAAATTGATGATATGGAATTCAAGCGCTATTTAAAAAAAAGAGTAAAATCTATAAAACGTTACATTCTCTAATATATTTATTTAAATTTTCTAAAAACATTAGCAGAGAACGGAGTGAAAAAGAGGAAAGTTGAAAAGTATGACTTATATTTAAACATTAATTTATACAATTCATTGAATAGATGATGAATCATGTTTGTTCCATTAATATTAAACTAAGTCTAATTTACAGGCATACTTAGAATTATCAAAATTTAAATCGATAAGTTAGTAAATGAGAAATAAAATGTGCGATGATAAGAAAAAATAAAAAGACAAATACGGCGAAATTAATTACTAATTTTATTTTTACAAAAAGTCAAACATTTATGTTATTATCAACAAACCTATTTTTGTAGAAATTGGTTCTATTAAAATTTTATTTCTTAAAATGAATGCTTCCTTCCATTAGCTTGAATGCATGTAGAAAATAGTCGGAAATTTCTTGAATATTTGGGAATATGCGTGTTTTTTTTCTTGTTTTACAAAATGAAAGATTTCATTTTAGACGCCAACAGCATTTCCACAGTTGCAACAACTTGTTCACACAAATAATGAGATGTTACGAGAAATCATTTCAATTTTTGATGAAAGGTACTATTTTTGCAATCTGGAAAGTATTTCGGAACTTGAATTCGATTCATTAATCTTGTTTTACAAAAATCTAAAGATAAAAAAGGGCGATTATTGGCAGATTAAATATTTTAAATTTTGAGTTTTTTTTTTCTTTTTAATTTGAACCTATATTGCAGAGCTTCATTGGATTTTGCATATTCAAAAACAATGCAAAAACTATCATCAAGATTGCATAAAGTTTCAGCAAAATCATCGGGGTGCTTTTTTTTCTATTTTAATTTAAACTTTTATTCAAATTTTATTGCAAACAATTTTTGCTCTTTGAAATTTACTTTAAACTTTTTTTATATAATTTTTAAAATATGAACAATCCAATTCATTAAAGTTATTCCAAAAATATTCCAAAAAAGAAAACCATTTAAGAATTTGTTCTCGGAATGTTGTTTAAATTTATCTTTAGTATATATCGATAGAAAATTTGAAATGGTTTATATATAAATTATTCCTTTGGGTAAATCAATTCTTACTATTATGGTTTCAAACATTTATATATTTAAATACTTTTCATCTATCTTTTATTTGTTTGTCCTGAAATTCCGATTATTTACTCAAAATATTTGCCTAATTACCCATAGCTACCATAGTCTGATGATTTATTTGCTGAAATTGATTATACTAACAATTTCTTTGCCATTTTATACATCAAATAATTCATTTGTAGTGAACTCCACAAATTTTTATTTATTTATAGTAAACTTTATACATCTTTATATATTATTAACTAAATTTCATACCGATGGTAATTAGTGGGAAATAATGATTATCTATTATTACTCGTTATTCGTACAAACAAACGTTGGTCACAAATAATAAGGACGCATATTTGATATGTGCAGATAAAGAATTAATTAATTTAATTTTTAGATTTTTCATTAATCTTAAGAATGTGTCACTGCAAAATTCTATGTTTGCAAAACTTTTTGAATTAAATAATTATTAAATAAGTTATTGAATAAGACAAAAAGTAATTTTTACTGATAGGTATAATTCCTTTCAATCAAATAAGTATGTATCGTATCATACCCAGGAGACAATCTCCACTAAATGATCGAACAGTTCTGATGGTCATCATTTCAAGAGGTCATTGTTTCGGGAGATTATATTCTTCTGATAGATTCGAAATAATATTTGAACACTTGCAATTATTGATTTGCTACATAAATAAATCAATGAGTGAAATATTTTTGAAGGATTATCGATCATGCATGGAGTTATGTTGCTGATCAATTTGATGCTCAGGCTAGCATACACAAGTGAATTTAAATTTTATCGAAATTGCTGATAGATTTTTATGATAGCTAACAATTGGTTTAATATAATATAATGGTTTTATCATTAAGCTTATCATATATTATTTGACATTATTTATCGAATATTTTCTATTCCATTTAAAGATAAATTTAGATCGAATTCTTTTTTTTTTGCTAATCATCTAAATTAAAATAGAACAAGAGAAGAAATGACTTTTTGATCGGTTGCAACTAGTAAATATATTATTTACATACTAACTGTAGATTTTAATTGGAACTTTTAATTGGATTTTTTAATATTTACAGCAATCTTGGCTCAGCCATAACTGACGATATCGTACAACCTCTTCGAGCTATTTTTAATTCTCAGCAAAGGACCATTCGTGCCGTATGTGATTTCAATATTCTTTATTAATTTGCAGTATTAATGCTTTTAAATATGCAACACTTTGGTTAAATTTTCTTAATTTTCGTGATACGATATTTAATTAGCAGAATTTTGAGTATCGTATCACATCGTAGAATTTTGAGTATCGTATCACATCGTAGAATTTTGAGTATCGTATCACATCGTAGAATTTTGAGTATCGTATCACATCGTAGAATTTTGAGTATCGTATCACATCGTAGAATTTTGAGTATCGTATCACATCGTAGAATTTTGAGTATCGTATCACATCGTACCTTACCTTCAGTATCTACCAAGTCTGATCAATTTTTTACTTATAACTCTTCCATTTTTTTTTCTTTTTTTGCTGCATTATATATGTGTACATATAATTAGTTTTGATATTCGAGCAAAAAATTTTTGCTATATTACAGTCTTACATTAATTTTTAGCACATTACAGATTAAACAACTTCTTATATTCTTATAATTTTTTGATTACAATTCCTATTCATTCCATTTACATCATAAACAATGAAAAAACCTGGAAAATTGAATAAATTTTGAATTATCAGACAAATCATTAACTGAATTCAACAATAAAATCATTAACTTCAACCATAGTATATGATATATTCTTTTTTTTATTTCTGAAACAATTTTTATTATACATTTTATTGTAGACGGAGCAGTTAGCAAATCGTGAATTACGTTTTTTGACCACCAAACGTGATGAATTATCGAAAATCAAACGTCTGTTGCATAGTTCCAGTCGTGATCTTGAAAAGGTTGAACAACTCATTGACAATGACCATATGTCAAATATTAAGGTTTTGAATTTAATAATCAAACATTCATAATAGTAATAATAGTACAATAATAATGATAATAGTAATAATGAATTATAATAAATAATGATGATAGTGCTGATAATTACAATCAGTGCTTTGTTTATTAACTAATTCATTATGAAGGCAGGAAGAATAGTGCTATGAATTTTTTTATTTCTCTTCCATATTTTTCCAAAATAAAAACATTTAGTTATTATGATAACTGATAATAAATCGCAGTGATAATCGTAGTTATTATTTGTAATTCCAATTAATAATTCTATGTTCATTGTTTATCCCATTTTTTACCAAAAAAAAAAAAAAAAAAAAAAGAATAGATTGCAATTCTGTCTTCTCTAAGTGCATCTCATTTTTTGAATTTTTTCCCTATTTTACTTAGTTGGGATCGTAAGAAATGACGAAGAGAACCAATGTTTATAATTATCTATGTGAAATTAGTATTATTCTCTTTTGACCAACTATTATTGTCAATTTTTTAATTTGATGCAAAAGAAGGAATGAACCCTTTATAACACTAGAAAAAATTTCTGAAATTTAAATTTCATATAAATTGTTTACTTATTATTTTACCTTTTTTTCTTTATTTTATTTTTTCAGTTATCGGTTAGAAAACGGAAATTGTTAGAGCAAGTGATGAAACAGGAACAGACATATATTGAGGAAACGATAGCAACCGAGCGACAACGGCGTGTAACGGATGGTGTACTCCGGAAAGGTGTTGAATATTTGGAAGTTGTTGAAAAGCAACGTTTAGCACATTGTCAAACAGCACTTGGGCGATTTCAAAGAAAAATTTCCCAATTAGGACCAAATTTAAATATGGTATAAATTTTACTTAAATTAAACTTCATGCTTACTCAGTTTTAATTGATTTGTTTGTCGAAAATTATTGATAAGAGGAGCACTAATTAATTAATTTTATTTTATTAGTGATAATGCTGAATAATTTTTATGATGAAAATTCTTTTAAAACATTAAATAATAGATACTATTCTAAATATATAATAAATAGACATTAAAATGATAGATAGTAAATTATATTACTATCCATCATTTTTTATAAAAATAAAATTAGTTAATGAAATATTTCTGTCCCTCTTCATTTTAATAGATAAATTTGATCATACACAGAATGTTTCAAAAAAAAAAATTATTTGAAATATTAATTTACAACAATTCAACAGCATTACAAATGCAAAAGAATTTATTGCTGAAGTCATCCAAACGATAATTTTTAAAAGAATTCTTTATCAAAAAAAGTTTTTTATTTTTATAAAAAAGTATTATCTGCCATCATTTAAAACACAGTTCATCCTTTTCAATTGTATATTCTTTTTTTCAATTCTCTTTTTTAAGATGAAATTTGATTATTTTATGAAATCGATGAATGCAAATTGATTTTGTAGATGTTTGAGCGTTGTATGAATGCATTGAATGATGCGCTGAATGCAGAACCGAGTGAACAAATTTCGATGATAATGCCAATTTGTTCAACAAGTCATACAATTTATTTATGTGATTTTCATGTTAGTCTTATTTCTCTTCCTAAATAAATTTTAAAATTTAATTTCATTTAATTTTTCTTTCCAGTTGCAATTCGTTGCTTGCAAAATACAACTTTCTTTAATCAAGTGATAAAATTTTGCTTTTTTTATTTTATATTTTTTCTATTTTTGATTTGTTACTTGTAAAATATGATCTTTTTGTCGTTTTTTTCAGATAGGAAAATTGTTGTAAACGAACTTTATCACAATAACAATAGTATGTAGTAATAATAATAATTATTATTATTACAATAAATTTCCGTTAATAATAGAAATTATGCAAATAATGATATTTATTATGACTAATATAACTGAAATGCAAATTAATGATAAGATACATACATATATAATATACACTAGCGTATTCCATTAAATATTTTTTACTAAGTAGAAAAAAGGAACAAAAAATAAAGAGCTATGAATTTATTGATTAGTCATCAAATTTAATCATTTCAAATAGGTATTAAAATAAAGATGTTTTTAAAATAAAATTAATTAGTATCATATATATTTATTTATAGGCAGAAAATTTTGCTGAAATAATAGGTGGTCAACGACGACGTTGGACACTGGAACGAATTGGTGCAGTACTTCAGGAATATTTGAAGAGTACTCAATTAGAGGCAAATCCAATGTTGCCGTCATCGACTAATATTGTAAATTGTGTTTGTGTTAACCTCTTTTCCTTTTATTTATTTTAAATTAGGAATAATTTGAAATTTGATTATTTTTTTTTTATAATTCTATTGTTTAAGAGTTATGTCGAGTTTTTGGAATATTTGATTTATAAAATAAATGAAGCAATGAAAAGTGTCGATGGTGCACAAAACAGAGAATACCATCGATTAGCACGTTTCCAGCAAAAACTTAAGGATAAATTGGTTAAATTTATATCATTTCTTTTATTTTATGATAAAATTTGAAGCAAATAAGAAAGAGAAGGAAACAGGAATTGAAAGTTGGGATTCAAAGTTATCTAAAGTAATTTGTTTCAAACCACTGTAAATTGATGGTTTATCCAATTTTTCTTTTTCGTAATGTAGGGTTTGGCGCAAACGGTATTGACAATACCATCACATGAACTTGGAAATGGTGAAAAACCATCTGCGCCAAGTTTACCAACAACGTCAAGTATAGAAGATGAAACTGAACCAGTAAGATTTTTTCTACTGTAATGGTTTTTTTTTTTTTTTTTTGTCATTTCGTAAGACCTAACCAAGAAGTAAAGATAAAGATGATAAAGCGAAATTTATTTTGTTACGTCATTTGCTTGGCGTACACTTTCTCATAAGACTGTAATTATCACTGAATAAAAAAGTTGCGTGCGACAAAGTAATAAATTTTTATAGAATTATAAATTTCAACTATTTATATAAATCAAAATCTTTAAGTAGTGAGTTATTGCGATGATATACTACTATACTTATTTTGCTAGTGTATGCTATTTCGACGTAATAATATTAATAATAGTAATACTTTTATGAAAGAAGAAATATTAAGCGTTAGTAGTAAAAGTTTAATTAATAAATTACAATATTGCACTTGCGTTAAATCTATGTGAAACGTGAAACAATTTTTTTCTTTGCAGATTGTTAGTGAAACACGTGAACCATTAGAACACTATGCTGCTCCACGTTCATTGTCATGCGACGAATCACAACACATGCAAAATACCTCATCATCAACGTGTACTAGTAATAGTGAAGCAATCAAACGTATCTATCGTGTCTTGTACGATTTTACAGCTACCACAGCAGATGAATTAGATGTTCACGCAGGTGACTGTGTTTTGGTAGAAGGTAAAATTGGTAATGATTGGATGATCGGACAGATTATTTCAAATAACCAAATGATTGATGAGACTGGTACTGTCACATCGAAAGTAAACAAAATTGGACGATTTCCAACATCATACGTAGCTTTTGCTAATAATAGTTGATATATGTGACATGATATGATATGACATAATATATTAATGATATGATACGATATATGATATGGCTTGATATGATATGGTATTATGATAATGATATATTGTTTCCTCTTTCCTAGCTTGAAGAATAAGTGATGCTTAATTAATCCAACTGGTAATTATTCATCAAATGATCTCGATTTTTACTTTTCCTCTCTTGTAACATATTGAATAGCTGGCATTGCTATTTGTTTTAATTTGAAATCTTCATTGTTATGCAGCAGTAACATTTTTCATTCTCGCTTTATCAACTCTTCAACTTAATTTTATTAGTTTGTAATACTAGAATTACTACGAAATGATTTTGCTGTGGAAACTGACTGTGGAAAAAATATTTTTGGTTTTTTTTTTTTTTTTTTGCAATATTTTGCGCTATTAGTTGCTTAAGCTTTAGTCTAATGTGTTAATTTATATTTTACTAATTTCAAATGTGCAATTTGAATTTTTTTTGTTTCTAAAACTATGCCTTGTCATCACATTTATCCGCATTTGTTGCAGAATCTGTTCCCCATACTACTATATATATGTAATTGGAAATTAGTGCTTTTTGAAGCTCAATAAAATGTTTACAAAAACATTAATCATTTGTTTTGCAATTAAATTTTTACAAATTTTATAAATGAAATAGAATTCAAACGATATTAGCGCGCTTGAAATTAAAAAATGTAATGAATGAAAATATTTAATTAAAAATTCCAATAATTGGATATTTCAGTAAAGTTAAAAAACGGTTGAAGACAATATTTTGGGGAATGGTATTTTATTATTTCTTTAAAGTTATGAGTTTAGCAGGAAAAGTTTATAAATTTATCTTTTAATTTCATATTATTTATTATATACACATTTTATGTTAATTTAATATATTTCGTTGCTATATCAAACATTATTTATTCTATATGCTTTTCGAAATTATTTTCTTAAAACTATTTAAATTTTGTTGTAGATGTGGAGATATAAGAGAGAGAGAGAGAGAGAGAAACGCAAGTATATAATATATATATGCAGGTATGTGCAGGTGTGGATGGTCCTGTATAAGTCGAACATGAAAATTATACGGTGAGTGATAAGTATTGTTTACGTATAGGTATACCTGAAGAGGGTAGATGTACGTGTACTTACGCAAATGTGTGTGTGTGTGTGTGTCATTGTAGAATGAATTTCAAATAAATGTTATAAGTGTTGAAGAGAAATCCATTTGATCATTTCTCAATGTTCCCAGTGTAATAATATAGTCTGGTAAGATTGTCAGTGATATGTTATCGTTTAGAAACGCTTACTCATTCATAGATTTGCATAAAAATAGATTCTCCCTCTCTCTCTCCCTCTCTCTCTCTCTCCCTCTTTCATTTCCTTCAAATAACTTTACATCTGATTTGCAGATAGAAATAAATAAAATCATTGCAATCGCTTACAAATATCTTTTCTTTATCTGATCTCTTCCAACTAACTAATGAACAGTTTAGCATCACTTAGCATTCTTTGCTTTTGCATATGGGACTAAAGAGCTAATAGAATTGTGACGAATTTAGTTAGTTTAATTTTTTTTAAATATTCACATCTGATAGCTATCATTTTTCTTCTCAAACTATTACAACTCTTTTCTTTCTTTCTCTTTCCTTCAACATTTCTATTTAGAATATTTTAGTATTTAACTAATTAACAGTTTTTCTTTCTCTTATCCCCTTTTGCGTTAATTTTAAGTTAGTTGAAAATTTAATAGGGTTAATAATTTGTGCACCAACTTTATTTGGAGAATTTGAATTCTGACTTTGCTTTTTCAATTTTGGAACAATTCAAGGAATGTTTCCATTATTTTTTTATTTCATTTGTTAGTTCTTATATTTATTGATCTGGATAGTTTTTCATGAAATAATCAAAATAATTAAAATAGGATTAAAATAAGAGTCTCAGTGGTTTTTTTATCTCTTTAATGTTGTGACAAAAAAGTATTTATTAATCATTGCATATTGGTAATGATTAATAAAAGATTTTGTAAAGAAGATTTTGTGGAATTTGCTTCTTATTTTGAATCTTTCCTTTAGATATGCTGGTAGCATTTCAAACTATTTAAATTATTAACTTTCAATGGTAAAAACTTTAAGTAGTTAATGATAAATTTCAGAAAACTTCATCAACTTCAATGACTACTGTTGAAAAGACGATAGATTTGTAAGTTTATTGGAAATTAACTGTTATTGGCCATACGTTTTCTTATCTTTCGTTTTGAACCATTTCAGTTCCTCTTCCTTCTCTTTCATTCTATCTTCAAAATGAGTGATTGCTAAACCAATTTGTTTTGAAAAAGCAAATTTAAATTGAAATCCAACATTTACTAATTTTCAGACGTAATAAAGATGATGATGATGATGATGATAACGGTGATGGCGAAGAAGAAGAAGTAGAAGTAGAAACTGAAGATGAGGACGAAGATGACAACGAAAGTGAAGAGGCAGAAGATGAAAGTGAAAATGAACAAAGTGAAGCTTTCAAAAAAGTTGAAAGTGAAATGTAAGAAGTTACATTGGTTAAATTTTAAGTTTTTTACAAATTTATTCAGAGTTTATCATTCGTTGTTGGTTTATACTATTTTTCAAATTTTCTTATAAATTAGCTCGTCTCTTTCTCATACATTTTTCTTAACCATTAACAAATTTTATTTATAAATGTTGAAAACATTTATAATAATTAATATAATTGTTGATAAAATGTTGACAGTAAGAAATGAAAGCAATTAGCTTCTTTTTTTTTTTTTTTTTCCGAATTATTTTAGCTAAACTGCAATAATTTTCAAAAAAAATTTTATTTCTTCAGCCGGGAAAGTTTAAAAAATTTTCAAATTTTATAAATTTGTTTTTTTCTAACCTCTTTCTTCTTAAAGATCTCAAAGATGTCTTCTTAGAGATCGTTCTGTACTTGTAAATATCAAAATTGTTCATATGCATGTATATAAAGAATAGAATTGAAAAGAAATAATTTTTTAAACTATGACATTTTTTTTTTTTTTTGATATAGCAATAATAATTTTAATGAGAGCATCATGTCAATGTCAACATAAATGATTATATTAAAGGATAAAAGTTGATAAGGAATGCGAAGGAATGACAGAAGCAACAAAAGCAGTTTTAGTAAGTAAATTTATTTCTTTCTTTCGTTTTTTGATACAGTAATACAACTTGTATTACGTTATTCATCATTTAAAAGTTTAGGCTGCAAAGAAACGACAAGAAGAGGAATACCGTTTGCAATATGAAGTACGTCGAAAAGAAGAACGTGAACGAGTAGAGCAAGAATTGAGAAGTCTACGTGAAAAACAAGAAAGACGTCGACGTGAGCGTGAACAAGAAGAAAAAGAATTAGCCGAGAAAATGCGCTTAGCTGAAGAGAAACATCGTCAAGAAGAAGTAAGTTTTATTTTTAGAAGAAAAAAATTATTTGATATTAATTCTTTCATTGCATATTGGTGAAAATTTGAGGATTTTTTACCCTAAGATTATAAATATTTGAATATTTTTGCTACTTAAATGAAAGCAGACGAAACGAATATTATATTTCATATTATATTTTAATTTCGAATTGTATTAACTAGAAAGTTCACAGCCGTTGCTATTTTATAAATAATAAAATATTTTCAATTATTTTTTGTTTAAGTTAAAAATTTCAAACTTTTCTTTTCAATTTTCCCGGTGCAACAATTATCTAGCAAATGTTTATGTTTTACTCTTTCTTTTTTTAATATTCATTGCTAAAAAGTGGAAAAGAAAATTTTGATTTCAAATTTCAAAAAGAAGCTAAGAATTTTTTAGGAGGAGAGTAAAGCACGAATGGAAGCACAAAAACGAAAACGTGAAGAAGAACGATGCAAAAAGCAGGCGATGCTTGCCGGTTCATTGGCTGGTATCGTTTCATCCGGTAATAACTGTAATCCTAATTTTGTCATTCAGAAACCGGAAAAAACAGAGCGAAATGTAAGTTAGACACATTAATAACTTGTATTTAAATTAAAAAATTCCCTGTTAAAATTAAATCTTTTGAATTTGCAAAAATGAAAAAAAAAAAAGAACAAAAAGGAATTAAAGCAAAATTCTATTCAAAATTATATGCAACTTTCATTTGGAAAAAATGATTTTCTTTTTATTCAACTTTAGAAAAATGATAAAGCGAGAGAAGAAAAAGAAGAAGCTAAACGTGCTTATATGGCAACGGTAAACCAAAAACCGGACGTTTCTCACTTATTGATAAACGATTTGAAAATTAAAATTCATGAATTGCACTCACGTATTTGCAAATTAGAAGCACTCAAATATGATCTTGAAAAACGACATGAACGACAACTTTATGATGTAAGTATTGTATTTTTAATTTACGGAATTCCGGATAAGTTTCTATGTACATAAATGAATATATTCAATGCCAAATTGTAGTTGAAAGAATTACATGAACGTGAAAAACAAGTGGCACGCCATCGTGCCCTGCAACGAGGACTTGATCCAAATGAAGCAGCAGCGTCACCACATCCTGTAAGTTCTTAAATTTTTGCATAAGTGATTTTTCTTTCCTTTTCTTTTTTCATTTCCTTTTTTAAAATTATTAATGTAAAACTTAATTTAGACAATCTTTACAGTGTAATATATGTTCTCGAACTTTCTTTTTTGACATTTTCGTTTTAAATTTCTAACAAATCACATCACTATAGTATAATTTTTTTGATTAAAATTGATTAAGTTAACAGACATAAATGCATTTTGTACAGTTAACGGATATAAAAGTTTATATGTTAATAAAATAATATATAAAAAAATTTGTAAATCTTTATTTTGATTTATTTCGATAGGTTGAACTTTCTTTTTATGCTAAGTATAATTTGTGTTATGTCGTCTTACATTTTCCGTGAAATTTGCCATATTTTTAGCCGAAGATTAATGTTGCATCCAAGTTTGATCGGCAATTCGATCGTCGATCCTATGGTGACCGTCGAATAATATTTGAAAAAGTAATCATTTACAGCGAAAAAAAAAAAAGCTAAATAAGATTAATTATATAATGACATTTGATATTCAAATTTTTGGATGAAAAAGTTAAACAATTTGCCAGGTGAAATTTGTATTTAAATGTGGTATCTGTGATATACCTACAATATTATTCTTTAACACATATTTTGTGCACATTTTTTAGTCTAAACTAAACGCTCAAATTAAGCTTATTTGAAATTTGTGAGAAATTTCATTAAATGTCGAAACGAATTGTTTTAACAACTAAATTGATTCCTAAATGTAATCATTACTATTATAGCCTCCAGTTGAAAAAGCACTACCAATCGTTCACGGTACCGCACGACCGCCACCGGAATGGGGACGTACGGAAAATGAAGAGTTGGAACAGCTTCGAAAAATTATTGAGCCACGCAAATATGTAGAAGAAATAAAAGTAACAAATGTTCGACCACCCATCGATCCCATTCCATTATCGCTACCACAAATAGATTGAAGTGAAATTTTTGCACTTGATAAATTCAACATAATTAAATATTTATTTCCCACTTCCCAAATATTAAAAAAAAAAAAAAATTCTGAAGTATTTTGATAATGAAATTCTTTTTTTCGCTTTTTATTGATTTTTTAATTGACTATCTTTGGTTGACTGTACAAGAAAGTTTGAAACAAATTTCATTCACTCTTCACATTTTAATGCAACTAGTAATTTCAAATATAATAAATATTTTAATAGTATTCGTAATTTTTCATTCAATTTGAATTTTGTTTAAAACAATGGATAACTTTCTACTGCAGTTATTACCCTATTAGTAGTATTAGAATCCATTTACAGCATTATTTCCATGTCTCGAATAATTTCATCATTTACGATATTATTTACTTTAATATTCGCAGCATTCATTGTATCATCATTTCTTCTCTATTATGATATATTCAAAGTATCATTCCTTCCTTTATTACAGTATACATATATTATAAAATACTGAACCTATGATTTGCATCTCAGTCATGCATTATAGCAATATTGAATTGCATGCACCATCGCAGTTAATTTTAATTATAATTATATAATGCAGTACACTTGGAATATCAATTGTTTATTATACTAAATTTACAAATTAAAAACTTTTATTAAAATCTTTATTTAAGAGAATTTTTATTAAAATCACATATTTTGAAAAATACAAATAATTTGATAGAAATCTGATCAAGTTTAGAAACGAAGAAGTTTGATGAAGAAATATGAAAGAACGTTGAATGTGAAATATTTTTTCCATATATTATATCTCATGAAATATCATTAAAAATTTAAGTGAACATTTAACATGAAAATTTCTTTCATATATTATTTTCCCTATCCTTTTTTTCTTCATCGAAATTTCAAAATTCTTCTAGCACTAACGAGCAAGCTGTACACGTAATACAAGACCAATATAACCGATAATAAAAACACATAAAGTGTAAAATATCATAATACCCATATTCATATGCATATTATTTGCTTCAAAATTCAAATTATTAATTACCGATTTTCCGTTATTTTCACAAATTGCTGCATGCTAAAATGCATCAGTTTACTTACAAATCTTATAAAATTTTGATTCAGTGCAGTGGAAATGACAACTTTTTGCTATTTGCTTAATCATCGAGCAATTGAAATCGATAGCTGGCAAAAGGAAAATATGGACAAAAAAGCCAAAAAAAGAAAGAAAAAATAGAGATAATAAAGGGAAACTTCAAATGTCAAAGGTCAGGTGTTTTGCATGCTCTCACTAACAAGTTCCAATTGTGATGTTTGATCAATCTCATTCAATTCCCTATCTGTTAGATAATGGATCAATCGCAATCAATCATCAAAGATTAATTTTTCAATCGAGTTTTTTTCATTTTCTATCGGAAATTTGAGCAAATTTCACCTTTCCATTAGATAACAAGCAACTAATATTGTCATAATGTAAAAATTCGTTTATTATCAATGATTCATAGCCAAAACGAAACCTGAAAATGGGACAACTGAATTAAATTCGATTTCATAAATAAAAAAATTGCTCCACTAATTTTTCCAGAAAAATTCCTGACTGATATTGTAATTATATTTTGCTATTACATCAAATTAGTTCAATAATAGTACATACGAGATTACAGAAAAGAAAGAAATGATTTATGTCTGTTGAATTTATACAACAATTTAACCAATTCTAATTTAAATTCACCAACTGAAATACTGAACCCATCGCATTGTTTCATGAATCGTTCTTACATTGCTATAAAGACCGCCGGTAATGGATAGAACAGTTAATAGTGGGCCTGATATCGATAGGGCTATTGCATATGATGGAGAAATCTGCAAATTTCAGTAATAAAAATACGGATAATAGTAATAATAACAATAATAATAATTAATAATTTATCAAAATAATTTGGTGCAACGAATAAGCTATTTTATTGATTGACACATATTAGTAATTAAGGATTGTTCAGAATTTCTTATAATATCGCTTTGATTTCTATGCAGTTTTTTATTTTCGCTGACAGCAATTTTGATTTAATTTAATTAAGGATATTTGAAAATAATTTTGTAAAATAATTCATGAAGATACGAAATAAAATATAATTTCAATCCAATGATGACTTACCGAACTTAGCATAATGCCAATACTAATAGCAGACCATTCAATTAATATACAGATAAGCAAAGTAATAAGAAATGTTGTAAATGTTGGATGCAGACCTATCAGGTAGTAACTGATACATACCATGCATATACCATCGATCGTAAAAATTGGTAAATATGACATTATCTGTCAAATATTCCATTCATATATTCTAATATACATGCATCGAAAGGAAATTAAGTAGAGAGAGAGAGAGAGGGATTCGAAATATTTCTGCTTAATATGAAAATTGAATGGATGCTCAGATCACTGGGATTAAATTCAATTGTTCGTCAACCAGAATATGTAATATTATCTTGGACAATTTTCATGATAGTTCCGAGAAATGAACCTTTCCTATAGCTTTACTATAAGAATGCTTAATCTTTATCACTTTGGGTTTAATTTTATAATATGGTTTGAGAGAAAAATGAATAAAAAGCAATAAAACGGTAAGGAAAGCAATGATAAAGCCAATACATTCTATTATTTATCATTTTCGGCTTAAAAATTATACTATAAAAGTGTCAAAATGATAATATTTATCTCTGAACCAACAGTAGAAGACATCAACATGATTGCTCATATTTTGGAAATAATAGAAAATATAAACATGGTAGATCATATTTTGAAAACGATAATAGGAAAAAACATGATTTATATACATGTATACATATATATAAAACAATTTAGAAACCATTGATAAGTAATAGCATATAACCGGATATATGCCATCATGATATTCCCGCACCAGTAACGGAAAATCAGATGGTAAGAAAGTCTGAATACCAAATATAGTTGAATATGTTAACTCGGAGATATAATAGAATAATGCTCCTTTAATATTAATAATACCGTCCTATAAAAAAATAATTATAATTTAGACTTTTTGAATAAAATTCGAAGTTTTTTGTAAATTGAAATAAAATTTCAGAAAAGAAACTTGTCATTTAATTTCTTTAATTAATAAAATAATAAGTTTCTTTTCCAAAACAAAATAAACTAACTTGATTCATCTCAGTTTGTAGATATAATGTACCCAAAAATAAGCCCATTACAATTTTTTGTACAAGTTTTGCCCATAATAAAGCTGGATTTCTTAAATTTTGCTTGATTGATCTGTCAAAAAAGAATTTTAATTTCCTATCATTTCATAAATTTTTTCATTGCATTCCTTTTCATTTCACTTACTACTAATTTTTCACGTGGTGTTTCACTAGGAAATTTTAACAGATGTATGAAAATCTATCAAATATAAAAAAAGATGAAAAACAACAAAAAAAAAAAGAAATGGAAAAATGGATATCGATATTACAAATATACAAATATGTATATATTATGAATATAATATGAAGAAATTTTTGAAAAAAAAAAAAGAAACTGTTAACATTAACAGTATTATTTGTTGTTTAGATATCAGGCGATTTTTAGTGAAGAGAAATTTAAAATCAATTAAAGTGTATACAGGATATTTTTAAGATAAATTTAAAATTTACCGTTTAGTTTAGCTGATAACCTCTAAGAGAGGATATTTTTCAATAAAGTATCATCAAATTAAAAATTTTATTAATACACTTTGAATTAACCTTATAAATAACGCATAAACAAGGGTTGAAATAGATGCTTTGCCATGCTCGACAGGTTGGGCTCGAAAATGTTTATTGGCAAATTGTAAATATTCAAGCAGTTTTATTTCATATTTAGATTTCCTAAACTGCAAACAAAAATTTTTATTTTTTCATTTCTTAACAAATTTTAGCAATAGTATTAGGCTTATCGGATCTTACTTCATTTCTTCAGGATTACTACATTTGATAAAATTTATGCGATATTTGACAAAATAAAATTTGATATTTTCGCAGCTAAAAAATTTGATACCGCATTAACAATTTGACTGGTACGTTCTATACACTTTTCTTCATCTCCTGGAACAATAGCCAATATTTGAATGAAAAAATCAGCTGGATTAGTATGAGCTGGAATAGGATACCCAATATCGGCATAAAATCGTAAAGCTTCTGATGGTGAACCTATAAAAATAAGCAGCATGATAATTGTTACATTACTATAATCAGCCATGTTTATTATTTCAAATTATTAATGAAATTTTAAATTCCAGCTAAGAAAGGAAATAATAACATGTTATGTCTACCATTTCAGAAAATTTGATCAATAATTAATAAAATTTTAAAATTTGACCAAGAAAGGCAATTTTTCCATTAGCAAGGAAAACTACTCGATCAAACATTTCAAATATATCAGATGCTGGCTGATGAATTGTACAAATGATTGTTTTTCCATTTTCGGATGCCATTCGTTCAAGAACCTTTGATTAATTAATATAAGGAAAGTTGCAGATTTCTTCCTTTGCTCGTTAACTATCCGAATTTTAATAGATAATTCGAAAGAAAAAGAAGTAAAAAGAATGTTTCATTGTTATACAAACTTTCACAATATGATATGCCATAAAAGAATCAATTCCAGTTGTCGGTTCATCAGCAAATAGCAAAGATGGATTTGTTAAAATTTCCGTAGCAAATGATAAACGTTTTGCTTCACCGCTTGTGATACCTTTTTCTATACCTGATACGCCGATACGTGAATTAATGCAACGTTCCAATTCCAAATCTGCGATTACCTTAATTAAAAAAATTAAATATATCGACACGTGAACTAACGTAGCGTTCTAGTTTTAAACCCACAATTATTTTGCTCGGTTAAAAAAAAGATACTAATACGTAAACTCCAAATTTGCAAGCACCTTATTTAACAAAAAAAACTGTTATTAATTGAAAAATCAAGCTTAACATTCATCGGTAAACTATTATATTTATTTTTCATTTTTCATTTAAATTATTTTTGATATGCAGGGATTGAAACATATTGTTCAAATAACAAATTATACTTGTAATAATTAATCAAAAATATTTTTAATGAACTGCATAAAATATGCACAAATTCGATCAAATTTTTTTTGCTTAGAAATTTATTGTTTAAAAAAATAATTTGCTGTAAAAAAAGAAAGCAAATTACTTGTTTTACACGAAATTCCTTTTCACGTTTTGTAAATGATGATGGCAAACGAAGAGCTGCTTGTAAAATGAGATGCTCGTAAACTGTTAATGAATTGATGAATAAATTTTGTTGTTGAATATAAGCGGAAACCTTTAAAAATTTTTTTTTAAATTATAAAAACATACAATGTTATCAGTTCAATTATTTTATATTGCAATTGATTTCTTTGTTTGAAATTATTCTGTAGATGTATACGCGTGTGTGTGTGTGTGTTTTCAGGTGAACAAATTTTCTGTTTACTTTTTAATTCAGAGAAATATATAAAAATGTAAACAACGGTATGTAAGGCATACTAAGTATAACTAATGTTTGAATAAATACATATATATTTTTTTATACATGTGGATGTTTAATGGTGATAACTAGGCGTAAAGCATAATAAGTAGGTATTAAAAAAAAAAATGAGAAATTTTTAAATTTATGCTTACATATAGGAGAATAAAAGGAAAGAAAATGATGACTAGGTAAACTAGCTTTAGTAATTTTCCGACCAACTATTTCGCCATTTACTTTTACAACACCGCTAATTTTTAGACCTTTTACATTTCGATGCAATAAAGCATTCAATAATGTTGTCTTTCCAGCACCACTACAACAAATTTAGCCTTTTACTTTTTACTAGGATAACTTCTGAAATTATCACTAAAACTATTATTACTAAACCACTAAAACTAGCATTAGAAGTATTAGAACAACAAATTGTTCAAAATTTTATAGCTTAAATTTCAAGTGTTCTTTTACTATTTAACTTTTTAAATATTTTATTCTCATATCAAAGAACAAGTAGCTCAGATAAGACAGATATTAAAAGACATGAATTTCTTTCAGTGTTTTCTTATTATAATCAAAATTTGATACCTTGCACCCATTAAAGCGATTAGTTGTCCTGGTTGAGCAATCCCCGTAACATCATGCAGTAATAATCGTTTCGTTTTTTTTGCAGTTACCGATAAACCTTCCCATGTTAAGAAAACCGGATCAACCGGTGGTAAATTGATGGCTGCATCGGAAGTAACGTTTGGATGCATTTTTCAATTAATGCTAGAAGTTAAATGAGAGCAACCAACTTAGGTCAATGACTGTAAAGGAATGAAGTTGAAATTAATTAAAACAATTCATTTATATAGTTCACAAGAAATGTTTATAAAATTAAAATTAAATAGCTTTATGTGCAATTTACACGTGCCACTAATATTGTTGCTGGAAATTAACGTTGTCGTAGCGGTCTATTAACATGTTTGTGATCACAGCCACTTTAGCTTGGAACTTAAGACTAAGCCAACCATCAAACTCTTTCGGTATAAGTTCCAATAAGAATTCTTAACTTTTAGACAGGAATAACTCCTTCAGCCACTGAACAAGTAATAAATCGTAATATTTCCCGTCGTATATTTAAATAAAAACGTATCACTTCATTCCAACTTCATTTCTACCACCTAATAAACAACTTCTTATAAACCAAAAATAATAAGCCTCATTTCAGACAGCTGAACTCGTTAAAACAAAATCCCAGAATTAAGAATTTTTTTCTCAAATTCAATAATCTGACATGCTATTATGCTATTGTTACCAGTGCTACTTTGTTAATTTCACAGAATGTTTGAAGCATATCGTACCTACTTACATTATTAATCCTGTGACTTCTGCATCGTCCTTCTTTTCTTATTTCCAATTTATTCCGGAAAAACACTGAGAAAAAGGAAGTATTCAATAGTCCTTCCTTCCTTTTTATCGTATTTTGTTAACACTTCATTTTTTCTCTTTCAAAAATTTTTTAAATTGTTTTTTCCTTTTATTTCTGCATATTGCTGAACAGTCAAAAAAAAATTAACGCATCATAACTCCATATACAAAAAGAAAAGGAAGGGAAATGAAACGAAGGGAAAAGCTACAAATGTTTTAGACGTTTCCGTGGTGGATGACTCATAATAATAGGTGGCGTTTGCTGGGTTGCCAATGCACGAAATACTTCAGCAAGTAATGGTGGATGATCACGTACCAAACAACTCCAACCATCTGATTCCATAATTTCATTTGCATGTACATTCTGAAAGTTTTTAAACTGTATCATTCACATTATACTACTTGATTAATAATGGATAGATCTTTTCTTCCTTTCCTCCTCTGAATGTTCCTTTCTACATCAAGTCGTTAATTATGGGATGGAAAGTTTATGAATTACCAATTACAATCATTAAAATACACAAAGTTAATAGAAATGATAAATAGCTACAGGGGTTCCCTAAAATCTCAAGAACACATACTACCTCATTTGTAATTTAAAATTACTGAACACACTAATCTATCTAAATTTGGGCACTTTCCCATTAAAGAATTATTCCCCCCATAACTTGCATTTAAGGTGAAGACGTCAATTATGGTAACAGATATCCAAAAGAATTAAGCTAAGGATATAATAAAGTGTCGAACTATTACTGTAAACGTAAAATAAATAAATATATAAGTATGATGTTAATAAAGTAAACAGAACATCTTTAAAAACCAAATACCAATCATGAGAATCAAAGTAATTTCATTACATACGTATATGTAGTGAATTAGAAACCTGTAATGATAACTTTTCTTCTTTCCCATGATTCGTTGCTTCCCCTACAAATTTCATCTTTACTTGAAATTCTACTTTCATAACAGCAAACTTACGATATAATCAATAGCTTGATGTTTCAGTTGTTCAGCACTATGCAAATCAGCAAGGATCAATGTCTCACAGGCATTTTCATTCGTAAGATTTAAACATAATGCTTGCTCACACATAACCTGCAAAGGTATCACAATTGTAATTTTTCATTTGAAATCCCTAGAAAATCAAAGTTATGAAAGGATTTCAAATATTAAGGAAACTACTATTCCCTCATCATTCCATCTAATTCCTTCTAGTTATCATATCACTGACATTTTTACTCCTACAATAAGATAAATTTACAGTGTAATCGGTAGCGTCGCCGTGCAACAAAATAAACTTCAATAGAACAAAATATTCCTCTTTTACCTATAACTTCCGTTCTCCTCAAATCAAAGTAAAGAATTATGCAGTATTTTCGACAGTTGAAGATATAAAAGGATAAAAAGAAGTTATAAGATCTTCAAAACTATCTAGTACAACTTTATGAAATAGCATTTATTCAACTTTAATATGACTTCAAATATGGAAATAGTTATATGTATATATCAAGAAGAAAATTTACTTTCAATCTATCTAACTGATATTTATCGGCTGCCGCTAATAGCGTATCAGCCATGCGATCAAGATTGGGCGCTGCACCAGTATACATAAATCGCAACATTTCCTTCATAACATCCGGTTCAACATCATCGATAATAACACGATCCGACTGTGATTCACTCATTTTATGTTCAAAGCATGCAGCAAATACAGGAGACCTCGTCGCTAATACAGCTTTATGTACCTGCAACATTTCATCGAAAAATGCGGTGCAGGTGTAAAGTATCCTCTATCTAATTCAATTTATTTCTATATTCTATCATATTTACTTTAATTTAATACCGACACACTCTCAAACATCTCAAGATAAAAGGATAATCCATAGTATGAAAACTTACATGAAACTCTTTTGTACCGGTTACCAGAAGACAATCCGAGAAACAGTGCTTCTCGAAAAGATTAGCCATATCATCAGATAACCGACAAGATGGTACTTTGAACTGCATAAGATTTGACTGCCCTGTTACGTTAACTGTTTCTGCTACAACTGATACCTGGGAAAAGCTATCTATGAATTACAAAAGTATTATCCTTCATCCTGAATGAAGGATGAATACTTTAGGTTTTCTGAAGCATATGACAGCTATAAATTTCAGCTATAAATATATATGCAGATAAATATATATATGACAGCTATAAATATATATGCAGAAATAAGCGAAAAGTTTAGCTGTTATTTACCAATTATGGAAAAAGTTAGCTTAAATTTATCACCTCGCAAAAAATACTTAGTCTGTCTTCAGGAAGGAGACCATTTGCTTCATCAAGAAGGAAATCTCGACGAATAAATTTTTTGAATCCCCAATCCTTTCCCTGCACAAAGCGATATGCACGTTGAGATTCTGAATTTCAACAATATTAATAAATTTTATATGATAATTTTATCTCAAGCTTTCGATTGCTGCTTACAAATATAGATCAGTTGGTGTGTCTCTTTTTCTAAACCCACCATAAATTCAAAACAAGAGAAAAACGAACCCATGGCCTTAGTTTCCTCCCGTTTAGCATTCAGTATTGAAAACTTGAATTTAGCGCGTACTTCATTTTTAGCACATTGTACAAGTAACAAGTAGAGTGATAAGTAATCCTTTGATTCTTCATCAAGTCCTGAAAATAAACGACTGAGAAATAAGTTAAAACTAAACCGAACTTACATTGAGAATTAAATTTAAAAGAAGCCCAATACACATGATGAGCAACTTGTATGAAGTCCTTGTGAAAAACCTTTAGTGTTTAAAAAATTATTGCAATATTTATCATTATTTATTTTTTATCTACTATTTATTATATATTTGATTATTTTATTATACATTTATTACAGCACGGGAAAGTCTATTATAATATTCACTACTCAAATTTATGGAAAATTTGAATCGAAAATGCAATATTTTATTGGATTTGAACTGATCAGAGATAAACAGAGACAGCATAAACTCATTAAATAAAAATAAATAATTAAAACAAGTGAAACACCTTTTGGGTTAATCCTTAAACACCATTTTAACTTGTCATTGGAACCAGCACTAAACGTTGAACTTTTTAGCACCTCGCCCATTTCTTCACGACAAAATGAAAAATTGTTAATAGTCCACATATAATTAAATTTGATTACTTTCACCTGAAAGTTGAAAAATTTTGTAAACAATTATATTTGTGAAGAAGATTCTCGTTATGCAGCTTATTTCTCCCTAGATTTTATAAAATGATACAGAAATAGTGAACCATCCTTAGCAACAAAACCACAGCAATCAATCCAATGTAAACAAATGGAATGATAACTCAGCTGTCTTTAAGATTTCACCATATTATTTTAATAAGTATTCGATAATCGTTCGCTTTATTTCATAAAACTAGTAAGAATTTTTTTCAGTCATTTTCAAAACAAGATTATTCATAACTGACAATAAAAGATTTTTTTATACTTCTGAAATGACTAACACATCTTTATTAATTTATAATAAAAGAAACATTTTGTCTTTAAGGATGCTTTTACTTGTTGCTAAATCATTTTCTGTTTTTAAAAAAACTTTCATTCCTTATGCTAGTAATTATGTATAAGTCATTGCAATACAGATGGTTGGTCCATCTTCTGGCTGCATCTGTTTGCTTTACGTTTCCATTTGACTCGATGAAAACTCGTTACAAAGTTTGTATCAATGTTCTACAAACAAAATGTCCAAGAGCAATGCATAGTTCTATTCATTAGTTTATTTCTAATAAAATGGAAATTCCTTTCTATAATGTAAATATCATGCCTGTGTATGGCACCAATTCTCAGCGACAGGCATATGAACATCTGTTGGTGTCGTTGAGGTTGATGACGAACCACTTGCTGATGCTGATGGACTCTGAGCCCGACTACCGCTGATGGCAGCTTGTCCCGGACCACCGCTAACAGATTCATCCTGGGCCGAGCCATCCGCATCCATTCTTATGTTAGAGTTTTGGAATTTCCGAATGTTAGTTACTGTATGTGAGAGTGTATGTAAGCCAAGTAATAGAAACGCCGAGATAAAATTAATAGAAATCGGAATAATAAGGCAATAATGCCTTCAAGCCAATCTATCGCAATATAACTTCGGTGAGTACAAAAGAGGAAAGGCTGAAAATTAATGTATGAGTCGTTTGCAAAATGAAGGGACACATCGAGCGCTAGAATACATGACATAACGAGGTAATACGACAAAATAAGGTTCCAATTTTAAAACACTTTATTTTCAGAACCTCAAATCTTCCAGCTAAAATCTCGGTTTTCTGTAACAAAAAATTTTATTCACAATTTTA